GGTTTACTACCATTAACTTATGCACAATATGGTGTCTAAACTGTTCTTTATAGCCTGTTTATCTTTGTTTTTAGTGGTTCTTTAAAGCCTGTTGTGTCTTTGTTTTTAGTGGTTGCTATGGAGCTTCTCTCCATAGCAACAACCTCCCTATGATGCTGCCGGACGGGTGGTCACGTGATGCGGTAATGACGCCGGCGCGACGTGATGACGTCGGCGGAACCCGCGGGAGACCCGGTCTGAGCTGACAGGGAGATGCAATTACATTGGTGATGGCTAAGTAGATTGCTAATATGTATGTTGGTATATGTATGTTTTTACAGTGTATGTGTTAGTCCTGATGAAAGTCTGTGGTTAACAGACTGAAACGTCGATCTGTTTTTTGGATACTGATTAAAAGTTAAGTTTTATATTTTTTTGATTGAATAAGTCCTGGGAGTGCCATCTTGTTATATATATATATATATATATATATATATATTGTGACAAACTTACTTTCCTGTGTGTGTTTGTCCAGGATCTTTTGGCAACCGCACAGCCCTCTAGGGTAAGAAAACCAGGTCAAGACAAAGTCCAGTTTCAAAAAGGCCTCTGGCCTGTTTATTTTCTGTTGTTGTGAAGTAACAGGATACAATGAATCAGCAAATCTTCTTTCTCCACAAAACACCTTCTTTCTCCTCCAAAACACTTCCCTCCCTTCACCCTGCTTTAACTGCAGTTATATAGCTGCTCACAGCCCCTACAGGTGAGGCTAATGACCTCGTTAGGCAGTGAGCCAGAACTCTATGGAAAACCTGGGCTGGACTCATGCACAACCACTCTGACAGTGGGTGGAGAATCGGCCCACCCTGCTCTTCCGAATACTCCACCCCAGGGACCCAAATAGCAAGGGGAAAAAAAAAACTAAATTTAAACTTAACTTTCCCTGGGGCTGCATGTGCTTACCCACATGTCAGGATAGTGGCTGTGCAAAAGTCTGGGTGCCAGATATACACCCCTGACCACCATCCCCAACACTCTGTTACATATCCTCCCCCCCAGCTCAGACCTAGTGGGGTGAGCGACCACAGAAAACAAATTTTCTCGCGACAAACTGTCAGCATTTCCATGTTTAGACCCCGGCCTATGTTCAACTGTAAAATGAAATGGTTGTAAACTGAGGAACCACCTTGTCACCCTGGCATTATTATCTTTGTTTTGACTCATCCAGGTTAAGGGGCATGGTCTGTGACCAACCTAAATTTTCTACCCAGCAGATAATATTTCAATGAGTCTAAGGCCCATTTTATGGCAAGGCATTCCTTTTCCACTATAGAATAATTTTTCTCAGCGGGAGTCAGCTTCCTACTTAAATAAAACACTGGGTGTTCTTCACCCTGAATTTCCTGAGACAGAACTGCCCCTAACCCAAGCTCTGATGCATCGGTTTGGACAATAAACTCTTTAGTGAAATCCGGGGTTACCAGAACCGGTTGGGTGCACAAAGCCTCTTTCAAAGTTACAAACGATTTTTCTGCCTCTACTGACCACTTAACCACTAGTGGGGCTTTACCTTTTGTGAGATCCGTTAAAGGAGCTGCTAATGTAGCAAAACTAGGAATAAATCGCCTGTAATACCCAATAAGTCCTAAAAAAGTCCTAACTTGCTTTTTAGTGAGGGGGCGTGGCCAATTTTGTATGGCCTCCACTTTTGCTGTTTGGGGCTTAACTAGTCCTCTCCCAATCGAATAACCCAGATATTTTGCCTCTTCCAAACCTATAGTACACTTAGATGGGTTAGCAGTTAAACCAGCTAGGCGGATAGAGTCCAGTACTGCCTGCACTTTGGGAAGATGTGAAGCCCAGTCAGGACTGTGAATGACTATGTCATCTAGGTATGCGGCTGCATAACGGCTGTGAGGCTTCAAAATCCTATCAATCAGTCTTTGAAAAGTGGCAGGGGCCCCATGTAACCCAAATGGTAGCACCTTGTATTGGAATAATCCCCCTGATGTCGAAAAAGCTTTCTTTTCTTTTGCTCTGTCTGTAAGAGGTACTTGCCAATAACCCTTCGTCAGGTCTAAAGTAGTCAGGTACCGAGCCTTACCCAGTCTCTCTATCAGTTCATCAACCCTAGGCATTGGATAAGCATCAAACTTTGACACACTATTTAATTTACGAAAATCATTACAAAATCTTAACGAACCATCAGGTTTTGGCACCAGTACTATAGGGCTGTTCCACTCACTTTGTGATTCCTCAATAATATCAAGAGCTAACATTTTCTTAATTTCTGCAGCTACCGCCTCTTTCTGTGCTTCTGGGATTCTGTACGGTTTAAGACTTATCTTCACCCCTGGTTCTGTAACGATATCATGCTTGATAACGTTAGTCCTGCCAGGAACTACAGAAAATACATCCCGGTTTCTACCAATAAAGTCCCTTACTTCCTGTTTCTGGTGTGGGGACAGGGTGTCTGGTATGTTTACTTCAAGTTCACTACCAGTCTTATTAGTGATAATTGAAGTAGTTAAGACCTCTCTGTCCTTCCAGGGTTTTAGTAAATTTATATGATATATTTGCTCGGGTTTTCTCCTATTGGGTTGTCTCACTTTATAATTAACTTCCCCAACCTGTTCAATAACCTCATACGGGCCATGCCAAGATGCTAGAAATTTATTTTCTACTGTAGGGACCAAAACAAGCACCCTGTCTCCTGGGTGAAAAACTCTCAGTCTGGCATTTTTATTATAACTGTTTTTCTGGGCCTCTTGGGCTTTCTGCATATGTTCTTTAACTATTGGCATGACAGCCGCCATCCTATCTTGCATTTGAGCTATGTGCTAAATTACACTACAGTACGGATTGGACTCCTGTTCCCAGGTTTCTTTTGCTATATCTAGCAGACCTCTGGGATGATGGGCATATAGAAGCTCAAAAGGAGAGAACCCCGTAGAAGCTTGTGGCACCTCCCTTATGGAGAACATTAGATAGGGTAGTAAGCAGTCCCAATTCTTACCATCTTTGTCAATTACTTTCCGTAACATACTTTTTAAGGTCTTGTTAAACCGTTCTACTAGTCCGTCTGTCTGGGGATGGTAAACAGAGGTCCTAAGATGTTTAATTTGAAGTAGTTTGCATAACTCCTTTGTAACTTTAGACATAAATGGTGTACCCTGATCTGTCAAAATTTCTTTTGGTATGCCCACCCGGCTAAACAGGAGCATGAGTTCTCTCGCTATTGTCTTTGCAGACGTGTTACATAGGGGTACTGCTTCCGGGTACTTGGTAGCATAGTCCAGGATCACTATTGCATTGCATAGGTTCATCAATCAAGGGACAGTCTCTAGCTTTATGTCCAGGTTCATTACACCGGAAGCATTTAATATCGTCAACTGTCCCCCACCTAGACCCTTTTCCAGGATTAACATTTCTAGGCAAAAGCATATGGGGTCTCTGAGAATATGTCTCTTGTTCCTCTGTGTCTCTGAAACCTTGAAAATTCTTACCAGGTCTTTCAGCATCTGGAGTCTTAACTCTCTGCTTAGCCTTTGTGTTGTTGAGCCACTGTCTGTCATCTGCAGCAACATATCTTTCCACCAAACCAATTAACTCATCAGCTGTTTGTGGATCGCTCTGACTGACCCATCGACGCAGTGAAGCAGGCAAGCCCCGCAGTAATCTGTCCATCACAAGAAGTTCCATGATATGGCTTGCCGTATTTATTTCTGGTTGTAACCACTTTCTAGCAAGATGTATCAGGTCAAACATCTGGGAACGGATAGGTTTCTCTTGGTTGAAAGACCAGGCATGAAATCTTTGGGCACGAACTGCCCTAGTCACACCAAGTCGTGCAAGGATCTCAGCCTTCAGTTTGGAGTAGACCCCTGCCTGTGCTGGTTCCAGGTCATAGAATGCCTTCTGGGGTTCTCCAATAAGAAAAGGTGCCAGTATGCTTGCCCACTCACTCACCGGCCACTCTTCTCTCTCAGCTGTCCTCTCAAAAGCTAGCAGGTATGCTTCCACATCATCTGTAGGTGTCATCTTCTGCAGGTAACGGCTGGCTCTGATCATTTTAACCTCGGACTGCGTCCCATCCGAGACTCTGGTCAGTCCTTTGGTCAAAGCCTGTATCTCCTTCTGTATCATACTGGTGGCCTGATGTTGCTCCTCTCTGAGCAGGCGGTTTGCCTCAGCTTGGGCTGCCATAACCTGCTGGATAAACGCATCTGTGTTGGCCTTTTGCGTAATTACCAGTTGCTGTAGGGCTGTAATATTTTCCTGTTGTGCAGCTGTAGCCTCCTGCTGTACGGCTGTAGCCTTTTGCTGTGCAGCTGTAGTTTGCAACAAGACTTTCACAACTTCCTCCATATTTCTACAGGCTTGTTTGGCTTCCAGTTAATACCCACAGGCTTCTTTAGTGCAGTGCCCGCATTCTCCACCATATGTGACAAACTTACTTTCCTGTGTGTGTTTGTCCAGGATCTTTTGGCAACCGCACAGCCCTCTAGGGTAAGAAAACCAGGTCAAGACAAAGTCCAGTTTCAAAAAGGCCTCTGGCCTGTTTATTTTCTGTTGTTGTGAAGTAACAGGATACAATGAATCAGCAAATCTTCTTTCTCCACAAAACACCTTCTTTCTCCTCCAAAACACTTCCCTCCCTTCACCCTGCTTTAACTGCAGTTATATAGCTGCTCACAGCCCCTACAGGTGAGGCTAATGACCTCGTTAGGCAGTGAGCCAGAACTCTATGGGAAACCTGGGCTGGACTCATGCACAACCACTCTGGACAGTGGGTGGAGAATCGGCCCACCCTGCTCTTCCGAATACTCCACCCCAGGGACCCAAATAGCAAGGGGAAAAAAAAACTAAATTTAAACTTAACTTTCCCTGGGGCTGCATGTGCTTACCCACATGTCAGGATAGTGGCTGTGCAAAAGTCTGGGTGCCAGATATACACCCCTGACCACCATCCCCAACACTCTGTTACAATATATATATATATATATATATATATATATACACATACACACACACACACACACACACACATATACACACACATACTCTTCATAAGCTTAAGAGAATTACACTCCCTTTGGCTCTTGTCACTATTATTATTACTTTTATGATTATGCAATTTCTAGTCATCTATTAGGGTTTGCAGTTAAAATACTGGTACTACTTTTACTGCTTACTGTATTAGCACTCACAGATGACAGTTTGACTGTCACTACAATGGACATCGATCTCTCCTCCAGAACTATGGTATACCATTATTGGACTCTGACATTAATATGTTAATAACTACTGTCCATCAATCTCCCCATTATCGTATACTCGTGGTGTGTGCTTATCCCCTATTTTGACTTTTGACCAATTAGGATTTTTGGGTCTTTCTGGACACTGTAGGTGCCAACACTAGACCATAAGCTCCACCCTTTGACCAATCAGGATTTTTGGTGCCTTAAACTTGGCGCACTAGCGTATTGGTTACCCCTTGAAACACGCATTGGGGCTCCTATATTTATCCTGCAGCCATCTAACTATTAGACTTGTATGCTCGATCAGGTTATCATACTCATTCATTCCTGCAGTCTGCTACTTAGGTTTTCAGTCTGGTTAGACCAGTGATCTACTCAATAGGGCATTTTTTACTCGTTATTATAGCTCATTATCCTGATTACCGGAAGCTTAATATTTTAACTTTAATTTCTAGCTAGTTTAGCAGCTTAGATAATTGGCTTAGGTGCCCTTGGAGGCATAGGTTTGCTCTCTTACGACAGGTGCCCGTGAGGCCACAAGAGATTTCAGAATATGCACTAGCTAGTTGCTGGTTATTTTCTCTGCGTCATTATTATTTTCTTAGGTACGCTTTAGTGGCGTCTGGTATCACTGGATTTAGGCTCTCAGCTTTTATCCCGGATTGCCTACATTTATCATTTTAAACAATCACTGTAGTGTCTGGAAAACAAACTTGTTTTCTTGGCACTATATAACCCTTAACTCCCCCCACCCTTGGTGTTGAAGGGGTTAAAACCCCTTCAGTTACTTATTTTAATCCAGCGCTGGGCTCCCTTGGCGCTGGTGACATCTCCTCCCACTCCCACGTCAGCTCCTGAGTGGAGCAGAATGCACATGTGCGGCCAGAGTCGCGCGCGCATTAAAAAATGCCCATAGGCAATCATTTCTCAATGGTTTCCTATGGACGTTCTGCATGCTGAATGCGATTTTCACAGTCAGCGTCGCAGAAGTGTCTCTAGCGGCTGTCAGGAAGACAGTCACTAGAGGCTGGATTAACCCTGCAATGTAAACATAGCAGTTTCCATCTGAAGGGTTAAAACCTGGGGGAACTTGCACCCAGACCACTTAATTGAGCTGAAGTGGTCCTTTAAGCACTTTGTACTAGCCTAAGTTATACATCTAGCGTATATACACCTACCCAGACATTTGACCACACACAACCTAGATATCTGAGGCACTCAGTAAAATATCGGTTATAAGGATACTTTGTTTCCACTACACAATTTCTGTAGGGATACAGCCACAGTGTACTCTTTATCCTGACTAGTTGCTACCTCACGTATTTGAGGAAAGATAAATTGCAGTTATTCAACTGCTTGTCTAAGCAATTACCTTGAGGAATAACCAGCTCACTTTATGTATATATTTCTCCCTTTACCCCCTTTTTTTGGTTTGATTTTGTGTTACTTATTAAGAACTGGATACTATCCTAGCCGTTTTACTAATGTATTAAAAGTTAATTTGTAACTCTTTAACAGGCCACTGGACAGAATATTTATCTCTTGTTTCTCACCTACATGTGAGAGTATTCACAGCTTGACAGTATGGTAATCTGTGCATAAAGTTCCAATAAACCCACTCTTGTAGTTTGGGGAAAAAAAATGACTTTGCTGTGTTGAGGTCACTACCCAGGACAAAGTTAGTAGTCAAATGCATGACAGCCTCTCCCTTCCAGACTGTTACTTGGGTGGACTTCTGCCTGCACCTTCTTATTACACCTCTGACTGAGAACCCTATACAGGCTGACTTCTGGTTCAACTTGTATAGCTCCGTGAGGAGATTGAGAATGGAACTGACTATTGAATACAAAGTTTTTCATCCTGTGAGGGGCAAAAAGATATCTGCCAATCATTTCATAGTACCTGCAACATCATTCAAAGGCACCCTCCTCTAATCTTACTAGAGTAGTTTAGCTGAGTGGCACTGGATACATTAATTTATTTTTCTGTGCTTGAAATTAAATCCTCTTCTGCTATCAAGACTCAAAGTAGGAGGAGAGGGTATAAGGAGACACATAAGGGAGGCTGGAGAGACATATAAAGGGCGAGGGTAACATGAGAAGGTTGTTGTGGCAACAAGGGCACAAAGGGATAAAACTGAGAGGGACAATTGAAGAGAAAGAGGCACGGGTGAGAATAAGGCAAATGCTGTGTGAGGATGAAGACACAAAATGGAATGTTAGAGCAGGAAAGACATGGGAGTAGCAGATTTTCCAGTGCATCTTGGAGAATCTTTCCTGGCACAAGCTCATTGGTCTGGCTGAGAAAACATGTTAAATATGCTGACTTTTTGAGTTAAAGTGCCCTAAATGTGGTGTTTACAGTTATGATTGACTAGTACTGGCCCTAAATGGATCTGAGATGTGTGCAAGTGCTTTAAATGTGGAATGCACAGCTGTGATTGGCTTGGACTAGCTCTAAATGGATGTGAGATATTTATTCCCATTCCCTGTGTGGAACTGCATGCTTACTTTATGATGAATCTTGTCGACATGTTCGTATGTTCACTGAGGTAATACAAGGAGGTGTTTAAATATGTATTGCCCTTGTGTAATGTGTGCAGCAGCAGTGTTGGCCCCTATTCAACCAGGTACCACTGGACATGTCATATGTTAAGGCTTAAAGGGACACTCCATTGCCCAAATTAAAAAAACAACAAAAAAACAGCTGTTTTGTAGATATATCCTCCAATAAAAATATGCATGTATAAAGGAACACTATAGGGTCAGGAACACAAACATGTATTCCTGACCCTATAGTGTTTAACCCACCATTTAGATGGCTTGCTCCACCCTCCCCCCCCCCAAAAAAAAATAAAGGGACAATATAGTTACCAGCTTATTGAATTTGTTCTGGTGAGTAGAATCATTACCTTCAGGCTTTTTGCTGTAAACATGGTCTTTTCAGAGAAAATGCAGTGTTTACATTACAGCCTAGTGATAACTTCACTGGCCACTCCTCAGATGGCTGTTAGAGATCCTTCCTGGGTCATGGCTGCCTAAAATTCATCCAAACATTCAATGTCTCCTCCCTCTGCATGCCGACACTGAACTTTCCTCATAGAGATACATTGATTCAATTCATCTGTATGAGGAGATGCTGATTGGCCAGGGCTGTGTTTGAATTGTGCTGGCTCTGCCACTGAGCTGCCTCCTTGTCAGTCTCAGCCAATCCTATGGGGAAGCTTTGTGATTGGATCAGGCCACCACTTCTGATGATGTCAGAGGAAGTTCACAGGCAGAAGCTTTCGACTTGAATACAAGTAAGATTGTACTATCTTTAGGGAGGCAAAGTGGGCCAAATAGTGGTTTTAACACTATAGGGTCAGGAATACATGTTTGTGTTCCTGACCCTATAGTGCTCCTTTAATAAAACTCACCTTATTTACAGTGTGGTGCGGGTCGTCCAGCGCTGGCCACGCCCCCTTGGTGACAATCAGAATTGCCGATTTTTAGCCAATCCAATGCTTTGTAAAGCATTGAATTGGCTAAAATCGTCAAGGGGCAGGGCCAAACGCAGTTTTGGCCAATCAGCACCTCCTCATAGAGATGCATTGAATCAACGTATCTCTATGAGGCAAATTCAGCGTCCGCATCAGTGCATGGAGACGCTGATCAGCAGTTAGCCAGGAAGCATCTCCAGTGGCCATCTGAGGAGTGTGATCTCTAATTCCTCATGCAGTCAAGTCTGGAGGTAATACAATCAAGTCTGGAGTTAATACAACTAAGTCAGCTAATACAATTTCATAATCACTGAGTCCTCTTCATTCCCTCTCTGGGAATCAGAGCCCCAAAACCCAGTTTTGCCAACACAAAACTCGTATGACCAACATGGTCTTAGTGCCCGCTGCACATCGCAAGCGGGTCTAATGATGACTCATGCTGTGCTACACGCCGACCATTCCCTGGTGCGAATGTAGGGCTGCTTTCTCAGAGGCATGCTGTGGGTTGACGCCAGGACACTCTTGGTACCATATTCATTATAACTGGCTGTAGTGGTTATAGTGCCTGACGTGTTCCCTTAATTTTTATTTTGTATGATATGAAATTATGTTTAGATGTTGTATACATTTTACCCTAATTTAAAGGGCACTGTCATGGCTGAATCCCATTTTTTTTTTTTTTAACACCCTTACCGACTCCACTACATCTAACTGACCCCCTAGTCACCCCCAAATGACCTATTTTTTATTCTTTATTTTCTGCCCCGATCTATATTCAGAGCGCCGCCATCTTTGTGTGGGTAGACAAAGTCCCTACCGGCGCACAGCTCCCTCCTTGTAATATGTAAAAATAGAAGCGGCAGGGAGCAGTGCTCCCCGCCACTTCCTAAACCCCCCATCTCCCCCCTCACTCTATGGTTTTTTGCTGTAAACACGGTCTTTTCAGAGAAAATGCAGTGTTTACATTACAGCCTAGTGATAACTTCACTGGCCACTCCTCAGATGGCTGTTAGAGATCCTTCCTGGGTCATGGCTGCCTAAAATTCATCCTAACATTCAATGTCTCCTCCCTCTCCCCGCCACTTCCTAAACCCCCCATGTCCCCCCTCACTCTATGGTGGTCAATATGACCCCCATAATAGCATAAGGGAGATTAAAATCTCCCGAATGCCCCTAATCGCTATACCTGTGGCTGCTCACTGTAAAAAATAAAAACTACTATCCGGCCCCCACCCCTGCACCGTGGGTGGGGGCCATAAATTACAATGGGGGGGACCTACTGTCCTCCCCCCCCCCACCCTTGAGCGGTGGGTGGGGACCATAAAGATAATGAGAAGGGGGACCCTTGAGTGGTGGGTGGGGGCCATAAAGATAATGGGGGGAATCTACTGTTCTCCCCCCCCCCACCCCACTCCCCTGTACGGCAGGTGGGGCCCTAAGACAAATCTCCCCCCTCCCCATCAAAGGTGACTAGGGGTCCTCAAGCCTCTAGTCACCCACCCCCACCCCAAAAAAAGTTACCCCCTACCTACCCTAAAAAATAGTGAGGGGGAACTAAAATATCTAACCTGTAAAGAAAAATTAAACTTACCATTTGACATCTTCATTTTCAGCCCCCAAAAAGGCCAAATAAAAAACCATCATACCCGTCGAATTTAAAATAAAATAAAAAACCTGAGCGTAAAAACCTGCGTGCCAAAAAAATATCCATCTTCACCCATGGAGGGCTCTGCGAAGACTGAGCTTTGCAAGGCGGGGGAAGGCTTATAAAGCCTTGCCCCTCCCTGCAAGTAAGCTAAGAACACTCTGATTGGCTGGTTTAAGCCAATTAGCGTGCTCTTTGTCATTTTACACAGTGTGGGAAAATTCCAAAGAACTTTCCCACGCTGTGTAAAATGACACAGAGCACTCGGATTGGGTAGCTTGAAATCCATCCAATCAGAGTGCAGTAGGTTCCCCCCTCATTATCCTTATGGCCCCCACCCACCACTCAACGGTGGGCGCCGGGAGGGAGAACAGTAGGTTCCCCCCATTGTAATTTATGGCCCCCACCCACCGCGCAGGGGTGGGGGCAGGACAGTAGGACCCCCCATTGTAATTTATGGCCCCTACCCACCGTGCAGGGGTGGGAGCCAGGGGGGAGGACAGTAGATCCCCAGCCCATTGCGATTTATGGCCCCCACCCACCGCACAGGGGTGGGGAGGACAGTAGTCCCCCCCACCGCACAGGGGGAGGACAGTAGGCCCACCCCCCCCCCAAAATGTCCATTATGGCCCCCACCCACCGTTCAGGGGTGGGGGCCAATAGGTTTTTCATTTTTTTTTTTTTTTTGTCAGTTTTGTCTAAAATGACAGGAAGCATCCCGGGAACACAGAGGAAAGGTAAGAATTATGGGAAAATTGCTCTGACCAGCGGAAATGAAGCACACTTTGCTCCTCCGCTTGACCTCCATAAGGCAAAGAGTCCCTACTTTGTCTTATGATTTTAAAGAAAACTAAAGAATAACAGATCCTGAGAGAGGGGGAGAAGAGGAAGAGATTGAGGAAAGGTAAGTTCGGCATGACAGTGCCGCTTTAACTTACTAAAGGTGGTTTTGTTTGATACATCTTTGTTTCCTTGGAATATAGGTCTGCGAATGCCCCATCATACTGCACAAGTCATTGTTTTTTTTCTAATCACATTTACAAGCCCCTCTGGAGGAACACAGCCAAGGGACCTTTTTTCCCCATAACCAAAGCTGTAAGTATAGGTTGTTGTATAGACTCAATGACCCTTTATAAAACAGGTTCACATTGCATTGTAATCAAAAAACAGAAACGTTTAGTTATTAGTTCAAACTTGTTCCAGGACAGCCTCTGGCAAGCGCCTTATTCATGGCTCACACAGAACGTACCATCCAGCACAACAGGTACAGAGTCGCTAACTCATGACGTCACAACGCAGAGCCGGAAGTTGATGTTTGCTCGGTGTGCGCTGTTTAGTGTCCCCGTGTATTCGGCCAGCTGAAAGGTTCCCGGGGTGAGCGCCTGGTTCATGCTGCATTAGGAAACATTGTCGCTTTATCAACGGCCGAAGTTGGAAAGGAAACCCTCAAAACCGCGAGCAAACACTTTCTATCGGGTATATTTAAAACTATATAAAAATAATGTGTTGGTGAAATGCTGCCCGGGTTTAGGGGAGTGCATCCACTAGGCAGGGGAGATGGAGAGATTATACACACACACACACACGTATTAAATTAATGGACTACTTGCTGTTTAATCGCTCATCTATGCTAATGTTAGAAGGTTCTATATTGTCAGTATATTGTCTGTTTATTGAGGGGTATAAATATAATGTATATTCTATAATTATAAAGATGAATATAATAAGGGTTCACATTAATACCAGTGCTTGAAATATTCCATCAGATAGTGATCATTCATACATAATTTTAAGGGTAAAACTAAATGTACAGTAAGAGTGGGTATCCATTATAAACACAAGTTAAACTCACTAGTAAGGGATTAACTGAACTATGATAGAATATAGAACATTAGGGTGATGGCTTAAAGGGACACTGGTAAAAGTGTATTTTAGCGTATTTTATTATTTACCACAGGCACAATGGTGTTTTTATTTGTAAATATAATTTTTATTGTTTTATCAACGGTAATTTTCATATTCTCAAGAAATACAGAAAATACAGTGTGGGGATCGCAGGTCCATTATATAACTAAGAGGAGATAGAGCAATAGCCATAGAAAATCATGGCATTATGTGGGCACACATGACCCAAGCATCTGAGGACTCGCAGGTCCCTTATTGAATCACATTTCCAGTATAGCAATGGTAGTTTATTGCTGAGGTTTCGGTATTCTCTCCCCGCACTTTTCTTTTTGTGGGTTTGCTGTTTATTTTCTACTTAGGTATAGCCCAGAATTTCAGGTATATGTCAGGTATGGGACTTGTAGGTCCCCAGAGGGCCGTGCAAGGGTTAGCGATGGTCTTATAAGATGGGTATACATTTGGGCTCGCAGGCCCCTGTCCGTTATGGACTCCCAGTACTCCTATCTCTCGCCTTGTGACACTCTCTGTTATGTTTGCTAAACCTGTCTCAGATTTCAGGATTCCTACATTGTGATTCTCCTAAACTACCGCATTGAGAGAGTCCTCCCAGCAGATCTCTCTGGTTGGTCCCTGTTGCCCAGTTAGAGCCGTGGTCTGACTGTAGGGGTATAGTAGAAAGGGGAAAACAGGGTTGGATACTGGGGAGTCATTAGTGTCCTGTGTCTTTGTTGTGATCAAATTCGTAGTCTGTCCATGTTAATCAGTACTGCAGCTTTTCAGCAAAGTCTGGTTTCATCATTGTCAGCAGCAATTGTGTCCTTGTGTTTAAATATGATTGGTGTGTGCCCGCTGTGCTGGTGTGAAGGTCCTCCTTTGATCTTAGCTCTTCCATTTGGGAGAACCATGACCTCAGTGGGGGAGTTACCGGTTGTTTCCATTGTCGTGGGATTACTAATTTGGCTATATTCAGGATGCAGATTGTGATAGATTTCTTATAGAAGGTTCTAGGAGTCTTGGTGTGATGTATAAGCATTTCTGCGGGTTTTAAGGGGGGTGGGCTTTCCGTGAATAACTCTAGCATTGTGTATATATCCCCTTCCAGAATGGAAGGATCTTCTTGCATTCCCACCAGATGTGGAGAAGTGTGCCTCTCTCCTCCTCACATCTGCAGCATAATGGGGAGTGATCCAGGGTGATCTTGTGTAGTGTTGAGGGAGTACGCTATCAGAAGGATAACAGTTTGTATGCTGTCTCCTGTGTTTTTTGCTAGAGCATATTTTTTTTCCCACTCTGCTTTGTCAAATGTGCAGTCAAGGACTGTCTCCCATTTCCCTATGAAGCTTGGCTATTCAGTAGGTGTATGTGTCAGTAGTAAAGCTTATACGAAATAGACCCCATGAGCCAATGGGTCAGGGTCCAGACAAGTACTTTCGAATATGGTCGGGCCTGGGATAGTACAGTCCCTTGTGGGAGTGTTTCAATAAAGCTCAGTAATTGTTTGTGTTTCAGTTGCATAAGAAAGGTTATATTCGCATCGCCCCTCATGTCAGCTAGTTTCTTAATACCTTCTGTTGAATATACATGTCTGGGTAAGGGGTCGCCTATAAGGGTTTTGAAGGCGTTTGGGTCCAGTCCCAGCGGAAAGTCCGGGTTGTGTCAATGGAAGTAGGGGAGATGGGTATGTCGAAATAGCTTGTTTTCCCATACAATGCCATACTCGTAAGGTGGCTCTTGTGTACGAGGAGCAGTCTCTCTCTCCCCTGGTGGCCCCGGGTGGTAACCATAGCAGCAAAGCAATGGGGACGCCCGCCTCGCTCTCCTACGCCTGTTTCCATGGTTTGTGTACCTTTTGTTTGGACCATTCTATTAATCGCAGGACATGGCAGGCCTTGTAGTAAAGGGAGAAGTCGGGCATCGCCAGGCCACCCTTATCTTTTGGTTGGATTAGCAGGGTGTGTCTTATTCTGGGTCTTTTCCCATTCCAGATGTAGTGTCCAAGGGTCATGCGTAGTGAGGTGAAAAAGGAGTGAGTGATCGCTACAGGGATAGTTTGGAAGAGGTATAGTAGGCGTGGGAGGAAATTCTCCTTGACTACCTGAATCCTGCTCAGCCAAGAGATGTGTGGGTATGCCCACTCCTGCATTTCCGTGCAAAACGTTGCGTGCATCGGGGCAAAGTTTTCCTTAATGGGACACTATAATCACCTGAACAACTTTAGCTTATTGAAGCAGTTTTGGTGTATAGAACATGCCCCTGCAGCCTCACTGCTCAATCCTCTGCCATTTAGGAGTTAAATCCCTTTGTTTATGAACCATAGTCACACCTCCCTGCATGTGACTTGCACAGCTTCCATAAAAACTTCCTGTAAAGAGAGCGCTATTTAGGCTTTCTTTAGTGCAAGTTCTGTTTAATTAAGATTTTCTTATCCCCTGCTATGTTAATAGCTTGCTGGTTCCTGCAAGAGCCTCCTGTATGTGATTAAAGTTAAATTTAGAGATTGAGATATAATTATTTAAGGTAAATTACATCTGTTTGAAAGTGAAACCCGTTTTTTGTTCATGCAGGCTCTGTCAATCATAGCCAGGTAGGTGTGGCTAGGGCTACATAAACAGAAACAAGTGATTTAACTCCTAAATGACAGTGAATTGAGCAGTGAAATTGCAGGGGAATGATCTATACACTAAAACTTCTTTATTTAGCTAAAGTAATTTAGGTGACCATAGTGTTCCTCTAAATAAGTCTCCCTCCTTTCGTGTTTGCCATGTGCCGAGGTATCTGATTTTTTTGGGTTGCCCATTGGAAGTTGTAGTGTTGGCGAATTGGAATCGCCCTATGTTCTGGGACACTAACATTTAGGATGAACGATTTGGAGACGTTTATTTTTAAGTTGGACAATGTTCCGAAGTCGCGAAAGGCTTTTAGAATGTTAGAGAGTGACACTTCTGGGTTTGTTATGTAGTAGAGTAAATCATCCATGTACGCGGCTATCTTGTGATGTGTGTTCCCTGCTGTCACCCCTGTGATGTCTTGGTTGTGTCTGATGGCCACCAGAAGGGGCTTGAGGGCAAGGACGAAAAGCAGCGGAGACAGGGGGCATCCCTGGAAGGTGCCATTCTGGATTGCAAACTCGGCAGTCAGCACCCCATTAATTGTGTGTATAAGGCCTTGATCCATCCCAGCATCTTGGGGCCCAAACCGATGTGTGCTCGAGTGCGGAATAAGTGTTTCCAACAGACCCTGTCGAAGGCCTTCTCCGCGTCCGTGGATAACAGGAGCAGACTTTTGTGGCTGCTCTCTCTTCCGTGCATCAGTGAAAGGGTACGCATGGTGTTATCCCGTGCCTCCCTCCCCATCACGAACCCCACCTGGTCCGGTTGCACCAGTGTGGGTATGTGACTTTGTAGTCTGGTGGCAAGGATTTTGGCCATTAATTTGATATCGCAATTTATTAGAGATATGGTTCAATAGCTCCCACAGTGCTCTCCGTCCTTGCCCTCTTTAGGGAGACTGGTGATATGTGCCACCAGGGATTGCTTCGGAAAGTTGTGGTCCTCCATAATGGCGTTATTTGTGGCCAAGAGGGGTTTGTAGAGTATGTCTGCAAAGTTTTTGTAATAGCACAGCGGCAGGCTGCCTGGGCCCGGGTTCTTGCTAAGTTTCATTTGCTTTACTGCCATGGCCAGTTCCTCAGGGGTGATAGGGTCGTCCAACAGGTCTGCTGTTTCCCTATCAAGGGAGGGCAGTGTGTGTACAGCGAGGTAGTTATTGATGGAGTCCAGCAGACGTTTGTCTGCCGCCTGTGTCTGTGGTCGCAGTAGGTCTGCGTAATAGGACCGTTTCACCTCCTGAATCCTTGTGGGCAGTCGATGTAGGGTATCCTTGTTATTTCTTATGCAGTCAATATACGTAATCTGCCTACGTTCAACCAGCATCTGTGCCAACTGTCTGCCGCTCTTATTCCCATGTAATGAGAAGAACGCCTTGTGCCTCAATGCTTCTCTGTGGTATTTGGTCTGGAGCAGTAGGGTCAGTTCCCTCCGTAGTGTTAGGAGCCTGTCTTGGTGCGTGGATAGGTTTGTCTTTATTTAGGGAGTCTATCTCTTGGATTTCTGCCAATTGGGTGGTCATGTCTGCCTCCCTCTGTTTTTTCATTATAACACTCTTTTGTAGGAAGTGCCCCCTCACTACACTTTTGTTGGCTACCCAGAGTATTGTTGGGGTTGTTTGTGTTGGTGTATTGATTGTGAAATATTCCTTGAGGACCATCCCTATTTCCGATTTAACATCAGGTAGGGAGAGTTCATGATCATTGAGTCACCATTTGGCCACCTTAGGCCTGTATAGAGGGGATGAAAGTGTGATTGTCACCGGGGCGTGGTCAGACCACGTCCCCGTGCCGTGCTCGGCTTGTAGGATGACTGGGAGATGATAATGTGACATGAAGAAATAATCTATTCAAGTGTACGTGTTATGTGGGTGAGAGAAGAATGTATAGTCCCGTTCATTGGGGTGGTGGGCTCTCCAGCAATCCACAAACTTGTTCTTAGATAATAGTGATTTAATCATTGATATATGTTGGGTCGGGATGTGGGAGGTGCCTGAGGATGAGTCCCATCTCGGTTTTAGCATAAGATTAAAGTCTCCCCCCTAGGACCAGAACTCCCTCCCGAATTTCCTCAGCTTATTTAGGGTTTGGCCAGATGTCTGAGTGGACAGGGCCCGCCCCCCGGCTCGCTTCTTGGCAGGTCATCACGTAGCACTAAGGGGGGTACGGTAGCCCGGACCAGTCGGCTTGTCCCGTATATATATGCTTATGTCCATTGGGCCGTAAGGCCATTGTAGCGGATACTTGTGTTTTGGTGCTAGTGAGAGAGTTCATAGGCCAAAGGGTGGTGAAAGGTGTCCCTGTTACACAGGAGTTCCAGATGGTCGGGTCGGCTACTGGCGTGAGTTCCTCAGTTGCGGGGGCCTTGCAGTCTGTCCTTGAGTGGGTATGTAGAGTGCCAAGGGGTCCGGCCAATGCAGGGGTGCGGGGATTATTTGTAATTCCACTGCTAGGGTGTCCAAGTCTTCCCTCTCCTTGACCATGAAGGGGCCCTTCGGTGTGTGTACCTGTAAGCCTGTGAGGAAGCACCAGCGGTATCTGATCTTGTTTGCTGCAGTTGTCTGGTGAAGGGGAGCAAGGCCCCACGGTATGCCAGCGTGGCAGGAGACAGGTCGGGATAAAGTTGTATCTCAGTCCCCTACATTAACACTCTGTCTGTGTCTCTTGCCTTTCTCAGTATATCCTCTTTCAGCTGGAAGTTCGCCATACAGCATATTATATAGCGCAGAGGGCTCCCGGAAGGACCTTTAGTTCTGTGGGCTCTCACAAAGTCCATTGGGGTCTGTGAGGAGCAGCCCAGGAGCTTGTTGAAGAGTTCGTTCAATGTAATTTATATGGGTGTTAGATTATCAATCTCCCCCAGCACCCCTCGAATCCTGATGTTCTGCCTACTTCACAGATTATCGAGGTATTCCACGTGGTAGGCCATCTGCCTCAATTGGGTTGTGCTGAGTCTTAGGGCATCCGTCTTAGGGGCCTAGGTGCTGGTATGGGTGAAGTGGGGCATAGCAGCTGGGATGGGTAAAGGGGCATGGGAGCTTGAATGGTTGAAGGGGGGCTGGTATGGGACATAGGGTCTTGGATGGGTAATGAGGAGCAAATTGTCTGGAATGGGTGAAGGGGGACATAGGACGGCCTCATGTGGGTAAAGGGGGGCATAGGGCCTCCTGTGGGTAAAGAGGGGCATAGGGCCTCAGATAGGTGGAGGCTTGGATGGGTAAAGGGGGGCTGGTAGACACTTTGCCCCACTTCACCCAACACCGTGCCTATTCCTTCCTGCACCCACTAGAGCCCCATCCATCACATTACATGGGTAAAGGGGGGCCTAGGGACGTGTATGGGTGAAGGGGCATGGGAGCTTGAATGGTTGAAGGGGGCTGGTATGGGACATAGGGTCTGGGATGGGTAATGAGGAGCAAATTGTCTGGAATGGGTGAAGGGGGACATAGGACGGCCTCATGTGGGTAAAGGGGGGCATAGGGCCTCCTGTGGGTAAAGGGGGGCATAGGGCCTTGAATAGGTGGAGGCTTGGATGCGTAAAGGGGGGCTGGTAGACACTTTGCCCCTCTTCACCCAACACCGTGCCTATTCCTTCCTGCACCCACTAGAGCCCCATCCATCACATTACCTCCCTGTACCCACCACAGCCTATGACTTTTTGCATACACCTCAGCCTCTATCTCTCCCACCTCATCCACTAAAGCACCTATGCCCCCTGCAGATACCACAACCCCATCTCTCTCATCTCTATCCCCATGCACACACTAATGTCCCTATACCCCCCTACACCTAATACAGTACCTAGGGATCGACCGATATTGATTTTTTAGAGCCGATACCGATACCGATATTCTGTGAACTTTCAGGCCGATAGCCGATATAATTTGCCGATATTCTGTACATTTACCATTTTGGAAAATAAAAACTATTTCTAAAGGTAAATGCACAAAATATACATGCCACATGTAGTGGATGCAGTGTGTTTAGACAGGGGAGCTGTGTGTGTTTGTGTAGTGGATGCAGCGTGTGTTTGTGTAGTGTGTGTAGTGGATGCATTGTGTGTTTGTGTAGTGTGTGTTGAGGATGCAATGTGTGTTTGTGTAGTGGATGCAGTGTGTATTTGTCAAGTGTGTGTAGTGGATGCAGTGTGTATTAGTGTAGTGTGTATATAATGAAAGCAAAGTGTTTGTGTAGTGTGTGGGTAGTGTGCATAAAGTGAATGCTGTATATACTAAATGCAAAGTGTTTGTGTGTATTTGTGTAGTGTGTGTGTATAGTGAATGTAGTGTGTGTATATAATGCAGTGTGTTTGTGTAGTGTGCATTATAGAAACACACTACACAAACTATGCAAACACACTGCATTATATACACACACTACACACACTGCATTATATAAACACTACATTATATACACACACTACACAAACACACACTGCATTATATAAACACACTACACAAACACACTGCATTATATACACACACTACACACATTGCATTATATAAACACACTACACAAACACACACTACACAAACACACTGCATTATATACAGTGTGTTTGTGTAGTGTGTGTATATAATGCAGTGTGTGTGTATATAATGCAGTGTTTGTGTGTAGTGTGTGTATATAATGCAGTGTGTGTGTAGTGTGTGTATATAATACAGTGTGTGTGTAGTGTGTGTATATAATGCAGTGTGTGTGTAGTGTGTGTATATAATGCAGTGCGTTTGTATAGTGTGTGTATATAATGCAGTGTGTGTATTTGTGTGCATTGTATACACACACACACTAAACACACACACACTGCATTATATACACAGTGTGTTTGTGTAGTGTATGTGTATATAATGGAGTGTGTGTGAGGGGGCATTTTTTTATTAAATTAATATTATTTTTTTAGATTTAATTATTATTTTTTGTTTGTTGTCCCCCCTCCCTGCTTGTTGCCTGGCCAGGGAGGGGGGATATAGCAGTCCCTGGTGGTCCAGTGGTATTGGCTCACCTCCCAGCAGCTCCTCCAGCTCCGCAGTGCAACTCTCGCGGCCAGCGTGTCGCGCTGCCATGGTGACCCATGGCAACGCTCTGACGGCGGCGGGTCTCGCGAGAGTTGCACTGGGGAGCTGGAGGAGCTGCTGGGAGGTGAGTAAGCGCTTGCTCTCCGCCCCCCCAGGACCGCCGGGCTTGTAATGAGCCTGGCGGTCCTAGGAGGTATTATCGGCAATATCGGTATCTGAATTGGCCGATACCGATATTGCCGAAAATACCGAATATCGGCCGATTATATCGGTAAAACCGATAATCGGTCGATCCCTAACAGTACCTATGCTCTCCTGCGCCAACTACAGCCCATATCCCCCACACGCGCTGCAGCCACTATGCATCTATTACTCTCACATAATATCTATGTGAGAGCCACACAAAGAGCTTGCAGCAGGAGGGGACCCTTGATCTCTTATTGACCGAGGACCCTGTAACTTGACAATCTGCCCTTGTTTGGAACACAGCTGCAGGTGAAAGACTACATTGAATACTGTCACTTTAAGAAAATATAATTGATTGAATTTTGGTATTTTCACTTTAATCCTCTGCAGCAATATTAATTGAAAATAATAATGCATAAGCAAAGATAGATCCCGCTTGGGATTGCTTTACAGAGATAAATAGACTTGAGTAGTGAAAAATAATGTAGATCCTGATTTGGATTAAATACCCGTGTCCATTAGACTTCAATAGCAAGAATAAAATAAAGTGGATCCTGATTAGGATTGAGTAACAATGTCCATTAGACTTCAATAGTAACATAAAGTAGATCCTGCTTTTGGAAAAATATATCACAGTCCTTTGGCTTCTGGCAATAAACAAATTAAATTAGGAAAGAGTAATCCACTGAATGGTAATAGTGCAATTTAGGAGTAACTGAAACCCAGAGAGCAGACAAATGTATTCCCTTTTTATACTTCCAAATAACTATAAGAAATAACTATATAAGGTTTGAACCAATTATTAATTCCAGTAACTGGAGAACTTGGCTTTGTTCCAGTGGATGATGAGTATGGAAGTCCTTTCCAGAATAGTGAGGGTTATGGTTCCCTGAAATATAGTGAGGATTAGAGGATATCGTAGTGGTCTGTTCCGAGTCTGGGAGTGTGGAAGTCAGCGTACTCGGATCCGGTAAGAGAGGTTCGGTACACATGTAATCAACAGAAGGAGCTCCATCGGCAATTAACAAGTAGGTATTAAAGTGGCAAATTGATTGAGCAATCCGAATGCGGCCACAGCATCCTTTTGACAGGGAATCGCGTGGCGTCAGACGCATGGGCGGAGTTGGGTCGGCAAAACCTGCAAGTCATACTGGTAAATGCCGTTCTATGTCAAAATAACATGGGGGAATCCTGACAATAGCCAGTAAACCAGGCTGTATTAGTTATTATGGTTGGAGTAAAAAATATGGGATTAAGTTTTTACTTCGACAATACCTTTAACTTTTCCTCCATACAATTTTGTAAATTTTGAGAGAACTGAATGAAAAACACAAAAAAGCCCAAACCATAATGGTTGTCCCCTTATGGTTGTGAGTTTTCAGACGTCCATGGTTAGTAAAAGCATATCCCTGGAACACTTCTTCATTGTGCCTATTACCCTGGATATGATTCTAATATTTTTATACAACCAAACCTTTTCTTTTTATTTCTTCTCCTTGATTCTCTCCATTCCTTCGTCTAAATAGGTTATGGTTGTAGTTAAATTTCCTGTTTTTCTACTCAATCTCTTTGGTCAGTTGACAATGACCATACACTAATTAGCTGAACATTTTGTTGCAAACAGGATACTACCATATCGATATAATTGCTACGAGTCACACAAACACTGGTAGAACAGTATACAGTGGGACCTCGGTTTACAAACTACTTGATGATAACTTAATACAAATATATTCGGGGCCAGTACAAACCTTTATCTGGAAATCTATTCATAAACAGGGCTATACACGAGGTCACACATTTAGGCTGGAAGAAAGGAGATTTCATCTAAAGCAAAGAAAAGGTTTTTTTACAGTAAGAACAATAAGGATATGGAATTCTCTGCCTGAAGAGGTGGTTTTGTCAGAGTCCATACAGATGTTTAAACTGAAATTGGATAAATACTTACAAAAAGATAACATACAGGGATATAATTTCTAATTAGTTGGGTAATAGCTGCTTGATCCAAGGAGACATCTGACTGCTATTTTGGGGTCAAGAAGGAATTTTTTCCTAGTTTGTGGCAAAATTGGAAGCGCTTCAGACCAGGTTTTTTGCCTTCTTTTGGATCAACAGCAACAACATTTGTGAGGAAGGCTGAACTTGATGGACGCAAGTCTCTTTTCAGCTATGTAACTATGTACTTGGTTAAATAAATTTTTGGTTTACAAATGAAAATCCAATGAAAATAATGCCTCGGTTTACAAATTTTTTTCGCAATACAAAGCAAGTTTCCCCAGAATGCATTGCACCTGGGAGGTTTATAGCGCCGCCCCCTGCATGCTGGAGCCTGTGGGTAGCACGTGGCGTCGAGTGTGGAGGTGTTGGAGCGGCTTTTGCATCGAGTTTTCCATTTTGGAAATTGTTTGCAGTTGTTTTGGGAATTTTTGGTGCATTTCTCAAGCTGTGGAAAGGTAGGGAGCTGAGCTCTGTCGTTTGCATGCCTTTTATTGTGATTTCTGCATTGTGGGTTGGTTTCCACGCCAGCTCATTTTTTCTGACTTTTTTCTGACCTCCAGAACGGATTAATTGGTTTTCAGTGCATTCCTATAGGAAACCGCGTTTCGGTTTACAAATTTTTTGCAATAAGAAACGTCCCGGAGAACTCATTAAATTCGTAAACTGAGGTCCCACTGTAATTAATTTTTTATATTTTAACTTTGTATGGCAACACCGTGCAAAACAAATAACAAAGTTGGGATAAGTTCACAAAGTTCCAATGTACAATATGACTCCCATTACTATTAAAGGATCACTATAGTCAACATATAAAATCTTTCTTGCTTTTATATTCGTTTGCCATTAAAAATAAATTTGAGCAGGGGCGAGCTAATATCCCGGAAAAAAGACACTGGAGGGGATACTGACCTATTCCGCTCACGGCATCTTGAAGCTCCAGTTGAATTCGAGACACCCAGCGGATTGCGGCCTAGCTGGATGGGGTGGACGGCCGCCGCCCTGTCTTACTGCCACGGGCCGATCCCTTGCATGCAAGAGAAAGCTGCTGCAGCACCTGATCCCGGTCCCCCCTGGCTGCCCCACTTGCCCTCGACACCCATGAGCGGCGACTGCTGAGAGGGCCTAGACAGCCATGCGTCCCACCAAAATGGCAAAAGGACACCCTGAGCCAAGGCTAAACGAGCCACCAAACGACCAGGCGACACATACAAGCCTGGAACAGCAGCTGAATGAACTCTTATGGGCGCAGCTGGAGGCTCGAGCCGAAGCTACTCAAGCACGGTGCAGGGGGAGACCATGAGGGGGAAAGGAGCAAGTAGCACAGGTACACCCTCTGGGCACTCGCACCCAACAAGCCACGAACACAGGCAGACAGAGCCCTCTTGGGACGAGGGTCAAAACGGGAAAATACCCAGCGCAGCGGCCACCATGGCAGAAAACCCCCTGCCGCAAGCGGCGAAAATACATCCGGGGTCTCTGCCGCATCCCACACGGGGAAGACTTGGACTCTGACAAGTGCCCACGAGTCTGTGGCCACTCAGTGCGGGCCCCTCACAAGGGGAAGACTTGGACTCTGACAAGTGCCCACAAGTCTGTGGCCACTCAATGCGGGCCCCTCACAAGGCTTGGGGATGGAGGATTGCTACGTGGTGAACTGGCCCGGTAGCCACGCTGGACTACGCCTATCGATTCCCAAGTATCGGGGTGGGGTGAGCATACCGACCCAAGCCCAGGACTGATGAACTGTTGCCAGCCACTACCGTTAACCGCTGCCATGACCCTGCATATCTAATGTCCTTCCACCATGACCGCAACCTACCAAATCCTACCCAGCTCGCTGAATGGTGGAGCGCAACACTGCTTCACATGCCTACCACACAGCCTGAATCTATTGACTTGCTGACTAATACAGGGTGACTGCTGCAAAACCCTCAGTTAACAATTCTCAATCAGGGGGCAACAGTGCTACGTACTACTGGTATTGATACACGACAAACTCATTGTTTACTCAGTTGGTCTACCCATCGACGTATCAGCTTGGCATTTTTTCACTTGAGATCACATGCCTGAATAACTTAACGCTATGACATACGAAAGTTATTGTACGTTCAGACTTAAGCACCCAGCTTAACTTAGAGGGATGCCTATGTGTCTCAACTAAACAGCTAAACATTTCTGCTAAATAGTTTGACAACACTTGCCTGATTACGTAACAAACGTTTTATGCATGTATTACCTGTGTTATTGCTAGACTAGATTAACCTAGGTGAAGCTACTTGAATAGGGTACTCTAGCTCGTTAGGCAATGTTTAACAGCCACTAATCACCAGTATATAATCACTGTATGTTAACTGTCTCAAGCTTGGTGATCATAACTTGAACCGCCACAATAGACATACAAAGTTAGCCTGTATTAAGCTTGTTTACACATTTAAAAATTGTGCCTTTCTCCAAATGCCATGCAAATGTCAACTTATACTTGTTTTCAAATCGCCTGTAACTGCTGTCGTGGCATTGCAAGCATACCTTTGTTATATCGTGCACAATAAAATAAAGAATTATAAAATATATGTTTGAGCTATTTTTATCATATAAACTTGCCTTCGTTCCAGTGCCGAGCTCCTCGGCAGGCCACACCCCCTTTCCCAAAATGACGAAATAGCAGGGCTCAGTCAGACGCTTCTCTTTGAATGCAGCTGTATGAATAAACTATGTATTCGCGAGCTTTGCTGCCTGACCGCTCAGCTCGTTGTCTATGCCCGCCCCCCTTCAACGGCAACCTTCCTAAGCCAAACTTTTGTATGCAAACACTATATATAGAGATTTCTCTATACATAGTGTTTGCATACAAACACACACATTTTTAATAACACACGCACACTATTTCTATCTATCGATTTCTATCTATTTCTTTCACTCACTCTATTAATCTCTCACTCTCTCAATCTCTCTCTCTCAATCTTTCTCAATCTCACTCTCTCAATCTCTCTCTCATTCACTCTCTAACTTATGCTCGCTCACACGTGCTCTCTCTCTCGCGCTCTCTCACACACTCAATTTTTAAAATAAGTTTACTTACTGTTTGAAGTCAGTAGATCCTCCTGCTCGGTCTCCTGCCTTAAGCCTGTCAGCCCGAGCCCACGCTGTGTGCAGGAGATCGTTATCTGTCACTGTCGGCTCTGATTGCTGACAGGCACAGGAGGCGCGTTCACAGTGCCTCCTGTCTCCAGATATCACGTTTGATGAATTCACGCGTGAATTCAAGCGTGAAGACGTCAAACGTGATGAATGTGAGTTAGGCAGCCCTGAACTCTGTAGTCCCTCTGGTGGCTGTCTGAGTGACTTCCACTGGAGGTGTTCCTAGCTTCCAAGGTAAACACTGTATTTTCTCATAAAATACAGTGTTTACATATGAGAGGCTGCAGGGAGCTATTCTCACCTGAACAACCTCATTGAACTGAAGTTGTTCAGGTGACTATAGTGTCCCTCTAAGGTATTCCATTCCAGTTCCTAGATTTTATGTTGTATGTAAACACTGTTGACAAATGTCACTGTGGCAATATTTTTTCAAACCAAATGTGATTGTATTGTTTTGTGCTTGTATTGCTTGTTGTTGATTTAAATACAAAATAAAGCACTTTTATATTTATATAGTTTAATATATATATATATATATATATATCTCCCTAAAGATCTTAATTCAAGTTATAAGGCATTTAAATATTTGTATTTTAAATATTTTTCTACTATTGTATCTCTTGTTTTATTGCAGATTGATTGTAGAAACATGTATCGGTCAAGGAGTTTGCCTGGAAAGGTCAGTAAGTGTGTGGATTTTAGTTATTTATTTTAGTGGTTATTTTTCAACGAGTCATAGAAACAAAGTAAATATATTCACTTAGTAGTCCTGATCTTTTTTTTGTTTTGGTTTTTTAAAGCCCTATATCTCTTTGATTTTCATATTCTTTTGGTAATATTTTGGAGTGCTAGGACAAATATACAAGGAGTGAAGTTTTGCATCTAAATTGTTAAAGTTCACAAAATTTAGATTCTTCCTAATTAGTTCAAATGATTTCATTCTTGTAATAAAGTTAAGAAGCAATTAGTATAGGAAATGCAAGCTGTGTTGTAAAGAAGTGGATAACATGGTTAATTCTTCATTATTGCGTTATGGTTGTGTCCTATTGCTTAGATGTTTGTCAGATTGGCATCATGGAACTACAGCATGTCTTATTGCATTCTTAAAGGATCACTATAGTGTCAGGAAAACAAACTCTTTTTCCTGACACTATAGCATCCTTAGTACCCCCCACCCTTAGGGTCTCCCTCCCTTGGCACTGAAGGGGTTAAAACATGTTGTTTTAAAACCCCTTCAGCCACTTACCTTTATCCAGCGCCGGGCTGGTGACCTCTCCTCCCCCGCCAACGTCAGCTCCTGAGTGAAGCGGAATGTGCATGCGCAACAAGAGCTACACGCGCATTCAAACAGTCCATAGGAACAAAAGTTGTTCCAGATATAGCTGGATCCCTCCAAATTGAGATGGGTTGACTTGTGGAGGCTCTGATAGCCTGTAACAGTAGGCTCCTGTGGGTGAAAAAGTGGAATCTAACAATGGTGTTCTTTGGGGCTCCTTGTGGTGCCCTGAGCCCTCTTGGTAGGTGATAGAGCCGGTCTATAACAGATATAACTATGTTGAGGTTTGGTAATAAGTACGCTACATATTCTTTAAAAAAATGAATCCAGCTCCGACATACACTGTCAGGTGTGCCTCTGATTCTTACATTGTTACGTCTCAACTTATCTTCCAGGTCTGATATTTTCTGTTCCAATGTAGATACTGTTGCTTTTAAATTTTAATGGATATCTTATAGTGCCTTATGTCCACAGACTCATCCATTTTTCACTCCAATTTCAATCGCCAATTGATTAAGCCATTTCTGATGTTACAACGGTGATGTTTTTCTGTATGTCCTTCCCTTAACTCTTGCAACATGCTTTTAATTTTTCCTGTGAAGGCCTCCGACTCTAGCTTGGCTTCCAAATTCTTGTATGTGAAGCAGGACTTGACTGCTCATTTAGTCAGGAGTTAGAAACTTGGTTAAATGAGCGTTGCCCAAAAGGACAGGGGATAGTATCAAGTTCTGCCCCACCATTTTTGAAAACCTTTTGAGATACCATTGAATTACTGTTTCCAATCTGTTTAATAGGTAGTGTCAAATCAAATTTGGCTTATTATGCCATTTTTTGTGTGTGTTTATTTTGATATGTTTTATATTAATCATTGCCTGCTAGACTAATATGAAAAACCATGTGCATAGTTTTGAGCACCATTGTCATACACCCGGCATTATTACTTGAGTTCTTTTATGTATCATGGTAAAATATCTGTCTGAAATGTTGTTTGTGAATATACAACTCTCCCATTAACAGTGCAGTTTACTAATGCATTATATGTTTTACTTCTTCTAGACTCCCCGTCGAAGATATGTATGTGATGTAAGTAATTGTTAATTTATGTTTTATTGATTGTTTAAGAAAATTATTTGCTGCAGCTCTGTCACCCACGGAAGGTATCTATATATTGGATCAGCATTATTTTATTCTACTTTACTTATTTTATACATTTGGTTTATTTAAGTTTTTGATATTTATGATGTTATACGCTTTTTTGTTATTTTGTCATTGTAAAGTACCACATTGGCATAATGTTTGGGTAAGTTATATTACACAACTATCTTATGAATTTTTTTTTTTTTTTTGAATGAATAAAGCTGTTTGACTATTTATTGGAGTACTGCAGAATCAAAGGGACACTATAGACATCCATACTGCTTCATCTCGTTTAAGTTGTATGGGTGCAGTGTCCCTGTCTCATTGAGAAACTGCAATGTTTACATTACAGGACTAAGACTGCCTCCTTTGGTTGTCTTTGAGACCCTTAGATGATGCTGGGCATCCTCATGCTCTGTATAAAGACATCCAGCGTCCGTGAAAACTCCACAGCGAGGCAGTGCTTTCCTGTGGAGATGGCCCAATGCTCTTGAGGAGCATTAGGTCCCCCAGTTGTTTGACGCAAAGGAGGCTGAACTCTGACTCCGCGCCAAGTGGCATCGGTGCTGGAATCGGGTATGTGACTAAAGTTTGATTTATTTATTTGCCCTTTACATGCCATAGTGAGGGGCCCCATGGGAAAGGGGTGTAAAGCGCAGAGGGCACTATTGTGTTAGCAATACAGATTTTCTATTCTTAACACCATAACATCCTTGCCCCCCCCCCATCCCCCAGCTCCCTAAATATAGAAACATCTTACAGTGGATGTCCACGCTGCGATGCTCCAGAAAGCACCTCTAGGGGCCACCTGAGGAGTGGCCAGTGGAAATATCCTTAGGCTGTAATGTAAACACATCCTTTTTTTTCTGAAACAACTGTTGTAACGGAGCTCCTTGTACTCCGACTGAGTACCCTCCGTTGACGGATGCTCCTAGCGCTTCCTGAGGACTCCAAGCGCTGCAGCAGACACCACAACCACCACAGACTCCGCAACCGCCGTATCTTGACTGGAGTCTCGCCGTCTTCCTTCCACCCTGGATCAGCTTCTGTCCTCCAGGACTGTGTGGGAAAGAACTCTTCCTTCCACCCTGTATGAACCTCCAGCATCCAGGACTGTGTGGTGAAGACCCCTCCTCCAAGGAGAGCGTGTTAAAAGAGCTAAGTGACTCAAGCTCAGGGGAGCATGCAGAGCATAGCAATCCCCAGTGTGATTATAACAGCTCCCTCCAATAACAAGACAAGGCTACATTTAGAGGGATCAAGAAGAACTGTCAAAACCTTTATTTCCCTTGGGACCAGCCAATAGGGTCACCACAATAACATTGTTGTGAAACCTCAATAAAATCACAAACAGTCAAACCAAATCAAGCAACACACAGTGACTTATCACAACACAATGGCACATTTTTAAAGGGGTGGGGGGAGACAATATTTAACAGTAAATATCTCACCTGCCTGCAGAATTAGCAATATGCAAATCTACCTGAATATGCAAATGAACCAGTCTTGCAATTCAGGTAGTGCATATTGCTGTTGCTACCAACAGAGGGCACTAGACAAGCTCCATAGCCAAACCCACCTAGTTGGTAGCAAACCTCAGCAATACAAGAGAGCAGGCAATACATTACACAGTACACACACACACACTATAAACAATTACATTACACACACCCTGCACCTATAATGGGTACAGGGTGACTAAAACATAAGATAAATAAAGCAGCCTACATAAATAGTCTGTCTGAAGGTAGACTAGGGGCTTTAAAGCCAGATACATGAAAGAGTCATAGTCACAGGGGAGGAGGCTGGCAAGTAGGCCTCTCCAGGACCAAGTGGCGAAGGGCACTTCGTCACAACAGTGTTTACTGCAAAAAGCCTGTAGGGACTGATCATACTTCCCCTTTAACATTATGTTTATCTTATTTAAGAAGGAGTGATTGATTACTGATCTGAACCCATACATTGTAACATTGACTAGTCTGGTTACCTTTTGTGTGGTACCTAATGCTAATAAAATTAGGCTTTTTTTTTTTTTTTTACTAAAAGCGTGAAGAATGAACACAGTAGTTTAAGAAATGTGAAATCACTAGTCCGACAATGGTAAAAAAATATATAATTGGACAACTTTGCATGTGCTTTATAAACTCTCTTTTCCATATGATCTGGCCTATATTGGGAAGCAAGATCTGTCCTCAAAAAGGAATTAAATAGAGAGATAATTGTATTTTGTTTTGCATTATCTATGTAAATAGGCACTTAAAAAATAAATTAATTAAAAATATTGTAGTTTATTTCCACATATTTAATTAGTACTATAAAAATCCTAGTGTTCTGTTCCACAGGTATATTTCTACTACTATGTGTCTCCCAATACATATTAACCAAGTTTGTAACGATTTTAAGGCTAATTTATAGATTTACCTGCTCCCCCCCCCCCTCCTCCTCCATACACACTTTTTTATTATCTTTACAAACTGAAGGCCAATTTCTTCTTAGAAGTATGAATAGCAGTCCCCAAATTCAGCTAACTCCCTTTTTATAGCTTTTTATTTGCAAAAGCAACTTCCCAGTTTTTTTCACTTGAGGCCATTCAATCACCAGATTCTGCCAAGGTTTGTGGTAACAATTTTATGCAGTTTGTAAATGCTTCTTACATTTTCAATGTAGATGTTAGAAATGGTGACAATTTACAGTACTTTAACCCCCACATTACTATTTGGCTACATCGCTTATAGTACACCAGTACTCATGTAAAGCTTAACTTTTCTGATGTTATATAGAGTAAATTTTAGACCTATACTAATTTTGGTGTGATTCCAAGTTTCAAACTTTTATTACCTTAAATTTCATTCTTACCTTAAACCTAATTTTACCCCTTACTGTAAATGTAAACCTAATCCTTAATATTTACCCTAGGAAAAAGACAAAAACAAGGGGATCAGGGTGCCACAGTCACTACTGTACTCTTATAATTACCAACTTTGATAAATCCTCATGAAAAATAAAATAAAACAAATATCATAGTGTAACATTTATTTAACATAGAATTAATGCATAAACCAATAAAATAGGCACATAAAATTTACATTAATGTGCAAAAACGCATGGTGCCAAAGGCACAATCCCACCAAATCTGTCCAATGCAGCTCAGTCTACATTTAACGATGTTCCTGAGCCCAAGCTTGGAATTCCACTCTACACCCGAACCTCGAGATGAGTTTATTCACCTCACTCAGCGCGACGCGTTTCATCTTGGAAGACTTATTCAGGAGCTTGCTATGCCTCTTGTTCTTCAGCGTTTAAAGAAGCTTCCTGATGGTTGCCACGCATGCATGCTGAAACCCCCGGATGTTACACCATGCAATTCCCCATTCGGTATTCTCAAATAAACTAACACTTTCTTTCGCGAGCGTGTCATTCATTTTACTTCTAAAAGTGTTGCATGTAAAAAATCGATTCGAAAAAGAAAATACACCATTAATATAACATACAAGCTATTAATATATAACCTCTATACAATGAGGATCAGGAGATGTGCAATGTTAAAAAAAAGTAAGGAGTGTTAAAAGCATTTTTCAATACCTCCTGTACAGATCAGAAAAGGAATGAATAAAAAATATATACAGAATCTCACAAAAGTGAGTACACCCCACCTGCAACAACTGCAAACCATGCTGCAGGACATACAACGCCTGCTGGCAGCAGACTTACCTGCGCTCAAAACGAGCATGCAACAGATCACAGAGAAAGTTGTCAATACAGAGGGTGAAGTTAGAATGATCCAGGGAGAAATCTCCACGCTGAAGGAGTCCTTCCTCCAGCTGCAACACAGCCACCAACTCCTGACAGTACAAGTGGCAGCACAAGAGGATAAAAACCAACGCAATCACATTAAAATCAGAGGCATACCCGCCTCAGTAAACAAAGAGGATCTACCGCACTATATTAGGAGACTCATGCAATCACTACTACCACCCACAACGGCAAGGAAGCTCACATTCGCGGGGATATACCGCTTACCAACGCCTGTCATTGTCCGCTGTGTCCTACCCCAAGACAAGGGACACATCATGAATGCGATCAAAGGCAAGACTCCACCGGATTTCAAAGAGTTCCAACTAACCTTCTATCAGGACTTAACCAAAACCACTCTCCAATGGAGAAAATCACTCAATGAACTCACCAGTCAGCTGTGTACAGCGGGGATACCATACCGCTGGGGTAACCCACGCTCCTTACTAGTCACCCACAAAGGGACCACACACAAACTCTCCTCGGGGACTGAAGCACCCGCACTTCTAACGAAGCTGGGCCTACCAAACAAACCCGACCAAAACACCGCCCAAGCCTCGAAACTCAGCAACCGCTGAAATATTCATTCCAAGAAGGCAAAGACTGGACACACAGGGCACCTGACAGGGGAGGAGAAGTCTCCTACCCTTCCTGTTCAAGAGGCGATACAAAATGTTGATGTTATAAAATGCCTATTTACCATTTACTGCACACGCATACTTGTTAATGTTACACAAGTTACGACACTAGTTTAATGCTTACTATAAGAGCCTGCTAGAGAAGGCGCTGACACACAATACCGCATCCACAGAACATGTATCACGGCGCAAGACGGAACACACTCCCCCGACAGCCCGTAGGTTAGGACTACTACCCCTCATGAGTAGTCGCTATTGAGCTCAAGCCAACTATACCTCTACCAAGAGGTAGAGCATACTGAAGACTTACCCACAGGACTCAACAACCAGCATTGCAACCTCTACCAAACCCATACTGACCCAAGCAAGGAACCAGAACCACGACCAGCCCGCTGATAACACTCACCCTGGGTCAGACCTCTGCAACCGACCCACGACCTAGGTAACAAAACCACAATCTCATACCTTAGCTACACATATTCTAGACCTTACTCACCACCTAGGATTATCTGCTTATTATAACTCAAACAAAAATTTGTGCTAAGCTCTGACACATGCATTGTATAATCATTGTTGAAATCTGTTAATACCTGCTTTTATGCATATGGTAAACTTATTGTGGGTTTGCAGCACGCAAAAATAAAGAATTAAAAACAAAAAAAAGTGAGTACACCCCTCACATTTTTGTAAATATTTTATATATTTTCATGTGACAATACTGAAGAAATGACACTCTGCTACAATGTAAAGTAGTATGTGTACAGCCTGTATAACAGTGTACATTTGCCTTCCCCTCAAAATAACTCCACAAACAGCCATTAATGTCTAAACCGTTGGCAACAAAAGTGAGTACACCCCTAAGTGGAAATGCCCATATTTTTCCATATTTTGTGTGGCCACCATTATTTTCCAGCACGGCTTTAACTCTCATGGGCATGGAGTACACCAGAGCTTCACAGGTTGCCACTGGAGTCCTCTTTCATTCCTCCATGATGACATCACAGAACTGGTGGATGTTAGAGGATGCCCCATAGGATTTAGGTCTGGAGACATGATTGGCCAGTCCATCACCTTTACCTTCAGCTTCTTTAGCAAGGCAGTGGTCGTCTTGGAGGTGTGCTTGGGGTAGTTATCATGTTGGAATACTGCCCTGGGGCCCAAGGGAGGGGATCATCCTCTGCTTCAGTATGTCAAAGTACACTTACTACTTTACATTGTAGCAGTGTCATTTCTTCAGTGTTGTCACATGAAAAGATATAAGATATTTACAAAAATGTAAGGGGTGTATTCACTTTTGTGAGATACTTTATATACATACAGGACCAGATGTAAAGTGTCTAAAAAAAAAAAAAAAACCAACAAAAAAAAGAAACCCAAATCAATATAATAGATATTTATAAAAAAAAAACATGTAAACATCAATATATATATATATATATATACACACACACACAAAATATCCAACTCAAGACCTTAAATTATACTTTTATTAGGAAATAAAAAAACTTAAATATTTTGGGTAAAAAAAAAAAAAAGAGAAACTTGGACAGATGAATATAGTATAAAAAGCTCAAACAATGATATTAAAAACCATCTGGAGGGGCGTGGTTTGGCGCCGAGAAAGACTGGCCGCCTAATCTCGCAGCTCCGCTCCCAGCTGCATGAAAAGCATTTTTAAACAGCTCACCCCGGCAACCGCAATAAACGAGCCCAAATGACCCTCTCCACGCCGAGAACACAGGGGAACAATTCGCTCCCCTCGATCCGCAGCTACCTGAACACACCCGGGGATTTCCTCTCCCAGAAGGAAGCCTCCAATATGGCGTCCTTCTCCCCGAGCTCAGAGCTCTCTGAAGAAAGCCCACGCATGGAAACACACATGCCTGCTCCACAGACGCCGGACTGGTATACCCTCTTCTCATCACTGCCGAAAAAGGAGGACTTCCAGACCCTGCTGGAGGATGTCAAATCCACGCTGAGAAGTGAGATCTCGGCCCTTGGCACCTCACTTACAGCACTGGAGGTGAGAGTGCATGCCCTGGAGGCCCAAGGACATAACCCACACTGCCCTGCAGCAACAGCCACTACAGCACAAGCCAAGCTCATACAAGACCTGCGCCTCCACGTAGAAGACCCGGACAACCGCAGCCGCAGGCACAATATACGGGTAAGGGTCTGCAGGGAAAATTACACCATAGTGGACGCAAGGGACATTCTGACCCCAATCTTTAACTGCATTCTAGGCCGGCCACGGGACGCACGCATCCACATGGACCGGGCCCACAGTGCGTTAAGGCCCAAACCTCTTCCGGGTGCAATCCCAAGGGATATCCTTTGCTGCATACCGGACTTCCAATTAAAGGAAGAAATCATGGGGAAAGCCCTCATGGAACAATCCTGGAGGTTTAAGGGGCAGGTGATCGAGATCTACAATGACCTCTCCCACCTCACACTACAGGCCCGGAGAGCACTGCGGCCCCTCACTGCAGGATCTACAAATATGAAACAGGTGGCAGTTTCCGTTCGTCCTCTCAGCCTCGACGGGGCAACACTGAAACCACAATTCGGACACCACAGGATGTCCAGACCTTCCAAGAAGCCCTTGGCCTTCCCCACATCCCCATCCCGGACTGGACAGAATGCCCGGCAAACGAGCGTTTCACAGGGAGGCCAACCCACTGCACCATCCAACAGGGACCTGACACCGACACCCCATACACCTCCCACCGGCAAACTGAACCTGAAGAGTAGAGAAAACATCGCTCCCCCCCCCCTGCCCCTTGCTGTCCAACACGCACTGCCAACCTGAAACCAGATAGGCTCCACTAACCGGACAGGTGCGAGGATGGGGAGAGGCAAGACCCAGAAATGACAACCAGGAACACTGTGGCAAATCCCCCCCCCCTTTTTTCTCCTTATTCCCGCTCCCTTACTTAAATACAACCCGCTGGACTCCACCCCACTAATCTGGTTCACGGCACAAGCCCAACGGACCCACACTGCAACGACAAGACGTCCTCCACTGTACTGCTAACCTGGAAAAGAAGCGGATACAATGGGACAAGGCACAGCAACACTCCACGGGCCAACTGAACCTGTAGTCATCCCGCCTAACCACTGGCCCATGGTACCGCAGATATCCATGCAGGACTCATTATTGCAACCGTGATCCAGTGGACACCGACCGCACTTCACCTCCCTCACGGGACACTGCCCTCCACCGAACGAGCCCCACTCCCGCCAGGGAAACGCTCAGTGGCGTAACACCACAGACTGACACCCCGGGGTCACAATGGACACTTTTCTAAGGACTACCACACTGAAGAGTGACCCACTGAGCAAGTAAACTACTGGGGTCCACACCACTTACATACACACACACCTTCGCATACACTCACCCCAACAGACAGAATGGACAAGGGCCACAGCTCTAACACACCTAGTAGGGATCAGCTACAGCCGCACAGAACGCACAACAACTAAACGCAACACCCGCACTACTCAACCTTTACAGGCCCACACACTCAGGACACCCCCACAACACCCGCAGACTCAGAAACCCCTACACCCCGGGTACCTATACAGATGTCCACGTACCACACACCAGTGACAAACCAGGGGACACAGACACAGGAGGGAGGGGAAGGGGGGGAGCACCTTTCGCTAAATATTGAATGGTGTATGTCGAACTGCACCTGCTGCCTATGATGGTGTCTGATTTACCCAGCTACCTAACCCCCCCTTCCTTCCCTTTTGTTCCCCCCCCTTTTTTTTCTTCTTTCTCTCTCTTCCTTTTCCTCCCTGCCTCCCTCCTCGTCTCCCTCCCCTCTTTCCACTGTCCACCTCTTACCTAACCTGCCTAGCAAAGTACTGTGAGGCGCAAACGCCCTACACAGCAGCCACACCAGAATAGCCGCTCTGGAAGGCACCAATGTTACATGGGCATGTCCTAACTGAATTTACCTGTTTTTAATGATGCAATTGTTCCCTTTCATGATGTCTAAAATGCACATTCCTACTTTGCATGATATTCTCACACACGCTCCTAACGCACCTGTATACCATATGCTTTGAGGCACGCACCACGTAGATACTAATACGGATGCTCATCTACATACAACCCAGACCGTTGAAACGGTCCAACCCCCGCCGGGTGCCAAAATATACGGATAAGTGGCAGCTGGGGACGGAAGCAGACCTAATGTGACACTACCCCACTGAGACAACGGCTGGTGCCCCAACCAACTCTCGACGCCACATACCCCACGGGTTGACTGCCAACACCCTGAGAGGTGGATTTGCGGGATGACGTTCCCGCACACCTATCTACCAGCGGCATATCACCCCTAACCTTAGTCGCCTCTGCAACTCAACAACACCTACGCTCACTACACCACACTGACCACTCCCTGCAAACCCCCCTCTCAACCCCACTGCGACACCACATACCCGTGCCCACCGGCCTCACCCCTCCCAACCCTCCCTTTCTCATCTACCGGTTGGGCCTGCCCCCCGCGCCCCCGGTCCTATCAGGCGCGTGGGGGAGGGCATCAACCTCTACATGATCAACGCAAAGGGCCTAAACTCCCTGCAAAAAAGAGCAAGGGCGCTATGTGAGATTCGAGCACTAAAGATATCGATCGCCTTCTTCCAAGAAACACACTTCCTTGCGACTCAGGCCCTCATATTCTCCAATAAATACTATCTAACCGGCCACTTCGCGCACAACCCCTCAACCAAATCCAAAGGAGTGGCCATAATACTCTCTGCAGATATTCAGTTCCGCCTGGAAGCGGCGGAGAAGGACCGGGAGGGGAGATAACTCTTCCTCAAAGGGTATATAGGCAACTCTCGAGTCACCCTCGTGAACTTATATCTCCCGAACAAAGGTCAAAAAGCGTCCCTGGCCTCTGCCCCTAAAAGTCCTGGACGCGTTCAGTGAAAGGACTGTCATTATCGGAGGTGACTTCAACGCCCCGCTGGACACGTCGAAAGGAAGCTCCACGATCCCGGACCATGTCCTCACTGGCATGAGGACCCTCCTCTCCAACCATCAGCTCGCAGACTGCTGGCGCACTCGCCACTACGCAGAAACGACGGTATTATTCAACACCGCTCAAATCCTTCTCGAGGATTGATTACTTCTTCACCCAGCACTGATCTCCGCCCGCATAGCCCCAAGACATGGTCAGACCACACGCCCGTAATCCTTACCATCGAAAACCCCAGGCCCTTCTGTTCGCAATGGACGTGGAAACTCAACGAATCACTCCTAGAAGGCCCGCTGATACAAACAGAAATCTGAACCGCCTTAGAACACTACTTTCTCACCAACACGACAACGGACAGCTTACCACCGACAATATGGGAGGCACACAAATGCGTAATTAGAGGGATCCTCAGCAATCACCCAGGGCGGGGATACACTGGACCCTAACATGCTCCTAGCCCACGTCGTTTTACTACCGAAGGAGGGAAAAGACCCCTCTTCCTGTGCCAGCTACCGACCGATCTCCCTGTTGAACGCTAACCTAAAACTGTTCGCTAAAATCCTGGCCCTGCGCCTGCAGCCCCTACTACCGAATCTTATCCACCCTGATCAGGGGGGCTTTGTTGAGGGTCGAGAGGCCAGGGATAACACAATCAAACCACTTAATCTCATGCATGCAATACGGAGGGGACCTTCCCCCGCTCTAATGGTCTCGACCGACGCGGAGAAGGCGTTCGACAGGGTTGATTGGTCCTTCTTGCGGTCTACACTAGAACACCTCGGCATGGGACCACACATGCTGGCACGAATATTGGCCCCCCTCCCTCTGCAGCCTGAGTGCAGGTCAACGGGATTCTCTCGGAACCATTTAAAGGACCACTATAGGCACCCAGAGTTAATGAAGTGGTTTGGGTGCCTGGTTCATCTAGGATTAACCCTTTCTGCTGTAAACATAGCATGTTTCAGAGTAACTGCTATGTTTACAAATGGGTTATTCCAGCCTCTAGTGGCTGTCTCATTGACAGCCGCTAGAGGCACTTCCGCGCTTCTCACTGTGATTTTCACAGGGAGAAGACGCCAGCGTCCATAGGAAAGCATTGAGAATGCCTTCCTATGAGACTGGTTGAATACGCGCTCGGTTCGTGCCGCGCATGCGCATTCACCCGATGACATCAGGAGAGGGAGCCCGGCGCTGGAAAAAAGGTAAGGGATTAACCCTTACCCTTAACAAAATACCGTCAAGCCGTCCACCTCCAGAGATTGATCGAATGGACACACAACCCAAAAGACAAACTCTGGATCGCCATAGAGGCCAGCTTCTCACCGACACCCCTGTCACTCCTCCCATGGCTACCGAAAAACATGACTGGTGGATTACCGATCAGACACCCAATTCCAACTGCCACTATGTCCTTGTGGAAGAGGATGGCAGCACACAAAGACATAGCCCTGGAGCTCTCACCATTATGCCCCATATCTCACAACCCGCGATTTACCCCAGCATTAGAACCCTGCTACACATCGGCCCTGGGCCTACCGTCCCCCTGCAGACTGAGGGATGTGTACAACCAGGGAGCGATCACGCCGCTGGGGGATCTGGTCCCGAGCGCCCCACACTCCATGCTCCTCCGCTTCGGATACCACCAACTGACAGGGTTCCTGAAGAGTATACCGGGCCTAGACTCTGCATCACGACCGCTCTCCACGTTTGAGGCTTTCTGTACAAAACCCTCCCACCCCCCACATGCAATCTCGATCCTATACTGCATGCTAATCACTCCTCCCGCAGACGCACCCCTTCCTCAGTGGACCAGTGGACGACGGTGTTCACTCTCAGACATAAAGCCTCAATCTCCACCAAATTCCAGGAAACAGGCTACAAAATGGTCTCACACTGGTATAGGACACCTGAAAAACTAACCGTGATGAAAGCCACAAACGACCCGGAATGCTGGAGGTGCGGGAAGGAACTAGGGTCCCTCTTCCACATCTGGTGGTCTTGCCCACTTTTTAAGCCCTTCTGGGCAGCGGTCCACACCATACTGACGACCATTACCGATGCAAACCTGCAACCCACACCTGAAACATACCTGCTCACTTGGCGTATTGTATGCAGTACTGGAGACCATATCTTCAGAAGGATATTGATACTTTAGAGAGAGTTCAGAGAAGGGCTACTAAACTGGTTCATGTATTGCAGGATAAAACTTACCAGGAAAGGTTAAAGGATCTTAACATGTATAGCTTGGAGGAAAGACGAGACAGGGGGGATATGATAGAAACATTTAAATACATAAAGGGAATCAACACAATAAAGGAGGAGACCATATTTAAAAGAAGAAAAGTTACCACATCAAGAGACCATAGTCTTAACTTAGAGGGGCAAAGGTTTAAAAATAAAATCAGGAAGTATTACTTTACTGAGAGGGTAGTGGATGCATGGAATAGCCTTCCAGCTGAAGTGGTAGAGGTTAACACAGTAAAGGAGTTTAAGCATGCGTGGGATAGGCATAAGGCTACCCTAACTATAAGATAAGGCCAAGGACTAATGAAAATATTTAGAAAATTGGGCCGACTAGATGGGCCGAATGGTTCTTATCTGCCGTCACACTCTATGTTTATATGTTATAACATAATCACGAAAACTCTATTTAAGAAAAGCTAATATATCAAGGTCTACATTTAACCCCAGGGGTACTGAAGTTTGTAATTTATAAAACTATTCAGTTTCTTTTATCGCAAGTCTTTTTTCAGTATCCCCTCCTCTCCAGTTAGGGACTACAAGATCAATACCAATACAGATAAAATCCTGAAAATGTAAATCTCTACAATTATTACAGTGTCTAGGTACATGATGTTTCACACTGTTTTTGTTAGTACCATTAAAATGTTCTAAAAGTCTGACATGTAATTTTCTGATTGTACGCCAAAATAAAATGTTTAATTTGAAAAACTTCTTGTGTCACAGACCTTTTAAAAACTTTCGTTTTTTTTTTGTGCTTGAAATTTACATGTACTACAACCCCCACATGTAAAAAAATCCCTTGGGTTTTTCATTCAAAAATCTTTTTGGGTGGTCATTCTTCTTTCCAGACCTGATGTTTGGAAATAATTTGAGGGTTTTTTTTTTTTTTAAAGTATCACTATAGTATCAGGAAAACAAAGCGATTTTCCTGACACTATAGTGCCCTGAGGGTGTCCCCATCCTTAGGGTCCCTCTTCAGCCACATACCTTAATCTAGCGCCGGGCTCCCTCAGTGTTGCTGACCTCTCCTCCCCCGCCAATGTAAGCTCCCGAGAGGAGCGGAATGCGCATGCGCGGCAAGTGGTGCGCGTGCATGCAAACAGTCCATAGGAAAGCATTTCTCAATGCTTTCCTATGGACGCTCTGCGCAATGGATGCGAAATTCGCATCCAGCATCTCAGATGCGCCTCTAGCGGCTGTCAGGAAGACAGCCACTAGAGGTTGGCTTAACCCCTAATGTAACCATAGCCATTTCTCTGAAACGGCTATGTTTACATCTGAAGGGTTAAAACCTGAGGGACCTGGCACCCAGACCACTTAATTGAGCTGAAGTGGTCTGGGTGACTATAGTGTCCCTTTAAGTACAGTTTTTAAAAATCTATCCTGCAATAAAATAGGCCAATGCTTGTTAATATCTTTCCTAATATAATATGCCTTACTATTATAATTATAGAACCCCCTGGCTCATGGTAGCTATTGTTCCCCTGGTTCGTGGTAACAAAACTACCGAACAGTATTCTCCTGGCTGTTCGGGAAAAGGAAGCAGGCGTTCGTATACTTTGACCAGTGTTCGGGAAGTCGAGTGTCCGATTTTAGTTCCAAACACTCGACGACCAAGTCCCGCTGCCTCCTTTCGTGCGAACAAGATGTCTGTCATTTTGTTTTGCACGTGGAGTTCAACTATATGAACCAACCTAAAAGTACCGATTGACGTCTTAACATGACTGAACAAACTGTTCTCATTCTGTTAGGATGAAGTTTGGTAGTTTCGCTGGCGTCCTGTCTATATGACCGGACGTTCGGGAATACGGACAGGAAGCATCGAAAGATCACTGAGGAAAGGTGAGAATTGTGGAAAATTGCTCTGACCACAGGATATGGAGCACAGTTTGCTCCTCCGCTGGTCATAGCTGGTCGGGTGTAGGACAAATACACAAGACAAAATAGTCACTACTTTTTCTTATGTTTTAAAGAAAACTAGAGCAGACAGGAAGAAATTAACAGATCCCGAGAGACGAAGACTAAAGGAAGTGATTAGGGAAAGGTAAGTTCGGCATGACCGTGCCGCTTTAAGGCCTTTAGGGGGCCAGGACTTGACTATCATGATGGTCGGACGCATCTTGCAAGTTCTTCTCCGCTAATTGTTATACCCTGAAAAATACCGTCTTTGGGTGCTGTCCCCAAGCACCCTCTGGGACCTAACTGAATTCTGCCACATGTTGTATACCCTGGGAAGGGTCCACGAAGTGGCTACTGCTTGTTTTTCCCGGGGAACAGGATGAGGCCTAGTGGTACCTCTGGACTGGAGAGGTTGCCGCTCTCCTGTTCCATGCAGAGCAGCTTTAAGACCAAGTCGGAACTCTCTAAGCCCCTTTGGATTGGTGGGGGTTATCCGGGTCCCCACCTGGAGGGCGGGAGACTTGCAATACTGCCGAGAAGCAAGCCACAGTCACGAACGGCGTACTCAACATGGTGGCGGCACCAGGAGGAGAGGTCCAGACTGCTATTCCGGCTGGACAGCCACTTTACAGCATTTTGGCTGAAATTGCAAAACAGGCACTTTCTGCCAGCCACACATGTCCCTCCTGCAGAATTACCCGCACAGGCAAACCAAAACCTCCACGACCATCACACTGCTACCGGCCCTATGGCTGACCGCCTCAGGCGGCGTAGACCGCATCGGCCACGCTCGTGAAAAGCGATACACAGACATGGGCTGCAGAGGATCCAAGCCTGGGCTGAGTTGAGAAGCAGACAGCAGATTTTCATACACCGCCTGACTTACCAACAAAGTGCCATTTTGCTAGCTTTTGCAATGCCTGCCTAGCTGACCAGCACCATTAGATGGGACTGTGCCCTGCCGCTGATGGGGAAAGGTTGAGAGACAGAAAGCTTTGATGCATCCCCCCCATTAAAGCATTTTGTCTTTTGCATGTCTCCAACTACCCTAACTGATCTGGACTCTCACTCCTATTACACAGAGCAACATCTCTCATAATGGGCACCATGCTTTTCCCAGGTCTTTAAGTTGCACTCTTGTGCCTATCCTACTTTATCACTGTTTTATACCACTTAAGAAAATTGTGCTGAAAAGTCAACGGTCACATTGTGTGTGAAAGTGTATTCCTGATCTCCTTGGTAATGCTGTTGTGATGTTCGGAGACCGTTTGTTTATTTGTGCACAACAAACATAAAGAATAATAAAAAAATAATTTAAATCCTTTATTTAAAAGGTCCAACTATTACTTTAAAATCTGGTTAGAAATATTAAAATTCCTTTTATTTTCCTTTATTCCTTCACTCTCTAATCTGACATTTTGCCCTCCTCTTGTTCCCTGAATCATTCTGACGCTCCTAGGAGTTGCCTTTTGGGGGTTTGATTTAACATTAGGGGGGAAAATTTGTTTTTGTGTGGTCAACATTTCCCCTGTCTTTTTGCCCTTTATTCTAAAGGAAATTTACTCTAAAGCATTTACAGTGTCTCATTTTTATTAAATTGAAATTAAGTGATCACTTGTTTGTCTTCATTTACTCCAGGATTGTAATGTTATGTGTACTTCTGCAGCCCAACTACATAGCCACCGTCAAGGATATAAACATAAGAAGGTAAACCCATTGCAACACATCTCTACAGCTATCTGTTTGAAATTAGTATAGTAATGTAGCAAAAATGAAAGATTGCTATGAATTAAAGGAACATTCGTAACACCATAACAGCTGTACTGGTTATGGTGTCAGGAATAACCTGGTCTCCCCCCATGTAAGTAGTCAAACCATTTGGTAACATGGGGATGGCCTGGTGCTGCTTTCGATCTCACTGCATCCAAAAGTTCCATGCAGGAGCTTTCATTAGCTCTTCTGAGCTAATCCTTGCAGTGCAGGGAAGGCTAGATACGGTCAACTAATGAGCCAACGCCTGCACCCACTAGACTTGGCTCAGGCTCCAGAAGAGGCAGCTAGCTATGCTCAGCAGACCCAGCTAAGAAGTCAAATCATTATAAAACAGACTACTTAAATCGGTGGTGTACCTGGACACTTTTGGCACCATAACCATTATAGCTCACTTGAACGCACAGGTTCCATAGCGTCAGTGATTTAACATACATGTCATTTTAAATGAAAAAAAATAAAACCACTGTTAGTTCCAGTATGTGTTTTTATTCATCTAGAAAAATGTTAGAGACATTAAGATTATCCGTATTCTATTTTAAACGGTATGGTTGCCTGGCAGTTTGTTAAAGAAACAGTTCCATTTCAGCTGTGTTACTGTAAAACACTGGCAGCCTCAAAGATCAGTTTGCATTAAGCTGACAGAGCGTAAACAGGGTTTAATGTTTAACAGAAGTGGTATAGACCTATACATTGTGCTACCAAATTATCTTAAAATCTATTTTTACATTTCCCCATCGCATCTGTCATTCAGTTGTCTGCACAGAGGTCTAAGCCAGAATTGATGGAAGGGAGAGTAGGAAAACCGTCCTACAGGTGGTACATCTGTTCTCCGACACCCATGTGCATGGCAGCGTCATAGAAGATTGCCCTGCTCAGAGAAGTGTCCCCAAGCAGGGCCATTTAAGAGCCTCATTTTGACCTTATACCAAAATCTCCTCTGTAGTAGGAGTTATCCCTAGTAGCACTTTCACTCCTTTCAAGGATGAACTGTTAAGTAATAGCAGTCATATTGCACATTTTTGTGAACAAACTTGTGGCAGTATCAGCAGTACAACAGACCATGCATGGTGTTGTGACTTGGCTCTCTCTGGGAAGGATAGAGCACATTTTACCATTTGTGCATGGGAACAAATGCCACATGCACAATTAGGACTGCAAAGGAGGATGTCAAAATTGTACCTTTAACTACTTCAATCGCGTAGATACCAGGACACTGTATTGGTTATGGTGTTTGAGATTCCTTTAACATGCATATATTATGAGTTGTCTTTGTTACAGTATTAAATATATTTAAAATGTTACCCTTTATCCTTGCTTATACTTGTATTAAAAACTGTATTGAAACAGACATTGCGTGACAGGATACCTCTCTGTTTTTTTTCTTTTTTCTTCTTCTTTATGTTATCTTAATCTTGGTTGTCATTTGAAATAATCTAAATTTATAATTTTCTTTGTGGTGGAATCCAGGTACAAGAAGAGCTAGAGGAATTTGAAGGTATGTTATCTTCTTCCTAATTCACATCCTAGTGAACATATTTTAACCATTCCATCCTGCACAATTAAAATAGTTTTTCTGCCTATAATGCAGTTAATGTGTTTTGCCTTTAACAAACACGTTACTAATATGAATGTATGCTCAGAAATGATTTCCCTAAAGTATATTTTTTGTATTTCTACACAAACTTTGTAATTAAAATTGTGACAGGGTTCTTTATCTAAAATAAATATTTACACCTCCAATTATGATAGGAAAAAAGGACCGTCTGACGAGACCAGTGGACATCTTGTAGTGTTCATTTATGTATTTTCCTACTAGACCAACAAAGCCTTGGGTGGCAACAAGGTGATACAGTCTTGAAATAATATCCGGGTACATAAGACTCTGCACATGGAACGATGGCAGCCATAGACAGTCATAATAAATATTGATCAGTGCAGATAACAGGTTAAAAATTATGGTAAATGGTAGGAATATAGGGAGAAGCAAAGATGGGGAGAGAAAAGGATGGATTGGGAGAGTCAAGAAGTTTGGGGAGGAGGGGAAAGCATTGTTGGGAGCGATGAGGAGAAAAGTGCTCTGGGTGACATAGTGTTTGCCTCCAGACACCTCTGCATCCTCTCTTCCTTCTTCCTGTCAACCAGGAAGGTTTGCTGGGGTTTTTGTGATCTTCTCAGCCCATCATTGGCTGGCTGTTAATAGTAATGTCTGTTGGAGCTTTCTCCTGCTCTTCCTATCTCTCAGTTGTTGGCATAGAGGCCAAGACCTGAAAGACTGATGGGGGCATATTTCTAAGCAGAACTGTCAAAATCTATTCATACACTGGTGTTTTTGCTTTCATAAGAGCATAAGTAAATGCACAGTTGATGGGTGCACTTTTAAAGGGACACTATAGTCACCAGAACAACTACAGCTTATTGAATTTGTTCTGGTGAGTAGAATCATTACTTTGAGGCTTTTTGCTGTAAACACGGTCTTTTCAGAGAAAATGCAGTGTTTACATTACAGCCTAGTGATAACTTCACTGGTCACTCCTCAGATAGCTGTTTAGAGATTTTTCCTGGGTAATGGCTGCCTAAAATGCATCCTAACATTCAGTATCTCCTCCCTCCCATGCAGACATTGAACTTTCCTCATAAAGATTCATTGATTCAGTGTATCTCTATAAGGAGATGCTGATTGGCCAGGGCTGTGTTTGAATCTTGCTGGCTCTGCCCCTGATCTGCTCTTTGTCATTCTTAGCCAATCCTATGGGGAAGCATTGTGATTGGATCAGGCTACCACTTCTGATGATGTCAGCAGACAGCTTGTTTTTCTGAGGCAAACAACATGCAGAGTTACAGCTTCAGGCTTGAATACAGTAAGATGTTGCTATATTTATGGAGGCATGAGGGACCCAGGGGGGCTAGAAGGTGGCTTTAACACTATAGGGTCAGGAATACATGTTTGTGTTCCTGATACTATAGTGATCCTTTAATGTATCCCTTCTAACAAAAAGAGAGAGCACAAGAGTGTGTGGGTCTCTCTACCAAGCTCCTCCCCTGACATGTCCGTAATAGAAGAGGGATTCAGCGAATAGTGAGAGCTGTTGTCTGGGACTGTAACTTCCACCAGTCTCAGGAAAACTAGAATATTTATGTGCCTTTTAGGGGTGTTGCAGCATGGCTCCTGCTTTGTATCCAAGGATCTAGCTAATTTTATATATGACTTTGTGTTTATCATTCTAGTTCATTGGACGCCTGCTAGTATACCAGAATGTAAAGACTAGCAGCTTTAATTTGTGTTATAGAATCAATAAATTAATGTATGTGTATATAATTATTTTTTTTGTTACCCTCTTCGGCTGATTGGTGATCAGCTGGTGGCTGAGCCTATTGCCAAGTGGGCTGCCTCTGATCCAGCCTATTTCTCTCTGCTGTGATGTCAGGTTTTTGTTTTTTTTGTTGGAATTGACAGATGGCAACTATACAGAAAATGTTATATAAAGCAGAAATTAGTGTAATCCACTAGTTAATAAATTGTGGTTAGCTGCTCTGGAAATGCAGTATCGCAAGCTTTTACTGACTGAGTGGAAGTTTCAAATTGTGACTGTTTTCTCAATTACAATCTACTTGAAGATACATTTCTATAAGTGTTCGTATGTGTTTTTTGTGAGACAATCAGCCGTTTGCCTGACAACTTTTACTATGATTTTCATTTTAAGATCGATATTCACGCAAAAGAAGCCATTCACCAAATTATGACGATCTTGATTATGATGACTGCCATGCAGAGCTTCTTTCATCTTTTTATTCTCATTATCCCTCCACATCCCATTCAGGTAACTCTATGAAAAAAGTAAAAATACCTTCTTCATTAATGGTTTCTGTTTGTTTGTTTATGCTGTGTGTAAGGATGATAAAAGTGTAGGGCATGGCTGAAATAAAGATGTTACCAGTGATAATGAATAGTAGTCACTAGCCACAAAAATAAGTATGATTCTTGATGCGGAAGCTGCAACACTGCAGCCATTTCCTCCAAACAGAATGTACGGGTTTGGCATATTCGTGCAGCTGATTCCCAAGTGTCATTCTGCACCAACACAAGCATATGTTGTGACTGAGCCAGATCTACACTATCGTGCAGACAACACTATCTATATAAACTCCTCAGATGCCTAAGCTCATTTCCCTGTTTTGGTTTCTCCGTACTTCCAAAAATTTATTAGGTTGTCTGTCTATCTTATTTTACTGATTTGTGTACATTGTTCTGTATTCTTGGTACCCCTGACTGGGCTTGGCATCTTCATGTTGTACTTATTTATAGCCCCTGACCTGTTGCTGATTATTCTACTCATTTGCAAGTTACCAGTCTCTGTGTGTTGGGTTTCCCTTAATGCCTTGATAATCGGCTATTAAATCCAAATGTCTGGTAGATTTTAAATTTACAAATATGTGAAAAATCTGCTGCAGGAATTGAAAGGGTTAGTCCAAGTAACATGACCACTTCAGTGCTCATCGTGTCTGGACCCTGTATGTGCAGAGTTTCAGTATGATACACTGCCCATACAGGGACTAATACTTCTACTGTTGGAGTTGTAACTCCATCTGGCTATTAGGCAGCACGGAAGTCCATTCTATGCAAATTTTTATTTAAAGTTTGACATTCATCGTCTGAGATAGGTAAGCTGACATTCTCAGCCAATGAATGGCCAGCGGGATTTTCTTCTGCAGCTTTGCATAAGCTAGAAGCTCGTCATCAGACATAGAGGGAGGCCAGCAGTAAAAGGGCTCCCCCCACTTTTGTACATTCTTCAATGATGGTATGGTTTACTTCAAGCTAACATGGCAACACAGGCCTCAATTTTAATATTTGAAAAGCTTATCCAAAAATTTGTTTAATATTTGTGGGTAAACTTTACAAGTTATGAAATATTTAAGGGGGGCGGGGCCGAATCACTATGCTGGCTGGTCGCTTGTCTGACAAGCTTCTGTCACATCTTACTTAAGCTTCAAATAAGCAAAACTCAACCTTTTTCTTGTCTAAAAATTGACAGTTTTAAGCGAAGTACCTACTGCTAATCCTGCAGGACCCTGGTCTGACCGCTGTGAAGCTCTGCTGGGAGATTGAGCATCTGGAGCTAGAAGCCTACTTGAGCTGTGAGTGAGGTGGACTGCTTACCGATTGTCTGGTGCAGCTCCTCGGTGGATTATCTTGCCAGCCCTGTTTCCCCCGCCTTTGGACCAGTAAGGGTTATCCTTGTCCCCACTGGCTTGACACACATGTCTCTGCTGGTTCCAGTACCACACCGCAGTTCATACATCCCATGCGGCGACTCTTATAAAATGGCAGACGTGCCTCCATCACCGGAGTTTACATTAACGCAGCCCTGCAGAGACTGCTGTAATATGGCGGAGTGCGAATAGACTGGATCTTTCAATGCTTCTGGGTGATGCTGGTGAAGTGCTTGGCTCCAACAACCCACATAGAAAGGGAGAAGAAGAGAGTCGTGTATTGAGGGCTGAGACTGCTTCTTTCGGGTGAAACCTCTACTCCTGTAGGCTGTATGCCTACTTTGGCTGAGGATCCTGAGGAGACTGCCTCCAAGCAACGACCACCTGGCTGGAAGACCGTCCACCACTAGCGGCGGAGTAACACCTGGGTCTCCCGCTTGGCCCGATATGGGTAAGATTCAGACTCCCGAAGCATTAGAGTCTGTGGTCCACAGATACCGCCCTCCACACAGGCCTGGGGCTTGAGGAGAACCTTGTCCCGCCTGCATAACTCAGTTACCCTCTGCAGCCTACATGCTTCGGTGCTTACGCTGCCAAGTTTAGGCATTGGCTGACTGTGGTTGGTTTGCAACCTGGTAGCTCGTGTGCTGCCATATGGGAGTCCCGGGTGATAAATCACTGCATTTGTTACCTCTGTTACCTTTATTTTACATTGCTGTGATATTATTTTGGTGCATGCAGAGTCTTAAGCCCTTTAATAAGTACCAGTGGTATACTCTGCGTATTAGTTAAAGGGATACTGTAGGCATCCAAACCACTTCCGCTCATCGAAGTGGTCTCGGTGCAATGTCCCATGTCCCTTAAACCAACCGTGGTAATTATTGCAGTTTCTGAGAAGATTATGCTAGCGCAGTGTACGAATAATCTTAATTTTAATAATGACAGGAGGTGAGTATTTTGCATTAACTTTCTTTACTAACTCCATAGCAGCAGAGAAGATAACTGTTAAAGAAAGAACCAATCAGAGTATATAAGTCCAAGCTTAGCCAATCATTTCCTCTTGACTACTGCGACATCACAAGTTATGACAAACGTGTCTGATTCATTTGATCCAACTTAATCCAACATGGAAACTCGGTAAGGAATTCAGTTTTCTCCATTATACTGAAGACTTGTTAAACTGAGTGATACGGGACAGACCGTATGAAGCAAGTGTCTATGAGTATATACTTCACTTTCCAATGATTACACTCGTTTAGCCATAAGATGTATGTTATAAATCAGGGGTAGGCAACCTTTTAGCAGCACTGTGCCGATATAGGATTGTGATGTCCCGTAGCGTGCTGGTCCTATTTTTTTTAAATTGAGGTGTGTATGCTACCATATTCTGCTTGTGTTATTTTTACTGTAATTGCTTTGTATCGTATTTGTGCGTATTTGAGCTATTATATTGTATATGTTCATGAGTAGTTTATGGTATCGTGTATGATACATATGAATTTGGGCTGTGTATGAGGGCTGCTTGTGGAATTGTGTGTGGATGGATATGTCACATTGTATGTTTGGTAGTGTGTGGGGACTTATTGGGGTATTGCATGTGAGAGGCTGCATGTGGGGTTGTGTGCATGTATGTGGATTGTTAGTGGTGTTGCGTTTGTGGGAATTGTGTGTATATTTGTGTGTGGGCTGTTCGTATTATTTGTATGAGGGGAGGGTTATTCTGCATTTCTGTGTATATCTAGCAGTGTGGGTGGCTTCCCTAGGTTCCAATGGGGACCAGGCCAGCCAGGTACAGGTCAAGGACAGAAGCTGCAACAACAGCTGCAGGCTGCTCTGCTACAGTGTGGATTCCCATTCACAAGTGCTGGGAGGAAGTGATCTAAGATGGCAGACGGGAGGTGGAGAGTGCAAGACCTGGAGTCTATCTCGAAGCCCAGGAATTGGATTTTCTGTACGGGGTTCATTGCGGATTTTGCTCTATTGTCCGAAAGGGAGGCACGTGAAATGCCATGGGAAGCCGTTCCGTAGGAACCGAAGGAAGGGGCGGCTGTCCTCGTGAATTGGGATCGATAAGTATGCGTCTTTAAGGTCTAGACGCGTAAACCAATGCTTTTCTTGAAGGAGGTCCCTCAGTAAGTGTATGCCCTCCATTTTGAAGTGTTGATAGGTCACATGAGCATTCAGTTCTCTTAAATTGATCACCGGTCTGAAATCCCCGGTTTTCTTGCGGACGAGGAATATATTGCTGAAGAAGCCTCCTCGTTTGTGCACGGGTTGTATAGTGCCCTTCTTATGTAGTTCGCGGAGCTCCACGTCTATGAGGTGAGCGTCTGGAGCTGAGAGGCATAAGGGACGAGTAGGAAATCTCTGTATTGGGGGGTGTTCGTAATTCGATTCGGTATGCGTTGACCGTCTGCAATACCCAGGCGTCCGTGGACAATTGTGCTCAGTTCTGGGGAAAAAAGGGAAACACGGCCAGCAATCATGGTTAGTTGAGGCATCGAGAAATATTTGTCTCTTACCTGTTGGGAATCTTGCGCGGGTGCGTCCGCGACTTGCGGAAAAGTGCTGCGCGGCGCTGCTCTGTTGAGAGGGCCGCATTCGTATTTCCAAGAAAACAGAAGCCCCTCTGGGCCCATTCTCAGATATCATGTGCCCACTCGCGCACCATGTCCGCTGTAAATGAGTTCGCTCTGGTGTAGGCATCATCTGCCAGGTACATCACACAGGCCAGTGGCCCCATCGTGTCCAGGAGCTTGTCTTGCACCCCTTTAAAGCTCTTTTCGATTCCTCTGCGCGGATCGTGGCCTCCTTGCTCCATAAAGTCAGCATGAGCTGATCGAACTCCGGTGTAAACGCCACCTTATCTGGCAGAGTCGGTCTGGGACACTCCGCCCGCATTCTTTTGCGTTTGTGTTTTTCCAGGGGTTTACGTATCCAAAAATGCATAAACCTGAGGGGGTGGTCAGGTGGAGCCCATTCCCCAGAGCGGGGGTGTCGAATGTTCCTAGGGCCAAACATTCTCTGCCCCGTGATAGGTCACATGAGCATTCAGTTCTCTTAAATGTCTAGGAATGTTTAGGAATATTTCTTGTTCCTGTGTGGCTGCGGTGGAGGATTCCGCTTCTCCTTTACTCTGGGGCTCACCCAGGAATGTCTCCGTGACGTAGGCGTTGGAGCCCCAATCGCCTTCGTCGGAGTCGGAGGCCTCTGCCTGCCACTCATCCAAGATGGAGAGGGGCGTATCTTTTTCCTCATCCGAGGACACCTCCCTAGTGTATGTGGGAGCCATAGTCATAGCGCGCTTACTGCGCTTTAGTGGCGTCTTGCCTTTGAAGGTGGCCCTTTTTGGACTCGTTGCCCTTCCAGTGGCTTTTTGCTGGGCGGCTTTTCTCTTTAGAGGAGTCATCCGACTCATCCGAGTCGTCTTTATTCTGGCTCTGCTTGCTAGCCGGATTGGTAGATTCAGTGGCTGTAGGCATTGCCTTCGCCAACGCCTTTTCTAAAGACGCAGCTACTGCTGCGTTGATCACGTCCTGATATTTGTGTCTTCCATAGTACGGGCACTAACAGGCACAGGTATAGGTGTAAGAGGTGAGGGACTCAGACAAGCCGTCGGCCGTATAAGTGTTATCGCTCAGTGGCGTGAAATAAGACTCTTTAGCACTGGGGCTCACCCAGGATATCGGAACTGCTTTAACAGCTTCCGCTGTGCAGCACTCAGGGAAAAATCCTAAATGGGGGCTCACCCCTTGCTACTGGGCTATACCTTACTGGCAGTCCTACTCCCCAGGGGTAATGTCACCAACCTGTGTAGGTCCCAAGTAGACTTCACCTCCGCAATTCTGTTGAATTTTCACGAAAACGAGAGCCTTGTCCTGCTGTGTGTTGTATTCCTCCCAAAACTTTGCCAACAAAATGGCCGCTGCGGGTCTCGCGAGAGACCTTGGTTTGTCAGGAAAAAGCCAGCAAAAAAACTGTTAGCTAAAGCGCTCGGCAGAAAAACCCACGAACAGCCATTCATTTACTTGACTAAACTGCCGAAAGTTCCTGGTGGCAGAGTCCACGATCGGACTGGTTTACTGAAGTTTTATAACTGTCCGTTCGTGCAATTCTACAGACAACAGTATGTTGACATCCGTGCAGAAAAGCAGGAACCGTGATTGCCCGCTCTGTTCGCGCCTTTTAATTACCAGCGCGAACAGGCTCACAGTGCCACACGCAGAGAGCTGCGTCCTTTCATGCTGAAGTGCAGGAATTCAATATGCAACCCGGTCTGTTCGCATAGCTGATGATGCGAACAGGGCGGGAAGGAGGCGAAAAAGGTGGCGAACGTAGCCACTCGAGGGGGAGGGGGTGTTTGAAACTGAACGCTGCTGCCTCAGAGTGGGTCTCTGCGAATACGTAGCAAATGGTCACTGAATTATGAAAGTTGCAATAGGTAATATTAAGCACAGTATGCTGTTGAAATCATAATGAAGAATTAATCATAATTACTGGGAAGCTCTTTTCTTGATCCTTTCACCCACAATAGTATGAGATGTAAAGATCAGCCCCAGTGAAGGGAGAGGGGATATCCCCTCCTGAAGCTCCCCTGCCACCCCCAATAAACAGATGTTCGTTACCAAAAATACTAGTATACAGTAAATCTATACATAAGATCCTGCATAACAAAATACAATTAATAAATCAGCACTCTGACCTGACTTGTGATGGTGCAGCAAAGAAAGAGGAAATGATTGGCTACGCTAGGACTTATATACTCTCTCTGATTTACTCTGGTTCTTTCTTTAACACTTTTTTTTCTTTGCTGCTATGGAGTTAGTAAAGAAAGTTAATGCAAAATAGGAAGCCTCCTGTCATGTTATAAGGGGAAGGGAAGCCTCCTGTCATGTTAGAAGGGAAGTGGGGGCACTATAGGATTCTACATTGCCAAGAAAACGGGTTTTATTTTCCTGGCTCTATAGAATCTTTAAGTATCTAGTATTACACGAACTTGTGAAAACCTAGCATGTTATGCAGCATTGATAATTCATAGCAACCTCCATGTCAACTTAACCTACTCAATCTACCAGTTTAACCCCTGTCCCCAGTTTAGACACGGCACTTCAAAAAAGAAATGTTATTGTCGTCCAGCAAAGTCTATGACTGGAATTGTATTGCATAATTGTATTCAGCGGTCAAACTCTGATGTCATTATGATTGTCTGTTCCATGCTATCCTCTCAATAAAACAAAGATTGGCAAAAAATAAAATTATATATATATATATATATATATATATATTTTAAAAATAGTAATGCACTCCACCTTCCTTGATGTACTTGCCCGGTGCTTATCAGCAAACCGATACAGCCAAAAGTACAAGATAGAACTCCAGGGACTTCAAGTTGAATGAATAAAACTTAGCTTTTATTAGCTCAAAATAAAAATCAACGTTTCAGTCTGTATCACAAGACATACTTAGAAACTAGCTAAACGTTATGTAGTTTGAGTTTATTCTTATGTCACCCTCTGAAATCATTAAGCCAAGGGATGTCGACAACTTTGCAGGCCATAGTGAAAGGACCACTTCATGTACCATAAAAACTTCATATCAATTAAGTTGTTATGGTGCTTGGAGGTCCTGAGTGCTGTCTTACAATCTGTGGTTGAGCTGTTTTCAAACCCTAAAGTGCTGGCCACAACTCTTGTCCTCCTAGGCTCCCTGGTTTTTACTTTTGCCCAGCTTCAAGGCCTTTTCATAGGTGCCAGTGATAGAATATGTATGGACCTTTTTATAAAGGATTTCTTTTAATGGAAGGCCAGTAAAAGGCTGAGTGCATCAGTCTATCACACACGGAAAGACATTGAAGCATCGGCTGGAGTAGGAGGCAGGGCATCTAGGAGGAGCACTGTAACCAACACTTTGAAAATTGTTTAACCCAATAAAGTCAGACCCAGGGCCTCTAGGCACCATGGCATCTTTATTGAAATTAATTTGTTTTGGTGCCTAGAGTGTGTGGTTTTTGTTCTTTTAATATATTTCGCAAGACAATTTTTTTATTTATAAATATAAATACCACTTATATATTTATATAAATATAAAATACATGCCCTGATGAAAGTTACAATGTTGCAACTGAAACGTTGACTTTTAAAGTGATGTACAAATAAAAAGTTAAGTATTATCTTATCTACCGTTTTTTGAGTGCAGCAAATTTGACAATTTTTTTTATTTTTTGTGTGGCTGAGCATCGGGCATCAGTATTTACACTAGGAGTGCAAGTTTTTTGGATATATATATATATATATATATATATATATATATATGCTGCACTCATCTGAACATGCATAAATGGGGTGCTGCTGTGGGCCAATGTATACAATTTACAAGATCCAGCGCACTCACTTATCCACTAAACAGCAACTTCAATATTGACAGATTCTATCTTGTGTATATATTTATGTATTAATTTGTGCAGAGTTATAGTAGTGGTGGCATAAGTCAGTTGTGGTGTACGGGAATAGACGTCAGGCCAACCAAATTGAATGGTTTGATAAAGGGAGCGGTAGGTGGGCTGAACCAGGCAGGCAGCAACAGCATGGAGAAGGGGAAGCCTGTATATTTATAGGCAAACTAACCCCTCCCACAATTCAAGGCTTCACCCACAGGCTCAGCCTTCTATTTGTGGTCGGGGTCTGCTGTGGTGTGCGGGAACCGACGTTCGGATAGGACCGTAAAAAGAGGGCAAAAGTTTAATAGTGTACAACTTATTACGTGTTGACATTGCATAACCGATACTTAAATATTTATCAACATTATAACCATACATGAAAGAGAGAAACAGTTTGTGTTTTAATGGGAGATACTGTACAACATCCAGGTACTCGCTGACACTTATTAAGCCAAATTGCGAAACGATTAAGCTAAATTGGTGACTTGGGAACCTAACTAGTTGCCAAGTGGCGATGAGAGGCTCTACCTATGATTTGGCCCGTGGGGTAGGTTTTCCACTGAGCGTTGTGGTGGGGTGTTGGCCTCTCAGTGTGAGCTAAAGAGATATATGATAAGTTAGCTGTGACTGATGAGGCCCTAACTGCTTTGCCAAGAGGGCGGAGAAGCGAGGCACTAACTATGATTTGGCCCGAGGGGCGAAATACCGTTGCTGAGTTGGCCTCATGGGACAGCGATGTAATGGCACAAGAGGCCGAAAACTACCTATAACCACCTAGGGTACCCTAGCAGCCAGACCAAGCTAATTTATAGCATTCTGTAGAGCAAGTAGTTGTTGTACATAGGGAGGTATTATCGTAAAAGCAAATCACTTGCATGATAGAAAATGTGAAATACAAAATAATTCACGCGTGACATGATTAGACATATACCTGAATGATAAATGAAAGTTGATAGTAATAAGTGAATATGTAATAAAGGGCAAAGAAATACTTGTACAGTGATTAAATTAACCAAAACCTGAGAGTTACCCAGAGAACTTGTGTTCACAATTACTAACATTGAACAATTGTTTATTAACAGTCTGTGCCAAAAAAGTAGATAAAATAAGTGCTATTAGCTCAGAACACCAAATTACTCGAGTGACAACAGTTGTCAACCTAACTGAAGGAAATTGAACAGCATAATAAAGACACAGTTGACCATATCTGACAATTGGCCCCAGATATGCAACGGCTGAGAAGTAGGAGGCATGGAGAAACTTTACTTAAAGGACCACTATAGTGCCAGGAAAACACACTAGTTTTCCTGGCACTATAGTGCCCTGTGGGTGCCCCCACCCTCAGGGACCCCCTCCCGCCAGGCTGGATGGCGAGGAAAGGTTAAACTCACCTTTATTCCTCTCCGCCTCTGATCCTCCTCTTCGGCTGAATGGGCATGCGCGGCAAGAGCTGCGTGCGCATTCAGCCAGTCTCATAGGAAAGCATTTACAATGCTTTCCTATGGACGCTGGCGTCTTTTCACTGTGATTTTCACAGTGAGAAGCACGCAAGCGCCTCTAGCGGCTGTCAATGAGACAGCCACTAGAGGATTTGGAGGCTGGATTAACCCATTTATAAACAGCAGTTTCTCTGAAACTGCTATGTTTATAAAAAAAGGGGTTAATCCTAGAGGGACCTGGCACCCAGACTACTTCATTAAGCTGAAGTGGTCTGGGTGCCTAGAGTTGTCCTTTAAGGATATGCATGTAACTCGATATGACATGAAGCCTAGCAAAAATAGAATCACTGACTGAATTACGTAAATGCGAATGAACAGCCTGAGAATTTAAACAACAATCACATAAAAAGAGCGCAGCGAATGAAGTAAGAGACTGAAATAGGAGGTAAGGATAATACTAATACGGTTAAATTAGTGACATATTGAAGAGGCCAGGATATGTTAACTGCTACGTGAGAGGCCCAAGGTTCTTGGGAGTGTTCTGAGAGAGGGCTGTATGGGAAGAACGTCTGTGGGCCTACCAAGGCCATGTGCAATATTGAAATGTAGAATGGAAGATTTGTATTTTATTTTATTATAAACGTATTTAAGTGCCCTATTGATGTGTGGTAACAGTCGTAGCGCTTGCCCCAGAGGGCCGTGTGTAATGTATGGAGTGATGGGTTAGTGATGGCTGTGTGTAGAGGTACCGTAGCAGAAGGCAGAGATTGCCCAAAGTAAGTCATGAGATGCAGGAAGGAGAAATAACGCTGAAAAGGGGTAACAGATGTATGGAGTGAACAATTTAGGTATGTTTAGAATGCCATTAGGGATGTCCTGGTGTAGACCTGTGCAAATGTAGAGGTAGGAAGAATAGTCAGACTAAAGGGTGGCAACATGGAATGTGGTGGAGGTCTATCTATAAGACCGATGCCAAATGATGACGAGCATGTAACCGACACTAAATATATTTTATAGTGTCATGAAGGAGGTGACTAAACACCTATTACTTACAAATACTGTGCAAGATCGAAGCGGCCCAATATGGAGAAGTAAGGAGAAATGTATAGGAAGAGTGAGGCTGGAGAATAGGTCCTGAGAGGCAGGATACAGAAATAAAGCTGTATAAGGTGAATAGATATATGGAATACAAAAATGATTGGGCCATATAGGTTGATTTAGGCCTAGCGAGACTATATGGAGATATAGATATATCGATATATCTATATCACGTATATATACCCCAGGCAGCCATGAAGGGAGGGTATGTTATAATGCCTCCCAGAGGGCCATATGATGATAATGTAATTAAGGCCACGTGCGAAGGCTTAGGACCTGAAACAAGACCTGTATAATCATATTTATGTACAACTTTAGCTATGTGCACAGTTTCAATCTGAGACCTAGGAAGGAGATAATATAACCATCCAAATAGATGCAGGAGGACCAAAGTGCTTAATGTGAGGTAAAGATAATGTAGGTGGTGATATTACAGTTACTCAATGAGAATACCTAATGAGGGCCTGGAGGTGCGTTCCTGATAACATGTAGCATAATGGAGTAATATGCAACCTCTGTAAGACAGATGTGATGGAAAATACTCAAGAGATGCCGGAATAGGACAAGGTTGGTTGCCCACAGCCAGGCATATGAACAAACGTGATAATTCTTAGTGAAGACTACGTGTAGCATGCACACACACACACACACCCAGCCACACCCACCTTTCCCTGGTGGGGGTGGGGAGGCCCGATTGGGTTTTGCGTTACAGGGTGGCTGTCATGTTCCTGAGCAGGTTCAGAGAGGAGACAATTGCCAGGGTTATTGGTATTTGTCTTTTTAAACATAACAATTTACTTGAAAGCAAGAATTAAGGCAATATGCCACAAAAAGGATACTTTGAGAGTTAAAACAGAATAAAGGCAATATGCCCCAAACATGATATCTTGAAGTAAATGAATAAAGTCTTTTATATACAAGTAGGTTTGAAGTTATTTCCAAGTAGATTGATAGTTTGTGGAATGTCACACTGCAGCCAGGTTCAGGATGATACAGGGTTGAAATGGTTAAAGCTGGTAAGTACTTTCAATATAATATAGTACAGGTTGCTTACAGGATTATGCAGAGTAGCAGTAGCTGAGACAGGTAAGTACTTCCAGAATAATGTAATACAGGTTGCTTACATGATCATGCAGTGTTGCAGCAGTTGAAACAGAGAAGTAGATTTCAGTATAATATGGTACAGGCTGCTTACAGGATTTTGCAGAGTTGCAGAAGTTGAAGATAAGAGTTTCAGGAGGATTCCGGTTATGGGACACACGGAGTCTCCATAGAGGATCAGGATGTTTTCAGGATACAGGATCGTTTCAGTAGTTGAAGATTAGAGTTTCAGGAGCATTCCGGTGACGGGACACACAGTCTCTATAAAGGATCAGGATGTTTTCAGGAGCCAGGATACAGGATGTTTTCAGGCAGAACACTGACTTCATTTTCAGAACACTGTCTTCATTTTCAGAACACTGACTTCAATGTATCTCCCAAGACCACCATTGTCCATCTCCCCACCTCTTATAATAGAATCTCCCAACAACAACTGCTTTCTATTAGGCTTCACCATAGTCTCAAAGGCAGTCTCCACAACACCACTACACTTGGTGCCTGAGCCGTTCTCCACATCACCATTACCCTCAGTGCCTGAGCCTGTCTCCACAACACCACTACCCTCAGTGCCTTAGCCGAGTTTAATGAGATATAAGACAAACGGTTACTTACATACTTATGGAACTCTTAGGAGGATGATTTATAATTAGCCTGGAAAAATAAAGTTGAAGGCAACGGCACATGCTAGAATAATCGTAGAATAACAGTATTAACACTATTGGCATAAGCTATAACTTTATTGCTTAATGAACATGACTGCATGAGATAAATTGAACACAAGTGGATCGTATGAATATGACAGTAAAAGTAATTACAATACTTGGGCCAGTTGAAATGCGGTCGAACACGATTGAAACAAGTTATTGCAACAGAGAAAACATGCCGGCTGCAGATGGCAGAGATGTGAACGATTTCTGAAATGCTGATGAGGAACCTGAGTGGTAGAATGTGAAGCGAACGTATGCAAGTTTCTGTAAAGTTTGATGTGTATGAGCAGCTAAATGTGGGCAAGAAGTGGCCAGCAAACAAAGAAAACACTCCGATATCAAATGCCTGCACCATGTGTTAGAGGCACTATAGGGCTATAGAATTTGCTGGCGCTATATAAATAAAATAATATTAATCAAACTGCAAATTAGTGTATGACCAGTAGAACCGGCGTACGTGCATGCAGTAGGTAACAGACATAATTATGCCCTGCAATTTTAAAGTACGATTCACTAGGCCTGTGCCAAGAAAGTTCTAAGACAATGTAAATGGTGACGGACAGTGAAATAAGACAGATTATCATCAAGGCAGTACAATAGAGGCTAACCACATGTATAGGCCCAAGTTTGGGTCTGACATAAATTTAGAAAGTCCGTAGCAACACCTAGTCACATATTTACTAAACAATGTATGCCCAATGTGTGCCGACAAAGAACACATTAAGATGTAGGTTGACGAACTGAAATGCATGAATGTTTATGATATATATGTTATGAGTTAATGAGTTAATGAGTTTGAGGTTGTTTTTTTTTTTTTTTTTTTAGACATTTAGAAGATACTCCTCTTTATAGAGGAGAAGGAATTTTTAAATTGTATTGTGTACAGAGAATGCATGCCTGAATACCAAGAGGACAGCCGTAAAGAAAACATAAAAAAGCAGGGTGACTGAACTGAAATGCTAAATGATAAAAGTCGATATGGCCTAGTGAAGGCCAAATACAGTAAACAGAATGCATTAGATGAATTTAGGCAGCTTTGTGAGGCTATGTACGATTGAAATTGGCTGAATTTGCATTAGTAGACCAGTTTGTTGGGAGTTTAGGAAGTTTGTGTTGATGACCTTTGAACTGGAAGTAGTTCTGAACCCGGCAGCAACAGCACAGAGGAATGGATAGCCTGTGTATTTATAGGCAAACTAAGCCCTCCCACAATTCCAGGCTTCAATATATATTACTGCTAAAGCTTGAAATCCGTTAATGTGCACATTACCTAGCTAATCTGCAGATTAACTGATTTGCTTCGTAATAGTGCAGAATTAAGAGTTTTCCGTATTTTACCTAGGCAATGTGCACATTAACGGCTTCCGTATCGTTAAAGTGCAAAAGTTTGGTTTCGCCTGTTTTTCTCATTTCCTTACCATACACCTTCCCCCTCTCCCTCCACTTTTACTTTGCACCCAAATGTCGATGAAGGTGTCACTGTGAGCATTAAAGTACCCGAAGTAGACAGAGCAAAAACTGATGCCCGCTCGATTTTAGCTGTGGTTCTTAGTAAAACAGAGGATGGCTTTTATAAACTTGGTACTAAAACGGGTATTTTAAAACAATTGTATGCAAAATCAGAATTCAGTGTTTGCAAAGAGAGATTTTTTATGAAAGAAGATGTCCTTGATGTGGAAGTATCTTTACGTCAAACAGCAATAAAACAATCTCTGGTACTGGGCAGAGTTTCAGAAAATGTGACTGCAAATCTATATGTACCACAAATAGGTGTGCTTGTCGCAAAAACCAATTGCTATGTAATTCAAAGTGTCACCAATCTTTAGATTGAACTAATAAGTAAGCATAATTTTATCCTATGTTTTGCAAATGCATTTCCTTAATTGTTTGATTCTTTCTATTGTAGTTTTTTAATTGATTCTATCAACTAACTTGATTCTTTGTTGATTGTTTGATTGTATTAACTTGATGCTTTAGATAGCAACAAATAAACTAGAAAAGTTACAATTTCTGGGGAAATTGTGTGAAGTGTTCTTGCCTCCACCAGTAGTCTACAACTGGAGTGGGCGGAGTAACTGTTATCATTTATATAGCACATTTAATTGCAACGTTGTTGCACAGTTACATTAAACCATACATTTATAAAAACATTAGCAGGTGTTCAAAAGGCCCTGTCTATGACATCACTTGGTGCTGCAGCCTGGCACAGGTCAGAGTATTTTGGCGGTTGCCATCTTCAAACGGTCGTATTTTAAAAACTATCAATCCTACAAGACCCAGACCTAAATTCTGATGCATAGTATGTCTCTGAAGTATTAAAAATGAAGGCACAGTCGCAGTTTAGAAATTGCACTTCAAATTGGAGCTTTGTAGAGTGAAGTTTCAATGAATGTCAATGGACGGCGTTAGTTGCAAACAAATGATTATATTGTGAAAACTATCAGGACTATGGCTTAGCCGTTGACATGTTTAGTGGCAACAGGGATAGCTGAACGTTTTGATATAAGATTTGTGTAGGTGGGCCTGAAAATAAGGGAGTGGTGGCAGTTTAGAAATCATGTCCTGATTTTTCAGCTTTTGCCAGCTCCCACTCTAGCTTGCCATTCATTCCTATGGGACCAATTTGCCACAAGAACGACGATATTCCGTGAACCATTCGGCGAAACGTTCCACAAAGTAATAGCAATCCGATCGGGAGCAATCTGCACGTTTTGGTAAATTTTTGTCTATGTAGTGTAAAAACTGTGGGAGGAGTTAGGGTGGCAAATTTTGCTATAATAATAATAATAATAATATATATGTGAGATAACATTAAGTGGTCTTGCTATGCAAGAACACTTAATAATAATAATATATATGTGAGATAACATTAAGTGGTCTTGCTATGCAAGAACACTTAATAATAATAATAATAATAATATATATATGTGAGATAACATTAAGTGGTCTTGCTATGCAAGAACACTTAATAATATATATGTGAGATAACATTAAGTGGTCTTGCTATGCAAGAACACTTAATAAATAAATTGATTCTCGTTTGATTGTATTAACTTGATTATTCACTTTAACGAGTGCCTAGTAGGTAATGTGCAGATTACCTAGGTAATTTGAGAAATATTTGAAAAACGTAAGAATTTTTGGCACTTTAACCGATCACCCCAGTTATTCTGCAGAATAACTGATTTCTGCACTTTAGCGGTAACATATATAGACATAAATAAATAAAATTTTTAACGTTTTTCTTTAAATCTGTTAACTTGCCAACAATTCTGCTGCACAATATATACATGAATTTTAATTTACTATTGAATTAAATCAAGTTGTGTTTACAATGACATGAATTCTTTAACATGTGGGCATCGCAAATGCTATGTTTATGAGAAAAATAATATAAACCACTCCTTTCCTACTAAAATCATTATGTAAATTACTTGTTGATCTAGAAAAAGTGCTAGCAGTCTCTTCTCATTCATCTGATGTCCTACAACACCCATCACATTTTGCCCATTATCATTATTGCACACAGGCAAGTGGAGGATCATGCGAGTTTATACAGTGTCCACTTGTTGACCATATATAAGGTCAAGATAAAATTAAAACATTTTTATATTACCTTTTCTAAAAATAATAAAGGCTGAATGTTGTGAATCTCTTCTTATGTTGCATTAACATTCCAATTGTAATTGTATTTAATAATGACCTATTTTATATTTCTTCTCGCTTTCCAAGGTCGGCCTTATTACCCAGGACAAAAAATATCAAAATACAGAAATATACATCAGGAGGGTAATGACAATGATCAGAATATTGTTGCAGATTATTTTTACAGCTGTAATGTAGTTCAAGTAGCTCTTGAATATGTCCTTCAGTAAATTGTATTTTACAATATTTCCTTAATATGGTTCTTCTTGTATTTTGACAGAAATGTGTGTAACCAAAGCGCACATATTCAATGTTCAATTGACTCTACTGAGCATTGAAGGATATAAATGTTGTTTTAAGTTTTTCTCCTTTTTACACGTTCCATGTAGTTTTTGAATCACATCTAGTCTACTTATAGGGTCAGGAACACAAACCTGTATTTCTGACCCTATAGTGCTAACCCCCCCTCCCCCCCACATCCCCTTAGCCCACCTATAAAAGTATAAAACTCCTCTTATTTCCAGCACTACGTGGGTCTGCTGGCTCTGGCTCCGCCCCCTTTGTGACATCATCAAAATTGCTGATTTTTAGCTAAACCAAAGCATTGGTTTGGTTAAAATCGGCACGGGTGTGGGGCCAAATGCCATTTTGGCCAATCAGGACCTCTTCATAGAGATGTATTGAATCAATGCATCTCTACGAGGAGAATTCAGCGTTCCCATGCAGAGCGTGGGGACGCTAAATGGCAGCGCTGCTTACTGTGCAGCCCTGAGCCAGGAAGCCCCTCCAGTGGCCATCTGAGGAGTGGCCACTTGGAGGTGTCCTTAGGGGCAATGTAAACACTACCTTTTCTCTTATGTGTGCAAACTAATTAATTCTACCTGTGAATGATATAGAAGGCCCAAAGTTGGATAAGAAATATGTCACTTCCTACATGGCATTGTGGGCGCTAGAGGAAGATGTGAACCTACTGATTTCAATGATATTGTTTATTTACATCCTTTTTGGCTATAATGAATAAAATGGGTAACAAACGACCCTGTAGTGACCCTAAACCACTGAATTTTACATAATACTTGGAAACAGCACTGCCATGTTGGTTGAAAGGTTACTCCAAGCATCATAACTACTACAGTCTGCTGTATCTTGTTATGCCAGGAGTACCCTGTACTAGCTCCCTAGTAACAGGGCAAACCACTTAGCCCCAAAGTTAGATCTTTTACCTGGGTGCCACCAAACTACACCAAGTTAAGGCTGAGCCTATTGCCATGTGGGCTGCCTCTGATCCAGCCTCTTTCTCTCCTCCTGTAATGACAGGGTTTTTTTTTTTTTGTAATTGACAGATGGCAACTATACAGAAAATTAGATTATTTTTTAAGTAGAAATCAGTGTAGTCCACTAGTTACCACTAGATGCTGGGCAATACATTGCAGTTAGTTGTTCTGAAGATGCAGCATTGAAAGCATTTACAGATTGAGTGAGAGTTTCAAATTGTGATTGTTTTCTCAATTACAATCTACTTGAAGATACATTTCTATGTGTTCCTGTGTGTTTTCCGTGAGATGATCAGCCATTTGCCTGACACTTTTTACTATGATTTTCATTTTAAGATCGACATTCGCGTAAAAGAAGCCATTCACCAAATTATGACGATCTTGATTATGACGACTGCCATGCAGAGCTTCCTTCATCTTTTTATAATCATTATCCCTCTACATCCTATTCAGGTAACTCTATGAAAAATTTAAAAATGCCATCTTCATTAATAGTTTCTGTTTATTTATGTTGTGTGTTAGAATAATAAAAGTGTAGCGCATTGCTGAAATTGAAAAAGATGTTACCAGCGATAATGAATGGTAGTCACTAGTAACAAAATATGTGCTTTTAATGTTTTTCCTAGTACAGGAATAAGAATTTCCACACATATAAAATATCATGCAGGTGAAGTAAAGGTGAATAAAAAAAATTTAAGTGCATGTTACAGTTAATGAATTGCCAATGGTGGCCAAAACTTTTCAAACAGATACATGTAGAACAGAGAAAGGAATAGGGGTAACAATTCCTGTTGCCTCATGCATCTTCACACCATATGTCATTCTGGACACTGCAGCCATTTCCTCCAAGCAGAATGTGCGGGTTCGTCATAATCCTGGAGCAGATTCTTAAATGTCATTCCTGCATCAACCTTTGGCAATTCAACTAATTTGTTATTTTGCTTGGGGGTCCTGAGTGCCAATTACCATCTGGGGTTAATCTGTTTTAAAACCTTAAAGTGCTGGTCACAACTCTTGCCTCCTGGGCCCCTGGCTTCTCCTTTGGCCCAGTTTGACCAATGTCTTTTCATAGGTGCCAGTGATAGAATGATATGTATGTATATGCTGGCTACATTACTAGTGCGCCAATGTTACAACTGAGTGGCCTCAGTCACTCCATTCCCATGTTCTATCCAGCAACAGAATTTCCAGCAAAGAGAATTTCATTTTCATTTTTACTATATATATATATATATATATATATATATATATATATGTGAATTTTAATTTACTATTGAATTTAAGTTGTGTTCATCGTGATAGATACACTATGGACATTGCAAATTCTATGTTTATAAGATAAATAATATAAACCTACTAAAATAATTATGTGAGTTACTTGTTGCTCAAGAAAAAGTGCTAGCAAGCTGTGCTCATTCAGCTGATGTTCTACGACTCCCATTACGTTTTGGCCATAATCATTCTGGCACGCCGGCAAGTGGAGTATAATGCGAGTTCATACTTAAATGTCTATTTGTTGACCGTGTATAAGGTTAAGATAAAACTGAAACATGCTTTTATTTCCTTTTCTAAAAAGTAAAAATAAAGGCTGAATGTTGTGAATCTCTTCTAATGTTGCACATCAACATTCCAGTTGTCATGGTATGTAATAATGACCCATTTTATGTCTTCTCTTTTCCCAAGGTCGGCCTTATTACAAAAGACGTAAAATATCGAAACACAGAAATATCCATCATAAAGGTAATGACAATGATCAGAATATTGTTTCAGATTATTTTTACAACTGTAATGTAGTTCAAGTAGCCCTTGAATATGTGTCCTTCAGTAAATTGTATTTTACAATATTTCCTTCAAAATGTGTGTAACCAAAGCGTACATATTCAATATTCAATTGTCTCTAGTGAGCATTGTAGGGTATAAATGCTTTTACATTTTTCTCCTTTTTGCATATTCCAAGTAGAGTTAAAATCACACGTGACCTAGTGCTTAAATAATTTTTCATTTGCATTCAAATATTAAATAAAATAGAAAACTCTTGCCCTACAGGTCTGCTTCTCTATTTTTTTTTCTTTCTATGAGCAAGTGATGAGACACCAAGAATAGAACAAAGTGTACTGCTGAAAATTAAAAAAAACTCAATTTCAGGGCACAAATATCCCACTATACACACACTATCCCCCAACGACCCTGCCTAACGAGGGACTGCATGGAGTTTGAAACCCTATGCTGACAAGACAGGACTCCTCCATAGGCAATATCCCTGATCTGCAATTTGCTAGCAACGAGTCGATATCTCCTAGCCCCACCATGCATCAGGCGCTGGGAAGAAGACCTCGAAGACACACTCACAGATGCAGACTGGGATAAGATCACCACACATATCCGAAAGACCCCAGGGTCGGCCAGACTTCAAGAAAACGCATACAAAGTCTTCACGGGATGGTACATCACCCCCATCGCCCTGTACGCCTGGGGTGATTCGGTGCCGCCGCCTGCTGGCGATGCGGAGAGGAAGACGGAACCTTCCTCCACATTTGGTGGGACTGTGCCCTCATCTGACCATTCTAGGAAACAATAGGCCAAGTCATTTACGCAGTGATTGATGACACCCCGCCACTGACACCAGCCTTCTTCCTCTTGCACCACATGACTACACCCACACCGGCGTATAAAAGATATGTGGTGCCGAGACTCCTTAATGCGGCAAAAGCAACCGTCCCCATATTCTGGAAACAACCACGCACCCCCCCACTCCGACATTGGGTGGAAGAGATGGAAGACACAAGAAAATTTGAGGACCTGAAAGCTACCACGGCAACAGACAAAGAAAAAACACATGACAAGATGGTTCCACTGGTTACGGTACATCGCCACAGACCAGTTTCTACAATGCCTGAACACACCTTAAGACCAGGCCATACGAACACAGGACACCTGCTCCTGGGATGGCCCCCACCCCATAATATATATATTTTTTTATTATTTATTTACCATTTACTGGCTGGCCGATACCACATGAGGCTGGAGTGGATGTACATGTCCACATGGCAACCCACAGACACACATATAAAACGTACCGCTGCTGCTCAGCAGCCACACTAACCATGCATAGACCAAGCACGGACCGACCCACAACACGAACCCGGCACACATTACAAACCTTGGCCCGACCTGACAACGGATCTTGACACGGGGCGTGGGTCAACGCAGATACGATATGCTGACCCGGGCTTTACCAGCACTTGACAACACAATGTCCACGTCTGCACAACGCATGCTTGATACTTTACTCAACCTGCTCCGGTCACACAAAACGGAGTTACCATTTGAGCCTCCGAGAAGGCGCCACATACTGGCCACAGTGTCATGCTCAAAGCCTGTACCCATAAAACAACGACAATAAGGCTCATCTGTACCAACCCACGGAGGAGGGGGGTGGGGGGGGGGCAAAAATCAACAAGCAAAGGAGAAAATGGTAATCGATAATGTTACCCATCCTGCTTATGACATATGCTCTTGTATATTTTTCTTGCATTCACATATGCCTTCATACAAATATAGGAACTTGCTGTTGAGGGTTGGGCGGGCACAAGCTCTCGCCTAATCTCTGCTCAGGGAACCTCAGATAGTGATTCCCACAACACCACCACCAGCTAATTTACAATTGGTAAGGGCACAATGCTCACCCTGTTACTGCTATCCTGAAACTGTTAATTTGTACCCTTGTTATGCTTGATAGCTATTATACAAAGCTTTCACACAGTTAAGCTAAGCCTCTGCGTAGGCGAATTCATCTCCAATGTCATTAATGTACCTGTCTTTATGCTATGCTTTAAAATAAAAACCATTTAAAACAAAAACCTAAATTTCTAGTGAATGAAAAACTTCCAGTTGCAAATGGTTCTCAAATTATTTTCAAGTGAATGACTAGCTGCTCACAGTTGTCATCTACATGAACAATGTTTTATCATTTGCTTAAATTAATAATTTCTTAGCTTGTACACATGTGACATCTTATATGTGCATACTAATTAATTATACCTTTTAAACGATATAGAAGGGCCAGGATTGGGTGAGATATATGTAATTTCCTGTGGGAAATCCTGTGATATTGTTTTTCAAAGTGAAATGCTGTACATACATATTCCAGGCTTCATGACCAATTCACATCACTGAAGTTGTAATGGTGCTTAGACCAAGCAAACTTGGCTGTTCTCAGATAGGAATATCCTGAGAAATATTACCTGTTACTGATGCTTTAGTGTTGAAGCTAAAACATTTCTTTATTGAGCATGTCCTTGACAACCTCTGGTAATAGTGAGCATACCTAGCCAATTATGCTATACTCCAATTTTGTTACAGTAACTGGTACAATTCTAGGACTTGTTCCCTAACCGCTGGAGAACCAAACATTAGTTACATCTGGTAGCTAGTTGAAATTTTTTTATTTATTTTTTCTCAGTTTGTGCTATTCTAGCATTATGCTACAGTGACATGAAATTGTTTTGCTGGCTATTTTTCCACTTAGTAATTGTCTGTAACTGTATACTTTTTATCTTACACAAGTTTCAAGTGACCACGAAAGAAGCCACTCACCCAGTACTAAATTTGACTCTGAAGATGAATCTGTTCTTGCTGCTTCTTGTGATTCCTCAGACGATAATGCTTCATGTAGTACAGGTATTTCTATAAAGATAATTTAGTTATTCTCTGGGGCAAAAAGTACAACTGTAATTATCATTCTATAATCCATATAGCATTTAAAGCTTAGAATTGTTTCTTGCATGAGCTCAAAAATGTACTTCAGTCACGTATATGCCTGAAAACACTATCCCTGTAAAAAGCCCAGCTTGAAGAACTGGGTATACTGCTGCTCTAGAAAAAACTACAATGATAGCTATACAGGCTAAAGTAAGAATTCTTGTTTTAAAAAACAAACAAAAAGGACTAATGCTGCAAGGAGGGAGGGGGAAGAGAGCACAGTGTGGGTGCAAGGGCAAGATTTTCATGTCTGTTGTCAGCATGCAGTGTGCATTGACAACAGATTTAATTTATGCATAGAAATGACCTTAGGCAACCCTGAACAGAGTTCTGGGTTGCCAATGTCACGTGTGCTGGGGGTGCAGCTAAGACCCAGCACCCAATTAAAAATATCTATGTATGTGCAGTATTTCAAGCTGAAACATGCATTTCTAAGCAATGGTGCTGACTGAAGAGTCCAAAATGTATACAAAATACAGATTAAGGAACAGCGCACACACGAGAATAGTTTTTTATTTTACAAGGCTACTTAAAATCACCTGTACTAAATCAAATGAAGTATGGTGTATTTAATTAATCTGTTGTAAGAGCATTGTGAATGTATATAATGCAAAATTAATTAGATTTAAAAAATCTCACAATGCATATAATATAGTTGCTATCATATATACATACACTTAATGCATATCTTACATCTGCTCTATAATAAATGAAAATTATAATTAAAGTTACATTGCTATCCAAAGCCAACTTAAATTTATACTTTCCTGTGGTCACCCCCAAAGGGGCATCTGAAGCTTGGGGGCACAGTCCAAAAGGAATCTGGTTTGGACTCGAAACCTACATAGTAAATAAAAATAAAAATATCAAAAAAAGGAAGGCTTTGGATAGCAATGTCACTTTAATTATAATTGTCATTTGATATAGAGCAGATATACGATATGCATTATGAGTATATACATACAAGCACTATCACTTTAATTTAGTTTTGACACTGTATTTTTTAATTTCTTGTTAAATTGAGTTAATCACATTTATTTTGCATCATATATATTCACAATGCTCTTACACACAGATTATTTAAATACACTTCAGCTTATTTAGCTCTAGCACAATTTGATTTGTCTCCCTTGTTGGAATTGGTGTAGGACCAATCGATACTGGGGTGCACAGTGGATTAACACAATATGGCCATATGGTGGAAATGTATCCCCATGTTCGCTTGCTGAGAGGTGATTTTATTATTATTATTATGATATTTATAGAGCGCCGTCAAATTCCGCAGCGCTTTACAATGATTTCAAGTAGTCTTGTAAGAATTATAAAACTGTATTTTTGTGCACTCTTTTCCGTAATCTGTATCGTGTTATAGTAAGACAAAACAGTGTGCCAGAAAATCATTTGTAAGAAAGTAACTACAAGGGATCTTTTGCACTGTTCTAATATTTTCTACGCTATAAAGTATGCCATATATCCTGAAGAACTGATTGCTTTCAAATCTTTAGACTAGCTTCTCCTCTTCCGACAGTCCCATTACTTGCATTGATATAAATATAGTGGCACATGTTTTCCCTTGCTCATATAAGTGGAAGCAATCTGATGGTGTGCTCTTTGTGTGCCTGCAAAGAGCATAGCTTGCAGAACACAAATTAGGAGCAACTCCTTATGTGAAGTACACCCATAATTTACTCCATTGAAACCCATGTTGGGGGCATTGCACATGCTGTGTATTTTATAGTCATCTGTTCAACACAGTATCTGAAATTAAAGATGTCCTGCAAATAAAGGACATGGACTACAATGAAATATTGATTTATTTCTCTGTTACATAAAATATTTGCACTGACAATTAATTTAAATAAAACAAACGTTCCAGTTCAAGACTAGTTTTCGTATGCTTAACTTTATGGGATTTTCTTGTAATTTTCTCCTAGGAAAGGAATCCAAAGAGAAACCAAATGAGTAAGTACAAAATACTTGAGAGATTAGCTCTAAACTAGCGCTTTTGTGCATTCAGGCAGTACACCATCAACTCTCCACAAATTTCTCTGAACAACTGCAAAAAGACAGGATAATAGTGTTGTATCCTTTATATGGCTACCCTAATATTGAAGCAAAAAAGGAACTTGCACAATATCAATATAAGGGTGGTACATACCCTCTTGATGCAGCACAATAAGCCTGGATCTGTAATCACATAAACAAACAAATATTTTTAAAACGTACAAAAATAAAATAAAAACAGCAAGCTAAAGTCCTTAGGTTTGATTCTAGGATGTGTTTCGCCTGTAGTGGGCTTTTTCTTTTTTTTTTTTTTTTATTCTTTTTTTTTCGTGCATAGGTTATACATGTAACAGTTTTCTAGCGATGCCACAACAGCTATCGCCAGGGTTTGAGTAGACATGTAAATACAATTGTATGGCAGGAATAACTTTGCACATTTTTATATATATGTATGAGAAGAGTGGTTAGTGGTATAGTACTGTTCCAGCGTGAGTGTGAGTGATTATGTCCAGATAGAGATCTTCAGGTTAGGGTGCAAGGGCTAGTGTGCATGTTGACCATCAGGTTAGTATTTTGTTAGGTATATACATGCGTTTAAGTGTTATCAGCCCTGGCCGCTCGATAGAGTAGTGCCTGTCCAAACTGTGGGCCGGTTTTGCTTTGAAAATCACACTGCCCAGTCGCCTACTTCTAGGTGTACGTGTCCCGTGTTTCATCTACACTTGATGTAATCTATGCTTCAGTCGACACCTAGCGCGTCCCAACCGAATTTAGCGGCAGCAATCTGGAGAATCTCCAGCCAACCCGCGCATCCACCCCCAGCAGTCCCATGAATACAAGTTGTTTGCTCATGGATAGTTATGGGACAGGAGTGTTGCGGGCGAACTGGCCCCTCCAAATCACGTAAGCCACCCAGTCCAGGCTGTGAACTATGTGCTCCAGACTTATTATGCCTAAGACTTATAACTTATTTTTAGTTTCAGAGTGCCAGATCTATCTGTGGTGTTATTAAGTGGTCTGTGGTGTCAGTCGGTTAGTTGTGAGAGTATCTTGTCAGGGGGCCTTATCCGTGGTCCGTTTGAGTTACTCTCGAGGGGTATTAGCCCTAACCTAGGGGCTGTCGGGGGGGGGAGTTATGTTCTGTATGGTAGTGCATATTCCTTTAGCGCACTGCTATTCCAGCGCCGTCCCTGACAGGCTCTCAGCGCGTCATATGGGTATTAGAGCGTCAGATTAACTTGCTCATTATCAACAAAGCTTGAGTGGCAGAAAGTGAAAGGGTATATGAGAAAAACACAAGAAAATACATTTTGCAGTTTTTAGCCTTTGAGCGGGATGGAGTAGGAGACTTCTCCCCTCATTCCCGTCATGTGGCGTGAGTGTCCCTTCTCCGTGTCCTCGGGGTGAACGGCTCTATCGTCTCTGGGTCCCAGGCATGGGTGGCGTTCTGGGCGTGCTCGGTCGGCAGACCCAATTTTGGTAGTAGCGCGGCAGCATCGGGACCTGTAGCGATTTTGTACGTGTTTCCTCGATGTGTAACCAGGAGGTGGCGTGGGTGTCCCCACCGATATGATACGCCCGCTGAACGTAGCTGGCTGGTGAAGTCGCAGAGGGTTCTTCTCCATTGGAGAGTGGCTCTGGTTAAGTCCTGGTAAAAAGTCAATTGAGACTCCTCGAAGTTGAGCGGTGTCTTGCCCTTGAGTGCCGACATTATGTGCCCCCTATCCTGGGGAAGGATGCAGCGGACTATGACGTCTCCTGCCAGGAGTGTTGGTGCCCTTGTCGGGGTGGGTAGTCGGTATATTCCGGCAAAGGTGAGTTTCTTTGCCACCGCAGGAGGAAGTATAGCTTGCGTGAGCCGTCTCACGTAGTGAGGTAGGTCCTCTTTGGAGACTGTGACAGGGATACCTCGGATTTTTATGTTATTGCGTCTATGTTTGTCTTCTTGGGCTGCTAGTTGGACCTCGAAGTTTTGTTGATTGTGTTGAAGTTGTATGAGGGAGTCTTGAAGCGAGGTGATGTCTTTTTGGATCCCCTGCACTTCTCTCTCAGTGTGTACTACTTTTTCAGTGATTTGTTGCATGCTTGTTTTAAGGGCAGGTAAATCTGCAGCCAGCAGGCTTTGGATTTCTTGCAGCATAATTTGCATGTGCTGCAGGTCCTGTTTAGTGGCCGGTTCAGTGGTACCCTGCTGGGGTGTGGGTTGTAGCCGTGGAACCCCCTGTGTGCTTTGCTCCCTTAAGTCAGACTCTTGTGGGGAGTCTGGGCCTTGTGCGGCCGCCATTTTGGCGGGTGTTTGCCTCTGGAGCATTGTGCTTATATCGGGCTGAGCTGTACCTGGTTGAGGTTTCTGGGATCTGCGTCCCATCCCTGAGGTTCCGTGTTCGGAGCTGTGCTGGGACGTGTCCCACTCGTCTTCTAGGAAGTCCCCGCCTAACAGGTAATCCAGGCCGTGATGGGCTGATGGAAGGTAGGCCCGTGCTCTGTGTTTTGATTTTGCCTGCTTCGGGGTGTACCGGAAGGGCATCGGAAGAATCCGGGGGATCTCCCCCGTGCTATGCCGGTGTTCTTGTGGCTGGATGTCAGGGTTGTGGGCTGATATTGAGCGGGTTAGGTCCGTAGATGTCGGAGCCCGCAGAAATGGCGTCTGACCCGTCTCGTGTCCAGGCTCCGCCCCCTGTAGTGGGCTTTTTCAACAGGAATATTGCCTTAACAAGGAAGCACATAGATTTAAAACTAATCACTTGGAGCAGGTGATTATTCAAGTTATAAAAGTTCACTACAGGTGAAACCTGAGGACTTCAGCTTGCTGCTTTTATTTCATTTTTATAGATGATGTAAGTTTTTCATAAATGTTTGTTTATGTGATTATATTTAAGTCCTGTGGCTGCAATGCCTTCACGGATCCTGAATGCACAAAAGTTTAGAGCCAACATATACTCTTGCATATGTGACTGTAATATCTCACTGCCTTGTTTTACACGTGTTTTAACAAATCACTGCCCTTTAGCAGTTAACTCCCTTCTGCAGCCCTAGGCACACTTCCCTACATGTATTGTGCACAGCCTTCCATAACACTTCCTGCAAAGTGAGAAATAATCTTTACACTTACTTTATTGCACAGTCTGTTTAATTTAGATTCTCTTATCTCTTGCACTGCTAGACCTTGTAGGACTCTCCCCCGTGCGATTTAAAGATACATTTACAGAGCAGTAAATACAAAAAAAAAAACTAGGAAGACAAACCAGCCCCACAGCAAAAAATAAAAACTAGGAAGACAAACCAGCCCCACGGGAATTAACTCTTATGTCAAAATCAATATGGGGTAATAAACTTTTATTAAGAGAAAATACATACAAGACAAGCAAAGTGTTCGTGCAAAAAAATTGTGATCAAGCTATATATGTGTATAAAATGATAGTTGGGAGACTCCTAGATCTGTTCCACAGGTACTCACTTTATAACTGTGAACTCCACAAACTACAAATGTAGCAGTTCAGTACAAATAATTAGACTGATTTGATACAAAGGTGGCAGACCGCTTTCTGTAGTGTCCTGTTTAAATGGGTAGATAGTGAGCAAGTATCTATTAGTGCTGACTAAACCACCCCCTGCTGCTTCGAGGCAGCCCCCTTAAATAGATGGAATCAGAATCTATCAGGTAACGCAGTCATCCTAATTAACTATCAGAGTAAAATCAAAGTACAAGCATTGGTAGCCCGACGTGCGTTTCGGTAAAATCAGCCTTTCTCAAGAACTAAACCGGCATCCACAAAAGGTAAATTTTTAATGGTGGGTAAGTCCCACCTATAGCAGGAAGAGGCCAATGGCAAGAGTTTTTGTAATGATATTGGCAGAGTTCTTGTGATGACGTTGGCGGGGTTCATTCCAGAGAGAAGATGACACAATTCATGTCCGTGCACGTGCACAGTCATGGTGTATGTCCCGAGATCAGACACCCTGTTTCTAGGGTTTCCCTTACTAATAAAAGACTGCTTATAGATATCGAGCTCTTTTTTTTATATATATATATTTATTTTCTTAAGTCATGCATTGCTAGTAATGTTACTGCATCTATTGCAATTGTAAGTATTTAAATCTTTCTTACCAAAAGAATTTGTTCAATTCAGAAAGAAAGTCGCATTTGAAAATGTTGCTTATAAAGGCAGCCTGAAAGTTTTATTTTTCTTGATATAAGCTTGTTTAATTTTTTTAAATTTTATTTTTTTAAACCCTACATAGTGACCAGACTGAGCCATGTCCATCGGAAAGAAGTCTTGGGGAGGTGAGGAAATCATATTTTGCTCTGTAAATAATTTATTTTCTTATTCTTGAATAATTGCATATTAACTGCATACTGTATAATATTTGCTATGTCCCTGATGTAGTTTTAAAATCATGTTCTTGTATTTTCTCCTTGAGATTGTGGGATTATATTGTCTTGTTTTCTAAAAGACAATATAATATATCTGAATATCTTTACACATTTCTACACATGAACACAACTGAACGAACTAGTGTGTCTGTCTTTCTAGTTCAACTTGTGCTTATCTGAAGAGATCCTAAAAGCATAGGGTGCAGCTTAGAGAATATGCCGCTAAATATTAAATTTAACTCACAAAGCAACACTTACCTAACTCTTTTTCTCCAGTGTAATATTTTTTTACCTTGCTGAGAATTTACTGTTAGTCATTTTGTCCTCCTGCATCTCTGCAAATGGACTATAAATGTCATCTCTTCTCCCAGACTCTACAGCACCTTCACAGTCAGTCTCCACATATTTTTTTCAATGGGATGCCAGGTGTGGGACTCTGACAATAGAATGATTATTAGCATTATTATTGAGGGCCTTATCCAGTTGTTTGATCTGCATTCTACTACTCATCCATTAAATGTGCTCTCTAGTCCTACTCCTCAAATGTACCCCCTTTTAACTACCTCTAAAGAGGCAGTGTTCATATTAAAGTGTTGGTCAATAAAAATGACTGCATGTTGTGTACCCATTTACCAATAGTTCTATCAATTGGTCCAAATGAGCATTTCATTCATTATAAATGTGTGGATTTCAAGAAAAATCAGGTGCTAAGTTGCACCTCTCTAGCTGTCAAACAGCTTAGATGTTGATGCTAGTTATTGCTTATTGCTTCTGTGCAAGTGGAAGGCAATGCTTCTCATAGAGGAGGCGTGCAGACAAAGTGCTGCGGATGTTATACATGCTTCTGTAAGATAATGCAGTGTATTAGCTTGCAGAGCATCAGTACTGATAATCTCTTTGTGTGAGGAGTTGAGTTACAGTGAAGAGATAGTCTTGCTGCTGTTTTACATGTAGGTTAACACTTTATTTATGGGAGCAGGTTGTACCAAATAATCTAGCTCAAGCATGTCAAACTTGCGGGGAGCATGCGACCCACAATGATTATCTTTTTGGCACGCCTGTCCTGGGGCTGCTTTGTTCTGTGGCTGCTACTGCTTCTTGTTTGCCCTCCCAAGGCCAGTCGCTCCCTCCTACTCGCAGTGCCAGAGGAGCCTCTGGCCTGCATAAGCAGAGAAGAGCCAGGGATGGAACTGAAGAAGGGCGGCTCATCTTACGGTAGGGGAAGAGGGATTTGGAGGACCTTCCTGTGTAGTGTGTTAAATTGGGGAGGGAGGATGCCAGTGTATTAAATTGGGGGAGGAAGTGGACAGTGTATTAGAGTGGTGGGAGGGGGGATCAGTATATTAATTTGGAGGAGAAAGGGGGACAGTGTATTAAATTTGGGGAGGGAGTGGTGGATGGGGGCCAGTGTGTTAATTTGGTGGAGGGATGGAAGCAGTGTATTAGAGTGGTGGGGGGTGGGCAGTGTGTTAATTGGGGGCGGGGGCAGTGTATTAAATTGGGGGCAGGGAGGGCAGTGTATTAAATTAGAGTGGAGGGAGAAGGGGCAGTGTATTAGAGTACACTGCCCATTGGAGTGATCTGGGTGCCAACTCCCACTACCCTTAACCCTGCAACTGTAATTATTGCGGTTTTCATAAACTGCAATAATTACCTTGCAGGGCTAACTCCTCCTCTAGTGGCTGTCTACTAGACAGCCACTAGAGGGCACTTCCTGCTTCATAGCACAGGTTTTCTGTGCTAGGGCGTCGCTGGACGTCCTCACGCTGTGTGAGGACCTCCAGCGTCGCTCAATTCCCCATGGGAAAGCATTGAAAAGCATTTTCAATGCTTTCCTACGCGGAGCTCTAGTGCGCATGCGCGGCATTGCCGCACATGCGCATTAGGTCTCCCCGCCAGCGGGCGTAATGAAGAGGAGGAGCGGTGGCGACCCAAAACCACCGCCGAGGGACATGGACAGTGGGGTTTTCACCACTTCAGCAACCAGGGATGGGTGGTGGGAGGGAGAGGGGACCTGCAGTGAAAGGAAAACGGATTGTTTTCCTGGCACTGGAGAGTCTCTTTAAGGGGCAGTGTATTAGATTGGTGGAGGGGGCAGTGTATTCAATTAAAGGTGGGGGGGGGTCAGTGTATAAGAGTGGTGGGAGGGGGGCAGTGTATTTGATTTGGGGGCAATGTATTAGAATGGTCTGCTTGGAGGCGTTGAACGCCCCACATGGAGACGCTGATTGAGCGCACCTTTTTGCCACACATGCACAATAACCTCCGTATTGGCTGAGATCATCCAGTTTTATAATCTCTGCCAAAGTTCAGAACACGCTCATAGGACTTCACAATAAACAAGATAAATGTAATTTGTTTTTTACAGCTGTGCAACAGCATACATTCACAATTTCAGTCCCATTACCAAACTTTTCTTAAAATGTCAAGGTAGTTGGACTGAAACATTGGTTATATGCAAATGCACGTCTCCTTAAAATAATTGTTTACTTTAAAGCCATAAGTGTGAGGACATCCAGTGTCAGGCGACTTTTTTATACTGTATACTGTCTAAACCTACGTTTCGATGAAAACTGAAGTTTTAGTATTTTTGCTGCCCACATAGACTTAAACCTTGCTTATTTGGCCCGTGTTAGCCTTTGTGTTTGACATGCTTGATTTATCTGAAATTGTGAACACTCCAATGTTACATCACTATGGCAAACATTGTACATGAGAAGGAGAAAGAGCAATACTGTTTAATTTCTCCTCCTCTCTCTATGCCATTTCTATGCTGACTACCAGCTGCAAAGGACCGGGCTTATAACAGTGACAAACAGGGAGTTAAGATGGAGCCCACCAGTTGCAGGATAAATAGATAAGATTTCAACATTTTATTTTTCACACTGCACAAATGCATATTTATTAAATATGGAGATAAGTAAACATAATATGAAAAAATCTTAGGTAGTGGTGGTTCCTTTTTAATACTTATGGTTAATTATGAATAGCTAACAATTCTGCGAGTTGTCTTTTTGTTCATTTACTTGTTTCTTGGCAATCATTTTTATTTCTTTTTTAATCACAGGGTAATGAACACACAGCCATAACATTCAGCAAAGCAGAAGTGTTTGCTTTCTTGGTATGTATTTTTTAATTTATGTTCTCTTATATAATATGCTTTAATTGACATCTCTTACTTATTATCGCCATTTATATAGCGACAACAGATTCCATAGCGCTTTATAATATTATGAGGGGGGTGTTTAACTATAAATAGGACAATTACAAGAAAATTTAAAAAAAAAAAAAGCTTAAAACTTTAAAAAGCTCAAATAAACTTTCAGTCTAACATGCAAATGTGTAAATATAGCATCTCATCCAGTACAGTATTGTTCAGATTATGATTTTGTGACTATTTTTTATTTTAAGTTATTCACACCACATTGCTTTGATATTGATCTTTTTACATTACTGTACAGTTTTTTAATTTGTTAATGTAAAAGTGCTTAATATATTATGCTGCCAAATTGTGATTAATAATACATAGTTTATGTGTGTGTGTGTGTGTATGTATATGTATATGTGTATATATATATATATATATATATATATATATATATGTGTGTATATATATTATTATTATGTTATATATATATATATATATATATATATATATATATATATATATATATATATATATATATATATATATATATATATATATAGCACCAACAAAATAATTTCAGATAGGTAATAGGTCTGCACTCATGGTCTTCTTCAAATTAATTTCTTTATTGCATTAAAAGGTTGTCCAGGGAGATCAACGATCAGGATATATACTACACAAGATCCAGCGCACTCACTCATCCACTGAACAGCAACTTTAACCCCTTAAGGACTGAGGACGGTTCAAGTCCGTCATCGGCATTTTTACATTGCCGACCAGTGACGGTCCTGAACCGTCCTAACGGTCTTAATTACTTACCGGATCGCTGTCGTTCCCCCGGCGGCGATCGGCGGTGCTCCCGGTGTGGGGAGACTGCCTGCAGCCCAGACAGTCTCCCCACGGCGAATTAGGATCCCTGTGGCCATGTGATCGCTCAACACAGCGATCACCTGGTCACAATAGGTGTCCATGTCTCTGCCTGCAGGGGGACTGTCTGTGCTGACAGGCAGTCTCCCTGCATGTGTAAAATCATTTAAAAAAAAATAAAGTTAATGTTAATTAAAAATTTTTTATATATATATATATATATATATGATATATAGACATATATTATATCTATATAACATATGTCTATGTATCATGTCATACTAAGTGTATTTTTAAATTAATATGTACATATATTAATATAAAACACTTATAATTAAATTACACATGTGTGTATATATATAATATATATAACTATATATATTGTAAATATATATTACAAAATACAAATAATAAGTAATTTAAATTAAATAAAAAAATGTAAAAATAATAAAAATTTTAAATAAAATTGTATCTATATGAAATTTTATTCTAACTGTATTTTGATATTAATATATATATTTATATCAAAATACACTTAGAATGAAATTGTATATATATCTATGTATATATAAATAAAAATAATACGAAATATACATATGTCCATATACAAAATTACATAAATAATTATATAAATATACACGTAGACTTCAAATATATAAATATGCATATATATTTAAATTCTATGTGCGTATTTATGTAATATTTTTACATAATTAAGTAATTTTATTGATTGCAATTTGAGGGACCTGCCTGCCAACCCAGGCTGAAAGTCCAGAGAATTTAATTTGCTAGCACTGTATTTTACCCTGTAATGTTCTACGACACCCTAAAACCTGTACATGGGGGGTACTGTTTTACTCGGGAGACTTCGCTGAACACAAATATTAGTGATTCAAAACAGTAAAATATATCACAGCGATGATATTGTCAGTGAAAGTGACTTTTTTTGCATTTTTCACACACAAACAACACTTTTACTGATGATATAATTGTTGTGATACGTTTTCCTGTTTTGAAACACTAATATTTGTGTTCAGCAAAGTCTCCCGAGTATAACAGTACACCCCATGTACAGGTTTTATAGCGTTTTTGAAAGTTACAGAGTCAAATAAATAGGTCAAATATTTTTACATTGAAAATGGCCAGGTTGGTTACGTTGCCTTTGAGAGCGTATGGTAGCCCAGGAATGAGAATTACCCCCATGATGCCATACCATTTGCAAAAGAAGACAACCCAAGGTATTGCAAATGGGGTATGTCCAGTCTTTTTTAGTAACCACCTAGTCACAAACACTGGCCAAAATTAGCGTTCAATTTAGTTTACTTTTTTCACACACAAACAAATATGAATGCTAACTTTGGCCAGTGTTTTCGACTAAGTGGCTACTAAAAAAGACTGGACATACCCCACATTGAATACTCTGGGTTGTCTAGTTTAAAAAAAATATGTACATGTGGGGTGTTATTCAGAGATTTATGACAGATAATAGTGTTACAATGTCACTATTGATACATTTTTTTAAATGTATGTTTTGAAACCGCAATATCCTACTTGTACCTATAGCCCTATAACGTGCAAAAAAAAAAGCACGTAAACACTGGGTATTTTTAAACTCAGGACAAATTTTTTTATCTATTTAGCAGTTTTTTTTCATTCGCTTTTGTAGAGGAGTAAAAGATTTTTCAAGTAAAAGTAAAAAAACATGTATTTTTTTTAATTTTTCATTATTTTTTTTTATTTTTTTTAAATTAAATTACATGCGATGATATAAATAATGGTATGTAAAGAAAGCCCATTTTGTCCTGAAAAAAAATAATATATAATTTGTATGGGAACAGTAAATGAGAGAGCAGAAAATTACAGCTAAACACAAACACCACAAAAGTATGAATAAATGCCTGGTCGCAAATGTACATCATCACAAAAACAGTCCGGTCCTTAAGGGGTTAAAGCTCACAGATTTAGATTTCTTAGTAATCTCGGCATAATGGGGGTTTAGTTACAGTAAATGATCATACATTGCATAATCCTGCCACAACGCCAATGTATGCCATTCTTGCAAATTTTTCTGGCAGGCTAATGCAATCTATGATCATAGATTGTAACTAAACCCCCATTAATTTTGCCTAGGTGTGGTGTTTTGAAATTAAACTATTACATTCTGTGCAACTTGAAATTGCTGTTTAGTAAATAAGTGAGTGCACTGGATCTTGTGCTTGCGTTCGTTCACTCTCACATGAACTCACACAGGGGTATTCACTAAAGTCCAAATCGCCCCGAACCAAATGTGATAAAACCATCAGGCTGCATATCGGCACATTTTGACTGCAAAATCTGGATATTGTTGATGGGATTCATCAGTGTCCAGATTTTGTAAATTAGGCACTGAACTCTCTTGTCTTTCTTTCCCCCCTCCCTCTCTTGTCTTTCTTTCCCCCTCCCTCTCTTGTCTTTCTTTCCCCCCCCCTCTCTTGTCTTTCTCTCCCCACTCCCTCTCTTGTCTTTCTCTTCCCCTTCCCTCTCTTGTCTTTCTCTTCCCCTTCCCTCTCTTGTCTCTCTCTTCCCCTTCCCTCTCTTGTCTCTCTCTCTCCCCTTCCCTCTCTTGTCTCTCTCTCTCTCCCCCTCCCTCTCTTGTTTCTCTCTCCCCCCTCCCTCTCTTGACTCTCTCCCCACCCCTCTCTTGTCTCTCTCTTCTCCCCCTCCATCTCTTGTCTAGCTCTCTCTGAACCCCTCCCCGCACTTGCTGTCAGTTCGGCCAGGTGCAGGAGAAGGATGCTCCTGTACCGCGGACCGGAGCAGAGCTCGGCCACGCTACACTGAGGGATTGACAGGAAGGAGCGCTTTGCGCTTTCCTCCTGCCGATCCCTATTTTCTTTTGCGCCCGGGCCGGTGTGCCCGGTCCGGACAGAGCTGCAGCCGCCTGAAGTTCTCTATAGAGCACTCAAGCGGCTGCAGCATGAGGGGCCAGCGCTCCTGGTGGCGCCCCTTCCTAAACAGCACCCTAGGCGACTGCCTAAGTCGCCCATAGGAAGCGCCGGCCCTGCAGATATCTTTGCAGGGCGGTTTATAGATGGAGAGCAGACCTGCTCAGTAAAGATCATGGATGGGAACACTTGGGGATATAGAAATAAATGTTGCTGTATATTTAGATTTATTTCTTAATTGTGACTGCATGAATGACTGTGTATGACGGTGTCTGTATGACCGTACCTGAATGTTTGTGCCTGTATGACTGTATATGCCAGTGTCTGTATATCTGTGTATGTCAGTGCCTGTATGACTGTATCTCAATGTCTGTGCCGGTGTGTCTGTGAATGTCAGTGTTTGTATGTATGTCTCTGTATGACTGTGTCTGTATGTCTGTGTATGTCAGTGTCTGTATGACCGTATCTGAATGTTTGAGGAATGTCCGATACCAGGACCCGTAAACCAGGAGGTAGAGGTTGTGCTGGGGTCGTGCTGAGATCGCAGTAAGGCAATTAAGTGGTGAAAAAATGAATACGGTCTACGCGTTTTGTCTGCAGATCAGACTTTCTCAAGACTGGTGTTCATCACAACAAAGATCAGCTTATATACCCATTACTTAATAGATTAATTGATATCATACAATGCATTACTAATAGGACTGTTGATTTTAATCATATGCTGTATAGCGAATTCATTTCAAAACAGTAAATAAACATTAGGAGGATATTCCTCAATAATAAACTATAGATAATAAACTAAAAAAATATATAACATTAAAAATCAAATAAACATAACCTCGTAGGCAAATAGACCATAATAGTAGAGGCAACTATGGACTAATAAACTATGGACTAATCAAGTGACCAAATATACAGGCCTAATTGACATAGCAATTTGAATAAGTTAATACATGAAAAATAAAACAAATGAGGAAAATGAGGCTATCTGGGGGGGGGACGGGGACGGGACAGGAACACACAAAGGGGCTGTGGAGAGTAAGAGACACACAAAGGGGCTGGTGGGAAAGTAAGAGACAAAAAAAGGGGCTGGGGAAGTAAAAGACACACAAGGGGGATTGTAACACAAACTACACAAAACTACACCCACACTCTAACACAGTATACACACTTACTGCTACACATACACAATGCTACACACACAGTCAGTCATAGTACACACTGTACATAATATTTTAGCAATTTAGGGAACTTTCCTCTTCCAAATGTTATGCAACATCCGTAATGTCATGTCCAGTCACATCACGTATACATAATTAATTATGCAAATTTGCATGGCTAGTATTTTTCCCCAAAAAACGTGGCAACCCTGGTTAGGTTCCTTTCCCCTGGGGGCCAGGGGAAAGGAAGCTAGGTTCTCCTCTTAAAATTTAAAGTATCCCCAATTCCCATGGTGTGGTGCATGTGCGCACTATGTTTTCCCTGTTATTTCCCATGGGATGATGCCTTTTCCCAGTTGCTAGTTTTGTTTAGCAGATATGCCCCACCTGCCTTCTGGCAGTTGGGGGCATATGGAGGTACGTTACCTCTATTATAGTAATATGGCGATCAGTGATATGGGGTAGATTGCCTTCATAAGAGTTTTATATGGGGGTTCATTTTTGGCCACCATGAGTTTGTTGCTTAATCTCTGATTCATGTGCTGTAGATCTATGTGGATTTGTTACTTTCCGAAAGAATCGAACCAATGTTAGAGTTAATCAGACCAAGAGAATCCTAACCGCATTTAGCTTTTCTAAATATAAAAATTGCCAATGTGGTCGACATTTGGTTGAATGGAAAAATCTGGTGAACATTACCGAATTAAGACAACATTTTTAGAGAATAACCCTGATTGTTTTTTTGTTGTTTTTGTTATTTTATATATAAATTTAATTTCTCCAATGTTTTATTTTAGCATAACTTTGAAGTGGCAGATAAATCTGATGTGACTTTTATCAAAACGGTCACACTGTTGTTTTCTAAGGCTTTGAGGAAGTTTCAGGGAAAGGACCTTGAAGATAAGGTAAACATTTTCAAAAACCTAATTGTGAATGTATGAACTTCCTTTTTTTTTTCTTGGGTGTGTTAATAAGTATGTGTATGAAAATTCCAGGATTGAAATGTTGCTGCAAACCATTATATATATATTTTCTGCTAGGAGTAAAAATGACGCATGTGAAAATGGGTTATTTGGGCTATATATTTGCTTATTTTTTATAAACTGTAACAAACAGGTCTAGGAAAGGATTCTGTCAAAATCACAGTTTACAGATAGAAAGTATCATATCCTTAATTTTGGCATCTTCGTTATAAAAAACACAAAAAAAAACTGCATGGTGGGTGATTTTATCCATGCTTTATTCTCCTTGACATACATGCCTTGGCATGCTCAAGAATAGTATTGGTTACGCCACCAGGCAATATCGGTTGTAATTTAAATTAATCTGTTTCCAATTAGTAAAATGTTCATCAGGAGAGGGACTGAATTAATGGAAAGCACTGGTACAGAGCAGGATTTGTCCTGGTGCTGGCATAAGATCATATAAGCCCAAGCCAGGACGTGTAAATATAGTGAAGATATATATAAATGAAGTGCATGTTAATGGAAAATAATTTGGGATTTACTGTGTTATACATTTCTGCAAATCCATCCCTCTTCACTCAACTCTGTGTGATTTTCAGCAATGCAGTGTTATTTTGTTTTTAAGGAGTGCTTTGGAGCTGAGCCCGAGTCTAGTGTTGATGAGGAAGATCTCAAGAGTCCCAGAACATATTCAGGTATGTCAAATAAAAAAAAAACATTGTGTGACTGAGCTACACTGCCCATTATTATTATTGCAGTGTACATGATTTTCTACCTTGAATTAGGGATGACTTTTGGGAGAGTCTAACAGAAGACAGACATCATCAAAATATATATTTTACATAAGTTTTTTTTTTTTTTTTTTTTATGTCTCACTTCAAAGAGTAAAAGAACAGGGGGAAAAGAAAGCAAATAACTGTCAAGAGATTTTTTCCTTTTTTTATTTTACATGGTATACTTAAGGTGAACCTGTAGTCTTGTATGAAGAAGTCTCTAAATAAAAAAACAATTAACTTTACCAAAAAGGAGGATGGAGGAGGATACGACAACTGCTGCAGGGGGACTCACCATATGATATAGGCTTTGCAGATTATGCCGATAGTCTGTCATGTAGGGGAGAAACGCAATTAAGCACATTTTTTCATGGCTATCTAAACATCTGCTAGCTATTTCACATTGCTAGCACAATGTATAGATGGAAATTACTATGGAGATTGAAATGTGTGAAAGTTCACTACAAATCTGAAATTTTCCTTTATTCTGTTTTATGGTGGCAGTACATACGAGTATTCATCTTCTAATGACCAGGAAATTTATGACTAAAATTAAAATATTATATCCCACCCTCTTATACCTTGTACCTTCAAATTAATCCAAAAGATATCCGTTTTTGCTTGTCCCATGTTGTAGATGGTGTGGATTTACTACTGACTAGTATGTCCGCAAGGCATATTCATCGATGCTCGGTTTTCTATGCCAAAGTTTTGTGGAAGAATGACCCAGGAGGCATTCAATTTTACTCCAGTTTGGAGTGCTGTTGATGCTGACCCAGGAGGACTTTTTCCTGTCTATTCCAGGAGAAGTGTAGCTAGGGCTGTAAGCAGTGAGACTGCAGAGGTATGACCTATATACCAAAACAGTTTTCTTAAGCTAAAGTTGTTTATGCGCTCAGTGTCTTTTTAACCCCTTAATTATGGGCAAGCCGCCGGGGTCCCCTCCTGTGTCAGGTCCTCGGACCCGAAATGGTTGTCTGCTCTAAGGTGATTTAGGCGGCCGCCTAAATCACCTAATTAGAGAGCTGCCTCAGCCTGCAGGAACAGCTATATAAGTTCAGTGGGCTACAGCTGGGCATTTCATCCTGTATGTCAGGAGTTGCTGTGAACACTGGAATAGCTGTGGTAAAATCAATAGAAGGAACCTATTCATTTGTGTCATGGGAGAACTAGGAATATTGTTTCTGTGGCGCTGCATAATTAGGTGACTAATTACAGTCATCTGTGTCACTCTCAGTAAGGCGCTGTGTGTCACCTCTTAGTCAACTGTTAAAATTTCTTCAGCCTCCTAAGCACTAAACCTCCTAAGCATTTTTAACAACTTATATATATTTTATTTATTTTTTTACCTTTAATTAATTCCCCAATGTCTCAAAAATGAACTCCCACACCAAACTAACGAAATTATCTAATTTAAAGTTAGTAAAATAAATGTGACCCCTAAGGGTTAAAAAAAATATAATTTAATCTCTGAGGGTAGAAAAAAACAGCATAGTACTGCAAGCCATGCTCAAATGACAGATAAAGGGTTAATTTAAATGTATTCTTCCCAAGAATGCAATGTAACTTTGCAATCCGCATTTATCAGTAGCTCACTCTTTTATGTCTAACATTCTGCAAATATTCTGCATGATTTATTACATTTATAGTTAGTTTTTTTCATCTCTTGCTTTTGTCCCCTAACCATCATATTCTAATATACACCATTTCAACAGTGCAACAGCTATACCAATCTTTCTGCTACTTTTGCAGACAGAAGTGTTCTCCACTCTATTAAATATAGCAATGTATTCGATTGGATACTTTGGTTAAAACTGGTAGAATTTACTTTGAAGAAAACACTTTTTAGACCACTTTAATAAATACAATCAAAATAATGAAGGAATTTAATCTTTCACTTTTCAGAACACTTATAAATGTCCTGATTTTATTATCACTATTTATATAGCGCCAACAAATTCCGTAGCGCTTTACAATATTATTAGAGGGGGGATTTAACTATAAATAGGACAATTACAAGAAAACCTACAGAAACAATAGGTTGAAGAGGGCCCTGCTCAAACGCGCTTACAGTCTATAGATATATGCATATGGAGTTTTTGTATTTGTGCAATACCAATATGTGTGTTCATGTGAGCATGCATTTCAGCTAGTGTTTGTTGTTACTGTGTGCATGCTCATTCATTGTCAGCACCTTTGTTTGCTAGTGCTCCTCTATTTGTCTGTGTGCAATATCAGTATGTATGTGTGTGTTCCTGTATATGTAATATTAGTATATGTGTGTATCCGTTATCCTTTGTGAATGCCAATTATCCCAGTATTCCCAATTCCCTTGATCCATTTTCTATCTTCTGCACCCTTATTATCTCGCACCAGCACTCATCATTATATTTTTCTATTCTCACTCCTTTCCCCCACAATAAATTGTTTACCCTGCTACTGGTAGATTGGTTGAGTGTCTGTGCAGCAAAACTAAGGGTGGAATCGTCTAATAACAATGTCTGTAAACCTGATGTATAAATAAAGGCTGCTCCAAGTATAAAGTTTAAAACATAACTATTATTCAAAAGCAAACAATAATTGTACACATCATAGCCCATATCTTTATAAAGTGCAAAGTATTCCCACATAACAAGCCTAATGCGTTTTGGTTTTTTGCTGCATGGCACTTGATCCTAGGCACAGAGAGAGCGAGATACTGTTGAACTGTTTGTGCAGTCTTCAAACCCTGCATGCCTGGCTTTAGGCCTCTGAGTGGAAGGGCCAGGTAAATGACATAATGTCAAATCCCCATTTCTGCTTCACTATACTAGATTGATGCCAGCGACAAAGGCTTTAAGACTACACATGAAGGACAGAAAGCTTTAGTAATAAGCGGCCTGTGGTGTGATCTCCCCAGCAGATCTGTGGTTATGAATCAGGCCCACAGCCTAAATAGACAGTGAGTGGGCCACGTTTGACAACCCTGTGCTAAAATAACTGACATGTTGAAAGTAGTGCAGACCTTTAAATACAACTTTTTACATTTAGGTCTAATAAGTTATAGACACAAATATTACATTTTGTTCATGTTACTATAAACAAAAACTTTTAAAATTAAAAGATAATGTTGAGATCCTAACCTTGGTGTAGATAATCGTAAAAGAATCACACATTTAGAAATAAAACATTGCAAATCTGTTCATATATAATAAATCTGTGAATGTCTGTCTATCTATCTTTCTCATTATTCCTAATCTTCCCTTAAAGTATATTTTTATGTTTTAGGCTCCAGGTCTGTCTCCATTTCAATACAGCCACTTCATACCCCATCACACAAACAGAAGAATAAACATAGGAGGAGAAAGACTTATTCTCACTCTTCATCAAGATCACCTTCATCAGAGCATGTTCGGTCAACCAGTCGTTCTTCACTACAGATAACTATAAAATCGGCCAATATAGGAAAAAATAGTAACTTCAAAGAAGAGCTAAGTGAGATTGACCTCAGTGAAAATGATTATACAGAAACCTTGGAAGTGATTGATACACTTGAGGAAAATTGTACTTCCAATCCTGATCTTGAAGGTATAAACTATTGGTGGTTTTCCTTTTCTGTCTATTTTCTGTGTTTAATATGCTCACATCTTACCAGATATAAGCTGCGTGTACAAGGCCCTCAGTTCCTTTTATTTAACTATATTTTTTGGTAAAAGGCTAAAGGGTAAGTAAAACTGGTACCTGGCAGAAACTGCATGTGCTTCATATGGTTAGAGATACATAATTTCATGGATAAAAACATTAGCTTGATCTCCTAGTATTGGTTTATATTTATGCATACCTTTGAGAAACAGAATTTGGTATTCTCTGCTTGGGGGCTTGTGAAACTGGTAGCGTACGTGTGTACTCCAATCAATGCAGAAGCTATAATAAGTGCTAACAAATACACCCTTTATTATTTTTAAACAATGCAAGATTGTCACACATTCCTTTTTGGGGGGGGGGAGGTGAGTGTTGTTTTTTCCTCTCTCCAGTGTGGTTTAATAATCTTTACAAAAATATTCATATACTCAATGTACAATATACTCAATGTAACAAGTACATTTTACCGCAAGATATGCATAGCATTTTAAAATAATGAAGAAGAATCATATGCAGAGCACTGTCCACAAATCTGTAAATGCGTTGAGAATGAATTTGAGTGGAATGTGGCGGGGGCTAATCTGCATAAGTTATAGACCTCTACTGTACAGGCGTTTATGGGATAAGTTCAGACCCTGTGTATCAGCAGTGGCAATAGGAAAAAAGCCGATATAATCAGGGCCGGCACTACCTTAGCACGCACCAGCCCTGGGGGGCGCAATGTCAGGCTGACCGGCAGGAAAGAAGCGCACTGTGCTCCCCTCTGGCCAGTTACTTCTTGTAGTGTGGCCAAGCGCAGATGTTACCGCCCACGGAGCCCAGCCTCCTACCCTGGTGTCTGCTGAAAGCTGTGTGGCGGGGGCAGGGATATGAATGACATCATATCCCTGCTCCCTGTGCACCACACAGTGTGGCTGGCGCCCAGTGATGGGCTGGGCTGCAGGAGGAGACTCCATAGAGCCGGACAGCATGCACCCCAGGGACCAGGTTGAACAGATGTAAGTATGTAATTGGAACTGTCTATGTATGTATGTATGTCTCTGTATGCATGCATGCATGTATGTATGTCTGTCTCTGTATGCATGCATGTATGTATGTCTGTCTCTGTATGCATGCATGTATGTATGTCTGTCTGTATGCATGCATGTATGTATGTGCATGCATGCATGTATGTATGTCTGTCTCTGTATGCATGCATGTATGTATGTCTCTGTATGCATGCATGTATGTATGTCTCTGCATGCATGCATGTATGTATGTCTGTCTCTGTATGCATGCATGCATGTATGTATGTCTGTCTCTGTATGCATGCATGTATTTATGTATAGAAAACAGATAGAATTAGGCGCTCTCTATAGTAGTGTATACAATAGGGAGTGGGCAGCAGTGACCAACACAAGGATTCCCTACCTTGTGATAAAATAGTGAACAAAAAGAAAAAGGAAACCGCGCCCTTATTATGATACGAATATACGTATTTAAGTCCTTATGGTCATATACTTTCGATAGTGTACCTCAAAAAGAGAAAAAGAAATACAAATAATAGTGTAACACTGTTAATATTTTGTAAGTAAACGAAAAGTAGGTAGATGTACACTCACATGTAACAGAGCTAAATACAGAGCTCTACTGCTCTTGCGCATAGACGGAATAATCCCCGTCTCAGGATAAATGTAAAGTGGTCCACGTCTTGATGGTCTCAAACAAAGAACACATAGATAGACGGAAGAAACCACATAGTGCAGTAGGTACTGATATCTTTTGGGATGATAAATAAATATAAAGTATAGTACTCACATTTACTAGAGCGTGCCTCGCTCTAGTTTATAAGGTGTAGGTGGTATAATCCCCACCAAGGAATAAGATGGTAACCAGAAAAAAAAAATATATATATAATAATAAGAGTGATAAAAAATATATAATATATATTGTAACTGTTTATTATACATAAAAATCAATAAAAACAAATATATAGAAAACACTCTATGAGAAAGTCCATAAAAATCTACTTTACACGTTTCACGTATGGAGGCTTCTTCAGAAGTGTGGATAGAGTCCTTATAATGTCCAAATATATAGAGAATAAAGCTTAAAACGATTATCTTCATGTGTTGAGAAATTACTCACTGTTTCCTGGTTTTCGCGCGCGCGTCATACCGGAAGTGACACGGCGCCATCTTAGCCAATGATATGCTTGAGGATATGGTTTGTGTTAACCACTGGTGGAACGCACACGTCATACCGGAAATGACGCGGCGTGACCGGACAGTGGTATTCTATGCGTTCCACGAATGGAACGCAAGCAAAAAACGGCAATTATAGAAACAGGGCAACACTTTTATGTCATAGATAAAAATATTAATTTAATTTTTCATGCAATTTAAAGTGACAGGAGTATAGCATCTCTAAATGCACTCACACCATTATAGCACAAGAGCAGATATTGAAAAGCAGGAATAAAATTACTAAGAAGGCCCAAAGAGAGGGTTATTAGGAGAAATAAAAACTCTGGGAACATAGAATACACATAAATATCTTACAATTATAGGTATGGAGTGGGCATGGCTGGATGTCGAATCTGGTATCCTATTCCAGATACATAGATGACCTCATTTTTATTTGGAAAGGCCCTATAAAGGAAGCCCATGATTTTATCCGGTTTTTAAACTCAAACCAAGAGGGAATTATTTTAACTTCTGAAATAAGTGATAAAGAAATCACTTATTGATTTTTATGTATAATAAACAGTTACAATATATATTATATATTTTTTATCACTCTGATATATCCATTATTATTATATTTTTTTTTTTTCCTGGTTACCATTTTATTCCTTGGTGGGGATTATACCACCTACACCTTATAAACTAGAGCGAGGCATACTAGTAAATGTGAGTACGATACTTTATATTTATTTATCATCCCAAAAGATATCAGTACCTACTGCACTATGTGGATTCTTCTGTCTATCTATGTGTTCTTTGTTTGAGACCAGCAAGACGTGGACCACTTTACATTTATCCTAAGACGGGGATTATTCCGTCTATGCGCAAGAACAGTAGAGCTCTGTATTTAGCTCTGTTACATGTAAGTGTACATCTACCTACTTTTCGTTTACTTACGAAATATTAACAGTGTTACACTATTATTTGTATTTCTTTTTCTCTTTTTGAGGTACACTATCGAAAGTATATGACCTTAAGGACTTGAGTACGTATATTCGTATCATAATAAGGGCGTGGTTTCCTTTTTCTTTTTGTTCACTAATGTATTTATGTATGTATATCTGTATATATGTCTCTGTATGCATGCATGTATGTATCTGTATGCCTTTGTCTCTGTATGTACGTATGTCTGTGTGTCTCCATATGCCTGTATGTCTTTGTATGTACGTATGTGTCTGTATGTATGTATGTATGTGTCTGTATGACGCAATGCCTCTGTATGCCTGTATGTGTCTGGATGTATGTCTCTGTATGCCTATGTCTCTGTATGCCTATGTCTCTGTATGCCTGCATGTCTCTGTATGCCTGCATGTCTCTGTGTCTATATGTCTCTGTATGATTATTTCTGTGTTTGTATGACAGTGTACCTGTATGACTTTGATGCCTGTGGCTTGGTCTTCTTTCGGGAGCTTTCATTATTAAACTAACAAATGCAAATGTTCATGAATTGGGTAGTAGTGTGCCTGGTGTTCATTCGTTCCATTCAGTCGAATGCCGCTCTTAATATACAAAAGGAAATGAACGTACGAACAGGATGGAAGTTCAGCTGTGTTCGCACGGTTGAGTGTCCGATTATAGTTCCACGCATTCGTTGACCAAACACCGCTGTATGTTCGTGAGCAAAGATGGCCACCACCACCACGTGTTCGGTTATAAGACCATCCGTACGACCATTTAGAATATTCTTGTTCTTGGGTAGAACATTGGCTTAAGGATAGAGTACAAGTTGTCATTAATGGTAAATTTTCAAGCTGGGACCACTTCTATTTAACAAATTTATAAATGATCTTGAAATAGCCATTGAAAGCCATGGTTTAGTGTTTGCAGATGACCCAAAACTTTGCAAAGTAATAAAATGTGAGCAGGATATTGCTTTGCTGCAGAGGGATTTGGACAGATTGGGGCACTGGGCACTAAAATGGCAGATTAAATTTAATGTAGAGAAATGCAAAGTTATGCACTTCAGGGTCAAGAATGCACAAGCAACTTACACCCTCAATGGTAGTGAATTAGGGATAACCACACACGAGAAGGATTTGGGAATTATTATAGAAAACAAATTAGGCAGCAATCTGCAGTTGCTAGAGCCAGTAATCAGGATCTCGATTGCCGGCGTGGGATCAACAGCGATCAGGTAAGTGCCGATTTACGAAATGGCGTACCAGGTACGTCCACGGTCGTTAACGACCGTTTTTTGTCGTATGTACCTGGTACATCACTGGGCGGCAAGGGGTTAAACATCAATGTTTATTAAATGATGTTAAATGAGGTTGTCTTTAAAAAAAAAAACTTTAACTGCAATGGTTTGTCATGGTATCTGTGCCCCCGGGCGCCAATACTTCTCTAATGCTGGGTGACACACATCAAGCTTATGTATAGCTGCAAATACCCATCCCACCAGTAATTCACTGGCTGAACACGTCAGCTGAGCATTCTTAACCAATGAATGGCCCACTGTGCAACGAATGAGCACAGAATGGGCATTAGTCAGCCTGGAACTCTTGTTCCGGGCTGGCTACTGATATACTAATGACACTGCTGGAGGTGGAGCTAAACCTTTGGCAGCAAAATAAAGCATCAGTATGTGCAGAGTAGAAAATCTGAACATAAAGATTAAAAGCACCACTTCATAACACACTCAAAGTGAAGAACACACTCATAGGACTACAAAATCAACAAGATAACATTTGTTTTTTTACAGCTGTGAAACCGCATACAGGTGATACTCGAAAAATTTGAATATCGTGCAAAAGTTCATTTATTTCAATAATGCAACGTAAAAGGGGAAACTAACATATGAGATAGAAGCATTACAAGCAAAGCAAGATAGTTCAAGCCGTGATTTGTCATAAGTGCGATGATTATGGCTTACAGCTCATGAAAACCCCAAATCCCCAATCTCCGTAAATTAGAATATTGTGAAAAGGTGCAATATTCTAGGCTCACAGTGTCCCACTCTAATCAGCTAAGTAAGCCATAACACCTGCAAAGGGTTCCTGAGCCTTTAAATGGTCTCTCAGTCTGGTCCCCACAATCATGGGTAAGACTGCTGACCTGACAGTTGTGCAGAAAACCATCATTGACACCCTCCATAAGGAGGGAAAGCCTCAAAAGGTAATTGCAAAGCAAGTTGGATGTTCCCAAAGTGCTATATCAAAGCACATTAATAGAAAGTTATGTGGAAGGGAAAAGTGTGGAAGAAAAAGGTGCATAAGCAGCAGGGATGACCGTAGCTTGGAGAGGATTGTCAGGTAAAGGCCATTCAAATGTGTTGGGGACTTTCACAAGGAGTGGACTGAGGCTGGAGTTAGTGCATCAAGAGCCACCACACACAGACGGATCCTGGACATGGGCTTCAGATGTCGTATTCCTCTTGTTAAGCCGCTCCTGAACAACAAACAACGCCAGAAGCGTCTTACTTGGGCTAAAGAAAAACAGACCTGGTCTGTTGCTCAGTGGTCCAAAGTCCTCTTTTCTGATGAGATCAACTTTTGCATCTAATTTGGAAACCAAGGACCCAGAATCTGGAGAAAGAATGAAAGGCACACACTGCAAGATGCTTGAAGTCCAGTGTGAAGTTTCCACAGTCTGTGTTGATTTGGGGTGTCATCTGCTGGTGTTGGTCCACTGTGCTTCATTAAGTCAAGGGTCAATGCAGCCGTCTACCAGGAGATTTTGGAGCACTTCATGCTTCTTTCCGCAAACGAGCTTTATGGGGATGCTGACTTCATTTTCCAGCAGGAACCTGCCCACACTGCCAAAAGCACCAAAGCCTGGTTCAATGACCGTGGGATTACTGTGCTTGATTGGCCAGCAAACTCCCCTGACCTGAACCCCATAGAGAATCTATGGGGCATTGCCAAGAGAAAGATAAGAGACATGAGACCGAACAATGCAGAATAGCTGAAGGCCGCTATTGAAGCATCCTGGTCTTCCATAACACCTCAGCAGTGCCACAGGCTGATAGCTTCCATGCCACACTGCATTGAGGCAGTAATTGCTGCAAAAGGGGCCCAAACCAAGTACTGAGTCCATATGCATGCTTATACCTTTCAGAGGTCCGATATTGTTCTATGTACACTTCTTGTTTTATTAATTGCATGTGATATTCTAATTTACTGAGATTGTGGATTTGGGGTTTTCGTGAGCTGTAAGCCATAATCATCGCACTTATGACAAATCACGGCTTGAACTATGTAATGCGTCTATCTGATATATTAGTTTCCCCTTTTACGTTGCATTACTGAAATAAATGAACTTTTGCACGATATTCAAATTATTTGAATATCACCTGTACATTCACCAGTTCAGTCCCATTACCAAACTTTTCTTAATATGTCAAGGTAGTTGGACTGAAACATTATTTTATATACAAATGCAGTCTCTTTAAAATAAATTTGTGCTTTTGTTTAGTTTGAAGCCCTACAAGCATGAGGACTTCCAGTGTCAGTTATGCAACTTTGTTTGTATTGTACTTTTCTAAATAAACCTACACTTCGATGAAAACTGAAGTCTTTGTTTTTTTTGGCCCAAATAAACTTATACCTTGTTTATTTGGCCCGTGTTAGCATTTGAGTTTGACATGCTCGCTTTAAAGTGCCACTGTCATGCTACTTTTTAACTATAGTTTTTTTAAAAGAGCTGGAGCATCTATACAGAGTGCTAGCTGTTTTGGAACACCCACCTCTTTAATGAAAAGAGTTGAGGGAGCGGAGGACCAGGTAAATAGTCAGTTTCACTTTAAAGTAAGCTATTCATTGTGTGTGTTTTAGGTTTTTTTAGAACTCTTCACTGTGAAGAAATAAAAAAACATTTTATTTCTGTAGACATATATTCAGTTAACTTAGATTAATTGAATGTTACCAAAGATGTAATACATAGCAAATCCTTATTTCATGCTCAATAACTTCTGAATTATACTGTATCCAGTAAACAGAAGGCTTCTATAATTTTTTTTTCTCTCCATTCAAAAGCCTTTTATTAAAGTATTATCATGGCTTGTGGCAGCCCACAGATGGCAGAGTTCACAATGTCCCCTCACCAATGGTTGGTTTAAATTTAGCTCTGATATAAAAAAATTAGTTGTAGTAAAAATTCACCCCTGGTGGGCATTATATGAATCTTCCAGATTTGCCGTGGCAAATGACTTTAAAGCCTTTCCAAAGGAGCATATTTAAAACCAACCAATGAGCTAGGGTCTAGGTCGGTGGTGCACAACACATGTGCCACCACCAAACAACCATCAAATATATACTTATAGCTCAGCATATTAACATGTCATTATGAAGCCGATATAGCTGAATAAACTATAATCTATGTAGTAGTGTATCATTTGCTGATTTGCGCTGCATTACTCAAAACCCTCTCTGTCACTTAACACTCTGTGTTGGACACATGCAGTCTTTCCAGTTTGAGTTGAACTGAGGAAGCTCAAGGTCATACTTCTGCATTATCATATCAACATATAGCATGCCTGCATGGTATCCTTTAACTGAGAGTATCATCTGATGACTTTCAACCAATAAATAATGTCCAAACCTGGTATACGTTGGTATGATAATGGGGACGTATAAGCTTCTGCTTTATCAAACCAACTCAGAGCAGAAAAACTACTAGTGCCTGATATTGAAAGGTAACTGTCAAACTGTGTACCTGACTTACCATCAGAAAACACCTGTGGACTGTTGGCACTATAACCACTATGGCTCTCCCTATTGATTATGGTCCTTAGTGGCCCTTTTAAAGTGAATAATAAAGTACTTAATATAGTGTGGGGAAACAGCAACTTAGAAAATAAACATATAATAGTTGAATGATTAAAGGCAGCTAACAATATAAAACACTGCATCTCCTCTACAAATTCACTGCTCGGTCCTGGTTGAATTTAGCTTTCTTCTAATATCAAGGAAATTAAAGAACTTTCTGGATGGCTATCAAATTTTCTCCATTTATACACTTTTAAAAGTAAAATTGGCATCTAGAGAATCTTTTCATAAATCTATTTTAAACAGTAATAATGTAAATATATAAATATTATTCTCATATACCCAAGCTATTGCTCAGTTCAGCTGCAATTAACACTTGAAGAACTTTTTTTGGTGTGGTGGTGGCAATTTTAAAATACATGTTTTGTTTGTTCATAAAACTGGGCGTATTTAAAATTGATCAACACAAAGTACAGTCAGTTTGTAAAAAATTTCGCTGTGAATTCCCCTTTAAATACCATTTTGTTTTTTTACAACTAGTTTGTTTACTCACTTGTGCCGCATTTCATTTCAGATAAGGAAGATAATTCTGAAATGGATCAGTCAGTGGAAAATGGAAACCCAGAATGTCTGACAGCAGAGGCTGCAAGCAGTGACGATGAAGACGTATAATTTAGCAATGCATATGTAAATATTTTGGAATTGGAAAAACACATGAAAATTTCTTTGTCTTATCTAGCTTTGAGCAATGCATGTATTTTGCAGGTTCACAAAAAGATTTAGGCGCTGACAGTAAATATATTTACTTATGACTTATCTGAATAATAGGATACACCCAGCCTTCCAAATAACTATTGCATAGAATTTTTAATATTCCGTTTATTTCATGAGTATGTTTTGTCATTTTGACTGTGAAAAATCATAATTATTCCTATCTGTTCATATTTTTTTTCAAATATTACTTGTAAATAATTCACCTTATTACTTTGAATAATTAAAATCCCAAGTAAATAAAGGTGGACTTTTGAATTTAAACAAAAATAAATCTTTATTAAAACAGTCTTTCAGTGCTACATAATATGGTTGTACCCATATAAGTACAGTGAAAAATTTATGTATAAATACCATTAACCTAACTGTAAAGACACTCACTTTATTGCTTGTTTAAAAAAAAAAACAAAAAAAAAAAAACACAACTTAAAGAGCAACTCTATTGACATTTTGATACTTATGCTGTTTTTAAACCACATGTAATTTTATCTATACATTGTACTAGCAAATGTCTAGATTGGGATAAAAACGTATTTAAAAATAGGTCTCTCTTCCACCTTTCAATAAAGTCTAAAGCAGGGGTTCTCAACGTTAGTCCTCAGGACCCCCTACCAGTCCAGGGTTTAGGGATTACCTGGGTGTGTCTCAGGTGTTTAGAAAAAGGGAAAAAAAACACCTTAGAGTCTAAGGTGTTTTTTTCCCCTTTTTCTAAACATCTGAGACACACCCAGGTAATCCCCAAATCCTGGACTGGTAGGGGGTCCTGAGGACTAACGTTGAGAACCCCTGGTCTAAAGCATTAAAGTGATCTCCCATAGGTGGTCCTTACTGCATAGTGTTTAACTGTGCATCATCATACATATGTGTATCCCAATTGGCCACTCATACTAAAAAGGGCATTATAGGCACCCAGACCACTTTATCTCATCGAAGTGGTATGGCTGCAGTGCCCTGTCTGTTTAAGCCTGCAATGTAAAACATAGAGGCACTGCTTGGTGGGGGGATCTATTCAGTTAGAAATAGGTCTACTATAGTGTTAGAAATACAGGTTCGGATTCCTAACACTAGTGTTCCTTTAAAAATTCTTAAAGGACCATTCCACACCCATAAAGCTATGAGAAATTGGCACTTTTATTATTAAATAATGAGAATCCCACTTGCTGTCAAACTGTCAATCAACTTTGTTTCCTGTTTCCGTTAGCTCTACTTGAGTGCACTTGCCTTCACCCACATAACTCTTCTCAGACCAGGTCTGTGTTACTTCTGAAGTGTGTGTGTGTGTGTGTGTGTGTGTGTGTGTGTGTGTGTCTTTAAAGGTTCCTCAATGAGAAGTTATTTTTCCATGAAGAGACTGTTAGCCTCTTCTGGGGGGAAAAGGGGCAGACTTGCAAAGGCTGCATTTCACAAGAACTGCAGATTTTGCAAACTCTGTTCAGCAACACAAAAACAAACCTCACTGCCCCAGCTTATTAATTTAAGCCTTCATTAATGGGTTCTTTCCCATTGTTTCCTCCTTCAATTTCTGCTCCAGCGACACAAAATGGGTGTAATGAAAATTGTGTGATCCATCATATGTGAGAGGAACTCTGAGTAAACGAATTCCATCCCCCTGCATCAACATCAATGAATATAGATTGATAAGACACAACAATAAAAGTACCTGCCTGATAGGTCCCCCTCGTGCTCCCGAAACAGCTCTGATCTTTTGAGGCCTGGCCTCTATGAGACCTCTTGCCTTGTCCTCTGGTATCTGGCACCAAGACATAAGCAAGCTGCGAGTTGGGGCCTACATAGATTGGATTTGTTGTTCCAGCACGTCTCACAAATGCTCAATTGGATCATGATCTGATGAATTTGGAGGCCAAGGCAACACCTTGAACTATTTATCATTTTCCTCAAACTATTCCTGTATAATGTTTGTAATGTGGCAGGTTGCATTATCCTGCTTAAAGTGGCCACTGCCAGCACGGAACACCATTGCCAAAAAGGTGTGTAGATGGTCTGCAAAAATCTATAGGTAGGTGTCAAAGTAACATCAGTGGCGTACTAAGGGGGGGCGGAGCCGGCTTTCTGCCCTGGGTGTCAGCAGGATGGGGGGTGCCTTGGGAGGGGGCGCCGCCAGGAGCGCCAGCCTCCCTCATGCTGCAGCCACCCGAGCGCTCTGCAGAGAGCCTCAGGCGGCTGCAGCTTTGCCCGCCCGGGCGCAGCCTGAGGAGAGGGGCTGACAGGAGGGAGCACTCAGCACTCCCTCCTGCCACTCCCTCCCTGTAGCGTGGCCGAGCCCTCTATTGGTCCGCGGGTAGATAGAGCGCTGATCCCTTTCTTCTGTTATTGTAATGTCGAGACTGTTAAAAGTCTGCAACTGAAAACAAGTTACCGTATATACTAGAGTATAAGTAGAGTTTTTCAGCACATTTTTTGTGCTGAAAAAAGCCCCACTCGACTTATACTCGAGTCAATGTCTGTATTATGGCAACTTACATTGCCATAATACAGACCAGGACGGCCGGGCTCATTACAAGCCCGGTGGTCCTGTTGGGGGCTGGCAGAGAGCTGTAATTTACCTTTCCTGCAGCTCCTGTCAGCTCCCTTCTTCCCCGGTCTGGTCAGCTCCACTGCAAGTCTCGCGAGAGCTGCGCGGTCAGAGCGTTGCCAGGGGTTACGGCACTCAGACCGCGAGACTTGCAGAGGGAGCTGACAGGAGCTGCAGGAAAGGTAAGTTACAGCTCTCCGCCAGCCCCCCTCCTGCACAGCCCATCCACTGGACCACCAGGGAATGAGAGCCCCCTCCCTGGCCATGTATCAAGCAGGGAGGGGGGACGAATAAAAATTTTAATAATACTAAAATAATATTTTAAAAAAATAATACTAAAATAATATTTTAAAAAAATAATACTAAAATAAAATAATATAACAAAAAAATATATTATAATAATAAAAAAACATTACATTAAGTTGTTTCTAAGAGCATTATAAAAACCAGCATCCATTGCGGTCAGGCACTGAGATCTGTATTTTTTTCAGGTTAGAGAAGTGTTTGGTTTTTTTTTTATCAGCCAACAACCATGAATTTGAACATCTGGTTAAAACAAGGAACTATCAAGAGAAAAATTACTACTTCTAACTGTTCGACACTTATAGAAACTGAGAAAGACAATACAACAAGAAAACCGGTCCGAAATATTTGAATCTACTGTTCCTCAAATGGTAGAGATAAGTCAAAGAAAAAAAGAGAAGCACACACTGCTACTCAATCTTCTTCTCAAACAAAGAAAAGAAAATATGACCGCTACTTAAAATTTGGATTAACAAGTGCCAGAAATAAAATATTCCTCAAGCACAATGCTTACTTTGCAAGAAAATATTTCCAAACAGTTTGTTAGCACCTGCTAAATTACAAAAAGGTAAATTAGACATTACCCTTTTCTAAAGCGAAAACTTCAATATCAGAAGATCCAGTTTATGAGCAAAATATTTAAAAATGATAATGAGAAACCTACTCATTAGTAGGTTTGTGCTACGGAGCAAAATGTTTTTGGGGGATTCCCTGATGTTGGTATACCATGTCAGAGGGTTTCATGGGAAAAATGAATTGGTAACCCCTGTATTAGATCAATCTAACTGGTACTGGTTCCAATCATATAAGATCTCACAAAACCCCAAAATACTATAAAGGAAAAAGCACATCAGTATATTTCAATTAAAATACACAATATATGTACATACATGAACTAAAGAAGGTTTGGATTGTAAAATAGCATGTGTAAAATGCTTTATTTAGTACCTTTAATCCTAAGTAACAAAAGCACGGTGACTACAGCTTTTGTGCTGTGCTTGCTATGGTAGAACCCAAAGTAACACAGCTGGATGGAGACAAACTTTAACATTATATACATTGTGTAAGAAGAGTTTGAAAATTAGATGTCATTTTCAGGAAGCAGAGACTGGAGGTATGGCTAGGGCTGCATAAACAAATGGATTTAACTTAAATAGCTATAATAGCTTAAAAGGTGTTTTGGTTATGCTTTTTTTTTCTTCAAAATTTTATTTTATTGGTCATTTTTACAACAAAAATGTACAACACAACAAAAAGAAAACATCATTCCATTACAAATGAGAGATTGCGCATAGTGCATCCTTGTAAATAGAAAACATGTTGCTAACTGACATTTCACTAATTAGACTTTTCTTTTATAATATTAAAGCAACAACACAAAAGGTTATTGGGTTTGGGATGAAGGAAGCTAGAAGTCCTAATTCTGGTGGAATGGATTTACAAAGCTTTTCACAGGTCCGCACAGAAAATTTGTCTAATTTGTGGACAAATTTTAAAGGGACACTATAGTCACCAGAACAACTGCAGCTATTTTTTTCTGGTGACTATAATCATTCCCTTCAGGCTTTTTGCAGTAAACACTGTCTTTTCAGAGAAAATGCAGTGTTAACATTACAACCTAGGGATAACTCCATTGGCCACTCCTCGGATGGCTACTAGAGGTGCTTCCTGGGGCAGTGCACTGCCATTCAGTGTCTCCTCCCTCTGCATGGAGACCAATTGCATTCAATGTATATCTATGAGAAGATGCTGATTGGCCAGGGCTGTCTTTGGGTTGTGCTGACTCTGCCCCTGATTTGCCTCCTTGACAGTCTCAGCCATTCCTATGGGAAAGCATTGTGATTGGCTCATAGAATCACATCTGATTATTTTAGCTAAGCAGGCAGGTCGGGGGAGAGCCAGCAGCTGCAGACTTGAACAAAAGTAAGATGTACCTATATTTATGGGGGGGGCAAGGAGGGACCAGGGGGGCTGGATGGTGATTTTAACTCTCTAGGGTCAGTCATATATGTTTGTGTTCCTGACCCTATAGTGTTCCTTTCACATCATACTTTCATATCATTTTTGCAGGGTCCAGCAATTATCGATAGGTAGTGGCAAAAGGGCAGGGACCATATACCATCTATAAAATAGTTTTACGTGGTATGCATATAGTCAGTTCTCTGTACATATTGATTGACTGTAGCCTAATCATTTTGAGTAATTGAAGCCTGAGCTCCTCTTCCGTGCTTTGACACATAGTAATGTATGTATTTCAGAAGTAGGGTTTAACAAAGCATATACAGTTGAAATGGGGATTTTTTACAAGTGTGATGGATATACAGAATTTCTCAGGTCAGTCAGCTGCCCCTCATTCACAGGAGAGGTAGGAAATTTCACCTGGCTTGCCTACCAGGATTGGAGTTGATTATAACAACCCTTGGAAAACGGCTTTATGAGCCTGCCACAATGAAGGTGGCAATGTATCCGTGGTGTAATTTGAAATAAAGTATTCAGAAAGCTCTCTGTCTACCTCAGCACATAAGGGAGTGGTTTGCAACAAAGTATTATTAAAGCGCTATAGGTTGCAGCCTCTATATTTGAATACATCATGTAGTGATAACAGAACCAGAGCCTGATCAGACCAGATAATATCTCCCATCTTGCATGTTTCGACTATGTTTAGAGATGATCTCATTAAAAGGATACCATCTATACTGGATTGGTCTGAAAAGTACGCCAGCTATCATATAAATTAAACTGGAGTAAATGGATTAGATTGAGCCTGGATTAGTTTAAATTTAGGTGAGTGTTTGGGTAACGAAGTATCTATGTGTGGGTCG